TCCCTCTTGCCAGCTTCATTATTTTTTCCTTGTCCTGGATTCTGGGGAGCTTTACTATTATGTGTCTTGCTGTATTTTTCCTTTCGTCGTGGAAGTTTGGTGTTCTTCTTGCTTCTTGTATATCAATTTTCAGCTCCTCCTTCACATTTGGGAAGTTCTCTTCAATTATCTCTTTGAATATTTCTCTGTTCCTACTTCTCTCTCCTCTCCTTCTGGTATTCCTATAACTCTTATATTTCCTTTCCTCATGGAGTCAGATAGTTCCCGAAGTCTTTCTTCATTCTTTTCCTTCGTACTTCTCTTTCCTTTTCTGTTTTGGTTCTTTTTATTTCTGTGTCTTCAAGAGTACTTATTCGTTCTTCCATTTCATCAATTCTGCTTTCATTGCTTTTCCCAGAATTCTTTAGTTCTTCCATTAATTCTTTGATCTCCTGCATTTCTTTTACTTCCCTCTTTAGGGACTCAATTTCATTCTTCTGATCGTTGATTATTTTTCCCTTATCATTGTTTTCCTTTATGACTTCTGTCAGTTTTTTAATCACGGCAATTTTAAATTCTCTTTCTGGAAGGTTCAGAAGTTCTTCCAAGTTACTGTCGTTGCCATCTGGGGGCTGGTTTTCTTTTTGTGGTGTGCTTTTTCTCTGGAGAGTTGCTAGGTTGCGTGTGGTTCTTCTCCTCCCTACTGTCTGTTTTCTAATTTGCCGTATGCGTTGTGACACTGTGTAGTTGGGACTGGCCGGCATCTTGGGTGGGCTTCTCTGCTCCCCTCTGGTTCCTCCAGGAGTCATCTGTCAGTTTCAAGCAGTCTTTACTGGAGAAAGGTCCCTGTTCTAAAATGCCGATGTGGGGACACACTCCCCTGTGCGCCTGGTCTGCCCCGGCGGTGGGTTCCTGCTCCCCCTCTGGGCTTGGACTGCAGGCCAGAGGGGTCTGGCGTGGGCGAACTTCCCCCGCTCACCTCTGGCTCCTGAGGAAGCCTTCTGCAGGTAGTCTTTACTGAAGAAATGTCCCTATTCTATAATGGTGATGTGGGACACCCTCCCTGCGCGTCCGGTCTCAGGCACACTCTTCTGCGCGCTTGGTCTGCCCCGGCTGTGGGTGCTCGCTCTCCCTGTGGGCTCAGACTACTTGTTCGGAAGGGGCCCGGTGTGGGCTAACTCCCCAGCTGGCCACTAGCTCCTTCAGGAGCCTGTGCTGGCTTCAAGTCGCTAGGTGGCGCCAGAGATCTCTCCTAGAGCCCTTGGGAATTGATTTTCCACCCCGTGGGACAGGGAGCAGAGCGGGGATGGTAGGGTACACCTCAACGGCTTTGGGGTGCTGTGTCTGCCTTGTGCCCCACCGTCGTGGGGAACCCACGCCCCTAATTTCGTGCCCCGGGTCTCAGTTCCAAAGCCCTCAGTTCCAGGACGCGGGCTGTAGCCCAGATCAGTGGCGCGGGAATGGCGCCTTTTGAATCCCGCTCCCCTGCCTGGGCGCCTGGTTCCTGCTCACTCCGGGAGGGCCTCCGCGCGTCTCCCCGCAAGCCTAGGTCGCAGGCGCGGGGACCTGGGCAGCTGCGATCCGTTCCGGACCCGCGTTTGCTTTTCAACTGCACTGCTTTTCAGCGCGATCCGCGCCGCTTTCCCCGCGCAATCCCGATCCGCGTCTGTTTTTCCAGCGCGCCACTTTCCGCTCATGCTTTCCTGGTGGCCAGGGCTGTGTGCTGGTGCTGGTCTCCTCCTGGGCGGGGTCTCTCTTCAATGGCGCCCGGAGCTCACCTCCGCGGCGGATCCTGCGGGGTTCTCCACAGCTCCCGTTCACAGGGTGTGTACCACAAATTTTAACTGTTGATTTAATATTGTAGCCTTGACAGAATCTACAAGGCTCAATTTAGCAGTCAGGTTTGCATGTCTTTAGGACTCAACTGAATACCACCATCTCCTTAAGCTTTTTTGTTTTTTTCTCCAGCTGGTGTTAATGATTCCCTCTCTGATTTTTCAGAGCACTTTAGTTGTATCTCGGTTGTAGTTCTCTTACTCTTTGATATAAACCCCCAGCACTATTTTTTTACCCCAAAAGGTGTATAGTCTTGACTTACTTTTCACTCTGTCCTTCCGTTTATCTCTCCCTACTTCTCTTTTCATGCCACAGGAATGCCAGAATTACCTAGAAAATTCTAGGTCCATTTTGAAATGCATTGTTTTTGTTTGTCTTAACGTTTTTGTGCCATTGTCTGATTTTGATTTTGTTTTTACCAGAAGTAGATCTAAAAAATATCCACAGTTCTTAGCAAAAGAACTTGTAAGAGAAGTTTTAAGTTGTAGGCATAAATTCTAGTTGACTTTTATTTAACAGTGTTTAGAGTACTCTAACAAGCCCAGAATGTTATTCAAGACTTTCTTTGTAGTGCTATATTGTTCTGTTTATTTCTTACTGCTTCTGTTATTCTTAAAACAAACATGGTAATAATTTTAATGATCAGATGATATATCTCTAGTGAGAATTCATAGCACATGTTCTTTTAAAGAAAAAGAAGTAGAAAGCAAGAGAAAAATACCAAACTACTTTTTTCCTAATCATTGTATTTCAGAAATGAAACTATTGTGGATTAGTTTCATGTGAACTTAGCTTTTCTCTCTTGACTTTTCCTCTAAAGAAAGGTGCTTTCACCCAGAGTCATGGAATGGCCAGATGGTGAGAGTGGCAGAAGGATATTTGAGGAGTGATCTAGGATATGTGAGTTGTATTTTATTGGGATAGTAACTTCTATTATAGATTGTGTCTACTATAACATAAATATGTAAGACTGAAATGGGCAGAAATAATAAAGACTTGTTTCAAATTCCAAGTGATCTCGGTACAACCATTTATAATGGTAGCTAGGAATTTAGAAATTATATGTCAAGCTGGGTTTTTTTTTTTTTCCTCTTAGGGCTCATATTTGACTTCTTAGCAAAGTGCTGGGGTAGGGGCAGGAAGGGAAAGGAGATGCACAAAGTACACACTGTCAGCAGGATGAGCTTATAGTCTCTTGGGCTATTTTTAACTGAATTCAGCAAACTATGGTCATTGCCCTGTACCAAGGGCTGTGGATGGTAGATTGTTGGGTTAGTGAAGTGCAGTTGGTTATGTGGTGTGGGAGATTAAATTTCTTCCATAGTTACTTTATACAGCAACATATTTTTAAGTGGCTAAGTCCAGTCTTCCAGTAACTGTTGCTAGAAATGCTCTACTTATACATATTTTTCTCCATTTATAATGGGACTCTGTTTGGAATAATGGTAGTAGCTACTATTTATTGAACATTTATACTGTGGCAGACACCATTCTAAGTTCTATATATGTATTAGCTCATTTAATCCTTCCCACAACTGTGTGAGGGTCAGAATTACTTTTATCACCATTTTATAGATGAGATTGTTCAGGGGCATGCAACTAGCAAAGATTTGAAACGTGGCACTAAATGCATTTTATTTTTGTCTGCTTTCTTTACATTTGATTTTTTAAAAAGATTTATTTTATTTATTTATGCATACAAGAGCTGGAGTGTAGGTCAGAGGTGCCAGGATGAGGGGGTGGCCAGTGAGAGGATTCACTGCAGACAGAGCAGGGAGCAGAACAGGCAGACTGACTGAAATACACTGCTGAGGGGAGCAACAGGTGAGACAGGAGAGGTTTGCTGCACCATGTGTGTTAGCTCCCTAGCCGGGGATCGAACTCATGCTGTAGTGGCTACTGACAACTTCATAGTGCTGAGACTTAACCCCTTGTGCCACTGGGAGGCCCCAGTTTCCTTTACATTTAATTTTAATCCATGTCACTTCCATATGTGTGATTAAAGCCCCACACCACAACAATTATGCTTGAAATCTGCTTGAATTCATAGAAGTTTTGACAGTTTTCAGTCTTCAAATAAGAAGCTAAAATTAGTTTGGAGTTAGAGTTCACTAATGTATCTTGTCCAAGTGATGAATTTGTAAGTTTTCATTTTCTACAATACCTGTATATATTTTGAGGCTTTTATTTTCCACTGTTTTGTTCACTTTGCATTTTCCCAAATGAGTATGATGGGTTCCCCCCCAATCAATTGAAAAATAATAAATATTGATTCTTGAAACCCATTACTTTTTAAAATATTTGCTTAAATTTTGCCTTTTGATACTGAACAAAATGTTTACAGTTAGTCACATTATGTGTGAGTTTTGTACTTAGTCATAAAAAGGGTTAGAAAGAGTAAAATTTAATTCATGTGGGTGAGTGCATCTGGCTTTCCCGTAATAAGTATGTGAGCTGGAATGAAGTGGCATTGGGACTGCAATCTATTAGTCCCTTATTTGGTCTTACCTATTTTGTGTCTCATTGAGTGTAACTCTATGCTAGGAATAAATTTTTTTATATAACCTGGCCTATTAAAACAAGTCTGCAATTGAAGAAATAGTCCCAAGCCTGCAAGAAAAACTGGATGTGCTGTATTCTACTAAGAGAGAATGTGTTAGTCTTTAATAAAGTTTTCCAGAGTAATTCAACAAATATGCAATTTCTGCCATTACTGTTAACTTTAGAATTAACTCCCTCTGTATTGAGTGCCCACTCAATGCCAGTTACTGTGATAGGTGCTGGAAGTTTGAAAATGTAGTTTTGTTCTTCCAAATAATTCACAATCTTAATAGTTCATAGGCAAGGAAAGACAATTGCCAGGAATGGAGAGGGAGAGTAACATAAAATTAAATGACAAATACCTATAAATTGCTATAAGGTGACCCCCAAGTGTTTTATTTTGGATGTTATGGCAACTTTTAAAATGAGGAATCTGTAACTTTTTTCAACACTGTTATATATTTGGAAGTCACTTGCTAATTCTAGGTTAGGGAGTAGGGGATGCCTAAAGAACTATAAGCTAGAGTCTCTGTCCTGAAAAATCTCATAGACTCTTTGCAGTTCTCAGACACACTAATGTTGGTTGTTTTTAAAAGATGCCATTTTAATTGTTCATGTTCTTACATATGCATGTTTCCTTTTAGGTTTCTATATACACTGTACCAGAAAAGATTGGTCAAGTTCACCATGCCTTGGAAACAGCTGTGAAACTTCTTGAGTTTTATCAAAACTACTTTGAAATTCCGTACCCACTTAAGAAACTGGGTGAGAATCAAACAATGCCTGATTTTCATTACCAATATAATCTGGATTCAATTGCATATGTTTTTAAAAAAGAACTTTCACCAAAATTATTTTAAAATAAAGCTAAGAAACACTTTTTATGCTTTAAAAATGGTAATTGTTAAGATTATTTAGATTCATGAAAGTATCTGAATGTAGACCTTAAATCACTTATGGTACTATTACAAAGGTGCTGTGTAAGTGAGAATTTGCTTAGGGCTTAGTGTGAAGTTTGACTAATTCTAACTTCCTAAGAAATTCCTGTTTCAAATAATAAAACCTGAGTAATAGAAACTGAGGAAGGCAAGAGGGCGTCAGTGCTATTCAACATGGAGCTATTCTAAATAGTAGAGAGTTAGATTAGTCCTCCTTGCCCTCATAGGTTTATTTATTCATGAAAATATTAGGTATCTTTTCCTTTCCTAAGGGACAAGAACAGTTAGATCATGTCTTCCAGAGCTGACAGCTGAGAAGTGTACAAAGGCTCCATTTGTTAGGAGTATAAAACCAACTCACTGCCTCCTGATTCTCAGTGGTAAACCAGTGGGTAAAGTGTGTTGATTTAGCTAGAGTGTGCCTTACATGAGAGAAAATTGATAATTTCTTTCCCATTATGTCTAGATTTGGTGGCTATTCCTGACTTTGAAGCAGGAGCGATGGAAAATTGGGGTTTGTTAACTTTCCGAGAGGAGACACTTCTGTATGACAACAGCACTTCTTCAGTAGCTGATAGAAAATTGATTACTAAAGTCATTGCTCATGAGCTGGCACATCAGGTAAACTTGTGGCCTATTCATTCACTAGATTTTTAGAATAGTTTTAGGTGCTAATAATAATAATTCAGATTTTTATTACACTATTGCTCGCTTTCATAATAAAAGGATGCTTTTTGACATAAACTTAATTTTCACATGAAAATACTGTCTAATATTATAGAGGGTTTTCAGGCTATAAAGCATTTCACATCCCCGGTCTCATTTCTTTTCACAACCTCTCTAAAATAGGTGATAATCCCATTTTACAAATGTGGGAACTGAAACTCAGCTTATGTAGATGATTTGCCTAAAATCACACAGCTAATACATAGCACCAATGGACCTTGAAGAACCACTATCAGGTCTATGTCTCTCTCTCCCCACCCATCCCAATAATAATAGTTTCACCTCTGAGAAACACCAGCTACTCAATAGAAATATATTGGAAAGAAACCTTTTCCTTAAATTGCACTCTATTCTCATAACTCCCAGACTGCACTTTTCATGACTAGTTTTATATTTCCATCTCCTGCTAGAGCTGGGTTCTCTATTAATTTGGGGGAGAGAGAGATCCTGAGAAAGAGTGAGGGTTAACGTTTTACTTTGTATGACATAGAGAAAAAGAAAAAGATTGCATTGGTACCTGACTCCCCCTCTTTTTTCTCCACCACCTTATCTTGTGCCCTCAATGATTGTTGGTGTCACGATGATGGGGTGATGTAGAAGAAAAGTAGAACATGCTCCTATCTGTTACTCTGCTGCATTCTGTCTGTGAGTCTGTAGCCCTTGTAAGGATTTTATGACAAGCTGTCATATGGAGGACATAACCAAATAATTTACTGTTATGATTTTTAGACATATAGATGAATTTTAGGGGATCTCCTTTGCTATCCCTGGGTCCTCCCATCACCACTTGGGAATATTTCTGTTACTTTTTGTCCTGAATCATCTTCCTCTGAAACATGTTTTGAAAGATGTCTTTGAAAAATATATTATTGTAATTCTCAGAAGTAAGACTGACAGCAGAATGGTTGTTACCAGAGAGGAAGGAGTGGGGAGGGAATAGGTAGATGACCCAGTTGGTATCGATGGTGACTGGACGTTGGTGGTGGGCATGGAGATATATATATATATAAAATGACTGCACCCCTGAAAACTATACAATATTATAAACTAAAGTTACCTCAATTAAAAAAAAAAAAAAGGAAACAAATAAATGAACAGAAGCACCTTGCAGTTACATGACAAAAAAAAAAAAAAAAAAAACCAAAAACCCAGTATTTTGTTTCCAGTATCTAGTACCCTATCCTTTTGCTGCTGGTTTAAGACAAACCCTGGACTGCACTGAGTAAATTGCATACCCTGTTACCACTCTTTATTTCAGGGATTGTAGAGATACATTTTTTAGGACTGTCTCCTATTGTTTTTTCCTTCTTATAATCTCACAAAGGAAGACATTTAAAGATCTTTCTAATGCCATTTATTTAAACATATGCCAGCTTTCTTAAGGAATGTTGTTCCGTTCTATTTTGAATCATGTGAATACTGTCCTTGACCTGAGTAAGTGAGGAGATACATGTGGAATGGGCTCTCTGGCCATAGAACTGTCAATCTCATTGAAATTTATTTTTTAATTGTTGTGGATGATTGTAGATGTAATGGAAAATAATCTTGCTAATTTGGTATTAGAAGGTAGGACAATTTCATTCTCTGGGAAATCTCACATTTAATGAATTGGCTAAAACATTTTTTACTTAATATAAAGCATTTGTGTTAAATTAATAAATATGTTGTTTCTTGCTTGTTTTTCCATTCAATTAAAGTGAGATTTAAATTTTTTTACTTTTTATTAATGAAATATATTTATTTAAATATATATAAATATGTACATACTTTACATCATTGTTCATTTTTGTATGAGGTTTGATTTTTCCTCTCAGGTGTAATCCCCATAAAATTCCCATCACCAAGTCACCCATGAACCATCACCATAGTCTCCTTATGCTTTTCCCTCCCCTGTTTTGATACCTCTCTCTCCTCCTCTCCTGCTGTATGTCTCCGATTTATAGTTCGCCTCCTAGTTTTGTCTCTTTTTTATTTTCTTTCCCTACCCCTTGTTTGGTTTCCCTATATACTGCCTATAAGTGAAACCATCTGATATTTTTCTTTTTCCTTCTGGCTTATTTTACTGAGCATTATCCCGTCCAGCTCCATCCATGTTGCTATGAATGGCATCGGTTTATCTTTTCTGATTGCTGAGTAGTATTCCATTGTGTGTGTGTGTATATAATTTGCGTGTATATATAGTATACATATATATATCTTATATACAAACATCACCACTGCTTGATCCAGTTACCTGTTTTTGACATAAAAACTTTATTTTACTTTTAAAGTAAATTTTGTAAGCCTTTAACTTGAATGTTGGTTAACTATAATAACTATGTTTTTAAGATATTGTAATCTAGTTATAGCTAATTGATCTGCCAAATACTTAGAAAGTTCTTCAGAACATAAATACTATGTTGGTTAGCAGTTTGTTTTTTCCCCACAGTGGTTTGGGAATCTGGTAACAATGCAGTGGTGGAATGATCTATGGCTAAATGAAGGTTTTGCCACTTTTATGGAGTATTTCTCTTTGGAAAAAATATTTGCTGATCTTTCCAGTGTAAGTACAATGTTTGTTGGGTGTACTGTGAATGCCGGGAGGGAAATAATCAAATCCTGTTTGCCATTTATTTTCAATGCATTTGGAGTAATGAGAGTGTTTCTGAAAAGAGACAATGAAATTGACCTATGTTACTGATATCTATCTATACCTCTTCAAACATGACAATCAAAATTATGCTTTCATTTACTGATATCTTTTCATTGAAATCTAAAATTATTTCCTACTTTGTCATTAAGATGGACATTTTTGCTGCATTTTATTTTCAATAGATGTGGCCCTTCTGCGTGAAGAATTTAGATAAAGTTGAAAAGTTTTTCTTTTGCAAAACATACCTTTTTATACTATGTAAAAGGAGGGGAAATAATTAAGACATCTTAAAGACATACTGTCCTTCTGCTATCACATCTTTGTAAGTGATACATGGGTTGATACAGAAAAGATTTTGGGGCCTCCCTGGTGGCGCAGGCTGTTGAGCACAGCTCTGTGAAGCTGTCAGTGCAGCCTCTGCAGCGCTAGTTGGATCCCCACCAGCCTCGGAGCAACCCACATGGGGAGCAGACCTCTCCTGTCTCGCCCGCTGCTCCCCTCAGCAGTGTGTTTCGTGAGTCTGCCTATTCTGTTCCCCGCTCTGTCTCTGGTGAATCCTCTCACCCTCCTGCACATCTGGCCTGTATTCCGGCCCTTGTATAAATAAAATAAGTCTTTCAAAAAAAAATTTTTGCACTCTTTCTACAAACCATATTTTGTTCCTTTTACAAAGAGCACAATAATCTTGTCACTGTACTGTTCAACTCTCTGGAGATTTTTCCTGTCCTTCAAGGAAAGTATCTGTCCTGATGACAGATACTGCCAAATAATTCAAGCAATAGGTTGGCAAGTATAAAGACCCCTTTCAATATTCTGTCACCTTCTATTAAACTTCCCGAATATACACTGCTCCAAAACAGGAATACTCATAGAGTTTTCAATTTGGAATTTTTGTGTAGGGCTTGTTCAGAAATTTCAAGTGGTTTAAGACACTAATGTTTAGCTAAAATACTAAGCAATTATTCTAAATCTGTGTATGCTACTTAATTAAGCAATGAGATATACAGTTTCACCACTTGGTGGTGCCCAGAATGTTTAAAAACTTCTAATATATATTCCAGGAGAGCCCATCTGTTGAATTCTCAAAGAATTTTGTCTATTTAAGAGTAATGTTTTATTTCAAATAAAGCTCAGTTTTGGGAAATAAGTATTTAAATAGAAAAGCTGGACTATATGTGAGAATTGGCTTAAGTACTTGTTTTTATTTTTGATTTTTAATTTCAGATTTTAAAAAATACATATACATTAAACTTTTTAGAATATTCTTCTTAACTATCCAGACTTGGCATTTGGTTGCTTTAGTAATAGGTTTGTAACTTTTCCATATGCTGTTGTTTAAGAATGCTGTTTTACGTATTGCCAGGAGGTTATAATTTTTATTTTTAATTTAAAGAATATGCATTAATGTCAGTCTTCCTACATTTTTTAAAGCTTATCTTCTGAAGTTTAGTAAAGCTTGTTATTTTTTTATAATGATCTTAAATGATAATTAGTCTAGTTCACATAAACAGTTGTTATTCTTGCTTTGCCTTTGATTAACATGGTTCCCTGATCTATTTCATTTTTTTGTTAGTATGAAGATTTCTTAGATGCTCGATTTAAAACCATGAAGAAAGATTCCTTGAATTCATCTCATCCAATATCATCATCTGTTCAGTCCTCAGAACAGATTGAAGAAATGTTTGATTCGCTTTCCTATTTTAAGGTAGTGCTGTGCACAGTAATATACCTGGAGTAGGTTTCAGATTGATTTCATATGTGAGCAAAACTGTGTAATTTAGATTATTTTAAGACTAAGTGATCATTTTCAGCTTTCTTATTAAACTTTAAGGTGTTTGCTGCTGTTTATACCTTGGTCTTAACTTTTTGTGTTTTTTCCCTTTCTTTTTCTGTCTCTCATTTAAGTTCTCTGACTTGTGTTCTAGGCAGTAATCCAGATCTTATAGCAGTAGATCTGTTAAAGGTGGATTACTCTCCAGATGTATAGATAGAATATATCCAGGGAAGATCCTAAGCAAGTGTCTGACTGTGTATTCAGAATTGAATTATGTTTTAAAGACAGAAGTGCCAAAACAAATAAGCTAAAAGAGATTTTAAGTATTAGAGATTAGAGTGCAGGATCAGATATACCAACTCTTGGTTTGGGGGTCAAGCAAAATCAGGAAACTAGAAATTTGGTTATATCACCATAGGTTGGAGAACAGAAATATAGGGATATCATTGTTAATCAAATTAGTGTTGGGAAGGAAGGGTGAATGTTATGTTTTATTTGCCTCCGTACTCTAGCTATTACATTAACTGATTAGTAAATTGAAATTCCGTGCTGTGCAGAGAAGAAAATACACAAAATATGTGTGATGCAGTCCATGTCATCAAGAATTCAAAATCGAGGTGATGAATACTTGTGTAACAATAATAGATAATATGTACTAAATGACTAATTTTGCTTGGGATTATGAAGAAAAAATTTTTGGAGGAAAAATAGAAATTGAAGTGAGTTAAGTAATAATGATGATAATAATATAGTGGGAAAGAATTAGAAAGAGTAGGCAAAGGCAGGAATGGGATAATGATCTCTGTGAGGAAACAGTCAGGATACTAATGGGCAAGAAATATTTGTTTAAAGACTAAATGTTTGATTGCAGTGAAAGCCACATGTGGAATAGGGGAAAGATGAGAAAGGTAGATTGGAGCCCAGTTGAAGAAGGTTCTGAATACTAGAGGAATTTTTTTTTTTCTTCTGTAAGCACTGGGAAGTTTTAGAAGATATTTGAACAGAAATGACTTGATTAATATTAATGCGTAGGAAAGCTAAATTGGTTTCAGTTTATAAAGTGGATTTAAATGGAGAGAGAACTAATGTTGGAAAATTGCTGGTGAAGTCCAAGCATGAAATGGTTAAAGTTTGAAATTAGGAGTGGTAGTGAGTGTCTAAGGAAAGTGATGGGCGTAAACAAACACCCAGTTGAGGGAAATACCTAAGTGATTTGACAGGGTTTGGTCGGCAAAGAAGGAGGCAGAAATGTTTTCCAGATTCAAGTGTGACTGGCAAGAAAAATGTTAATACTGTTAATAAGTAAGGAAATCAGGAGTTCAATTAGCTACATTAAATGTATTCCAATTAGAGCTACTGCTATGATTTTTAAAGGCCATACTGGTCCTGTCATGAATGGTTTCCTTATATAGAACCACTGTTTCATGATTTGTTAATAGAGAGCTCTGTCTTCCTCCAACCCTTACCTTCTAAACCCAGAATTCAGTGTCTTCTGATCATTTGGTCTCTACAGCAGTCTAACCCCTTGTGAAGTTATGTGGTAACTACTTATTTAAAAATTGAGAATATGGCAAATGGCAAATAGCCCATATTTTTAAGAAAAGCAGGATACTGGATAATTTACCCATATTGTGTACTAGAAGAAGTAAATGCCAGTATAGGAATGTGCATGGCAAACATAGTCTGTTGTGTCCTCATAATCATCAAGCCTAATTCTGATGTAGGTTCTCTTATGAGAATTCATTCATTTAGAAAATCTTACAAGTGACAGCCATGCCCCTGGCATTGTCAGAGATACTGGGGATACATCACAGATAGGTGGACTATGTCCCTTCCACTGTGGAGCTTCCATTTTATGGATTAGAGTTAGAGAGATGGACACTGCAAATGAGTGAATACATGGGTATTATGTTACATGATATGTGCTAATATGTAAGGCTCTTAGGAAGAGGAGACAGTTCTAGCAAAAGAAACCGAGAGAGGGATGGCCACTGAATGTGAAAGAATCAATATTGGTGCCCAGAACCAAGTACGGGAAGATTTTCAAGGTGAAGCTGGTGATAGTCATGTCAAATGCTACTAAAAAGGTGATAAAATGGGCCTAAAAATTGGCTTATTTTAGTACCATGAATTCACTGTTGACCTTCCAGTGGAATGATGGCTGGAAGATAGCTCACATGAAAATGGAAGAGATTGCAAATGCAGACAACTCTTTTGAGGAGTTTACTACAAAGAGCAAACAAGAAACAGGTGACAACGAGAAGAAGCAGGGCTTAAGGAGAGGAAGGGCATGTTCTCTTTGTTTAAAGTGAATGAAGTTACTTGGTTTTTGGTTTATTAATGGAAATGCTACAGTAAAGAAAGTGATGCAGGAGAGAAAGGGAACAGTTGGGAATTAGAAAAAGTATTTAATTTATAGATGTGGTAATACTTAAGTCTCAGAAGTGAGAATAATAGGCATTAAATTTAGTTATTTGTAGCTGATCGTTTTGATGAGTTGACATTACTATATTTTTATGAGAAGTGAAATTCATTCAAAAATTATTTGAGGGCCTATTGTGTATTGGGCATTGTGTATTGGAGTCGAGCTTTTCCATTTTTCCCTCAACTATCTTATAATCTACAAGAGGAAAAAAATTTTTATCTATAGCAGATGCAAGAAGAAATACAAACTACTTTCAAAGATAGAGAAATATGATTTCTATGTGGAATCAGGAAAGACTTCATAGAGTTGGTGGTTGTTTCAAGGCTGAGAACAATGACTTGTAAATCAGTGGATACAGTGTGGCCATAATAGTTGCATGCACAATTCTGAATTCTTAGTATATGCTTGCTGTCCTATACATTTATTTGTTTCAAACATATATGAAGTGACTGCACAGAATAAAGACAGATCCTGGTTACTTCGGCAACATGACATACTAAAATTGGAAATTAATGTTCTACTAGCAGAGAGACTTTTGAGAGCTCTGCCGATTCATTGTTTCCAGCAGTTGGCCCTTATGGGTACTGTTGAGGTGTGTTTGCCACAGAAAATTTAACGTGTTTTTCTATTTAAAACATATTTATTAGCTTTTTAACACTGACACTGACACAGTGAGTAACTGTTTGAAAATATGGCAATTGGCACACAAAATGGCTCATAGAAGAATTAGTATACTTGGGAAACTACTCATTAATTCCTTTTCAAATCACTTAAACTGCATTCAGATTGCTAAAAATTGTTTCATATTTGGTTATATGAGACCAAATGATACTGTTTCACAACTGATTCTAAATTCTATTACCGGGCCTCCCCAGTGGCGCAGCAGTTGAGCGCTGGGTTGAAAAGCTGCCCGCAGCCTCTGCAGCGCCGGTTCGATCCCCGGCTGCTCCCGGCCACCGGAGGAGGGTCCTATATGGCGCACAGACCTCTCCTGCCGCCCGCTGCTCCCCTCAGCAGTGTACTTCGGTCCTTCTGCCTGCTCTGCTCCCTGCTCTGGCTCTGGTGAATTTTCTCACCCTCCTGTGCTTCTGACTGTACCCAGTGCTTGTATAAACAAAACAAACAAATAAATAAATAAAGCATGCCTCTATAGGAAAAAAAAAATAATAAATAAATAAATAAATAAATAAATTCTATTACCTACATAGAATTTTACTATTTTTCTCCCCTTTTCACTTTTTTTTGGAACAGGGAGCTTCCCTTTTGCTGATGCTGAAAACTTACCTTAGTGAAGATATATTTCAACATGCTGTTATTCTTTACCTACATAATCACAGTTATGCATCCATTCAGAGTGATGATCTGTGGGATACTTTTAATGAGGTAAGTGTCCTGAATATTTGATTTTTTTCTTAAAGTATGAATAGAGAAACTCTTCTGTTTATTTTTATGAGGTATATAAATAAAGTTATAGTACCAAGCCTAGTTATTTAAGATAGGGGGATGGAGCTATAAATAGTTATGATATAGCACAGAATTATAATTCAAGAAATGGTGGTATTATTGTTGAAAAAAATGTGACCTTGTGTAATCATTTTTATTCTGCACCTTAACCTACATTCCTGCTTTATAGGAAAGTTGTCCTTTCTGGAGTAATGTATGTTTTTAACTTTTTATTATTTCATTCCTCCCACCCCAATTTTTTTCCTTATGTTTTTACAGTTTTTCCACCAAAAAAAATCATTCCTTATATTCTGCCCATGATTCTTCTTATCTTTGTAACCTTGTTCCTTTTGGAGTAGATGATACATTAGTAGCTGATTGCCACTTGTTGAGTACTTGAGCTGTTTGAGCATCATTGTGCTATTTGAATTTTGCTGTGCCTGCAAACATTCCAACAATTTGGTGCAAGTTAGGACACTTTCTGGCAGTGTAACGACCCAGACTGCTTGGTTCATATGTGCTAACTGCAAAACCTTTAAGCATTTAAGTTTGTTACCTTGATCTAGATCAATGGTTCTTAATGTTTTGTTGGGGTTTTTTTTGAAAGATTTATTTATTTATGCATACAAGAACTGGGGTAGAGGCCAGAGGTGTTGGGGGGTGAGAGGATTCACCTGAGACAGAGTATTCTTTCTGCCTCCTTGTCTTACCTGGAACCTGTTATTTTCTAGCCAACACTTTACAAGAAGATATTCTTTTTTTACCCTCTGAATTCTCTTTGAGAATTTATTATGTAAGAGTTGTTTCCAAATCATTGTTTTCCTCTTATCATAAAGTAACATTTTAGTTGAAAGTCACATTTAGAATATATTTCTACCTTCTTCACTGACTTCACCTTTTGCTGTTAGTATGCTCCTATCCCAGCTTAGCCTCTGACTTTATCCTCAAGGGTTTTTTTTGTTTTGTTTTGTTTTGTTTTAAGATTTATTTCTTTATTTATACAAGCACTGGGTCCAGTCAGAAGCGCGGGAGGGTGAGAGAATTCACCAGAACCAGAGCGGGGAACAGAACAGGCAGACCGACGAAAAACACTGCTGAGGGGAGCAGCAGGTGAGGCAGGAGAGGTCTGTTCTGCCATGTGGGACCCTCGCCTGGTGGCCAGGGATGGAGCTGGCGCTGCAGAGCCTGCGGGCAGCTTCGCAGCCCAGCGCTCAACCACTGTGCCACCACAGGAGGCCCTTTATCCTCAAGGTGTTAAGCATACACATCAAAGTAGACAGGCCTCTTCATTGCAGTTCTAGTCCAAAGACTCAAAAACACCGTGTTTTTCGGCAAGCTTTTCTTCCCAATCTCTTGTTCAGAGATATATACATCAGGGCCATGAAAAAAGTAAGATTAATACAATGAATTTCAAAAGATTTGCTTTATCTTTTAGGCTTTAAGTAGATATGCATATGACAATTGAGGTGATATTATCAAACATTTTAAATACTTGATGATTTTGGTTACTTGCAATTCACATCCATATGTAACCTACAAAAATAACTTGAAACATAAGTTTAATTCATCTGCTTTAAATAGTTATTCAAAAATTGTTTCTTAACATGTGTTAGAGAGTGGGCTTTAGAGAGCCTGGGAACTGACACCGGATAGTAGAGGATCTGTAAATCTCAGACACTTGATTCTAGGTTTTGTAGATAAATTCATGTTGTTTTCTGGGAAAGAGGGTCTGGTCATCGAAAAAATTTTGCACTGTTCTCTAAAAAGCCTTATAATCAAGGCAACCAACCTGTTGTATTTCATTCTTCCACCACTATAACATTTACAAAAGCAGGGCCTCCCTGGTGGCGCAGCGGTAGAGCACTGGGTTGCGAAGCTGCCCGCAGCCTCTGCAGCGCCGGTTCGATCCCCGGCTGCAGTGCCGGTTCGATCCCTGGCTGCTCCCTCGATCCCCGGCTGCTCCCCAGCCACCGGAGGAGGGTCCCACATGGCACGCAGACCTCTCCTGCCGCCCGCTGCTCCCCTCAGCAGTGTACTTCGGTCCTTCTGCCTGCTCTGCTCCCCGCTCTGGCTCTGGTGAATTCTCTCACCCTCCCGCGCTTCTGACTGTACACAGTGCTTGCATAAATAAATAAATAAATAAATCTTAAAAAAAAATTTACAAAAGCAGAGAGCCTAGAGAACAAAGGGAAATCTTTATTTAGTCAGTTGATGGCAGGAATGGGTAGCAGTGCTTCTGATTCTAGATTGCATATTATTGTTCATGCCTTCTGAGTGGCAGTATTGTGACTAGAAAGTATTGATACTATATTACCTTTTTATGGCTTTTAATGAACTCACTTTAGTTATTCTGTTCTCTTCCAGGTTATTTCCCTTTTAGCAGTTGCTCATTTATGGAGATTAGAAATGTAAATTCAGCTGAGCATTTATGATTCTTTTTTATATTAACATTAAATGTAGTCTTCACTGAACATGGTAGGGAAAGAGGGAATAGTACTGACAAAATACACTGAAGTTTTTTAATTAATGTGTCTCCTTAAGGACAACTAATTTATTCTTTTCTTATAGGTCACAAACAAAACACTAGATGTTAAGAAAATGATGAAAACCTGGACTCTGCAAAAAGGATTTCCTTTAGTGACTGTTCAAAGAAAAGGAAAGGAACTTCTTGTACAACAAGAAAGATTCTTCTTAAATATGAAGTCTGACATTCAGACTTCAGATGCAAGGTGCATGCCCTCTTTCTTTTCTTAATATCTCATTTATACCCTGAAGTTAAGGTATTTTTAAAATGTTTTGTAATCATAAGTGCATATGAAACCTAACCAGATTATTCCTTTTTTGGGAATGGCTGGAAAAATTTCACCTTCTTGTCCCTCCTCCCCCACCAAAAAAGAAAAAAACAATCTAACAAATCATGACTGCAATGTTGCAAGGAGAAATAATCGAGTTAGTTTTTTTTTTTTTTTTTTTTTCACAGCTATCTGTGGCAGATTCCACTATCTTATGTCGCTGGGGGAAGAAATTATTCAAAATACCAATCAGTATCACTTCTGGACAAGAAATCAGGTTTGACTCTTACACTTTTCTGATAAGAAATGGCAATTCTGGTGGAAAATAGCAAGTGCTGGGCCTCCCCGGTGGCGCAGCGGTTGAGCGCTGGGTTGCGAAGCTGCCCGCGGCCTCTGTGGCGCCGGTTCGATCCCCAGCTGCTCCCCGGCCACCAGAGGAGGGTCCCACATGGCGCGCAGACCTCTCCTGCCGCCCGCTGCTCCCCTCAGCAGTGTACTTCGGTCCTTCTGCCTGCTCTGCTCCCCGCTCTGGCTCTGGTGAATTCTCTCACCCTCCCGCGCTTCTGACTATACCCAGTGCATGTATAAACAAAACAAACAAACAAACAAACAAATAAATAAAACATGCCTCTATAAAAAAAAAAAAAGTTTAAAAAAAAAAATAGCAAGTGCTATGTTTTTGTATCCTAGATAAATATTTTTTGTTACAAAGTAAGAAGTGGTAGAGATAGAGCAGTTTCTTAGATTATGCTGTGCTGTGTACTTTCTAGGAGTGGACTGTGGCATTTGCATTTTAACAAGTATCTGGGTTATTTTTATGCATAATAACTATTGATTTATAACCTAGATTTATAGTAAATAATTATAAAATATCCTGCAGGCATAGTATACATTTTTGGTAATGAGAAAATAGGGCAAGTAGCAAAAACAGGTATAATAAAATGTAAGGATTGTGTCTGTTGACCCACAAGGTTATAAAAAAGCAATTAAAACACAGTTTCTGACCTTCTGTTAGTACTATTGATATTAAGAATGCCACACCATGTATCCTCTTATGTTACATCTTGAAAGAAAGTAAAGCTCTTGGATTCTACAGGAACCATTAGTGATACTTTCAATTGATGGGAAGGAAAAATTTGGAACTGAGCCTGGTGTTCAAGCCTATACTTTAGAGAAAGGACTGTACCTTAGTGATTAAAGGAACTGACCTTAGAGACAGGATTCCTGGTTAATTGTATAATTTTGGCCAGTAATATGACCTCTGGAGCCTCATTCCCTCAGCTATAGAACACAGATAGTAATTATACTTGCTTTATAAAGTTATGATGAGGATTAATTTAGATGTATGAAGTACTAGAACAATGCTTGACACATTTTATATACTATTTAAATGTTAGCTATTATTACTATTATTTTGAAAAATCAATCTTTATGATACATCCATATTACTTCATATACATCCCTATGACTTAAATTCAGAAAGTGGAGAATGAATCTTATCACCCTAACACTACTCTCATAAATATTTCTTTCTAGTAATTTTTCTAAATTTTTTTTTCTTAGTTGAAATCATTGTGTATTTGTGATTTTTTTTTATGTTGCCTTTTTTAAAATCATATATAGTAATTGACTTAATCTTTCCTTACTGTTGGACAATTGACTTATCATTTGTCTCTAATAAAATAGTGTGTCAGTAAAAATTTGGTGTCTTAAATATCTTTAAATAGGACTGCTCCTCAGAGATGAAGATTGTTACCCTTTGTGATTTTTTTAAAGATTTATTTATTTATTCATTCATTCATTCATTCATTCATTCATTTTTATTTATTTATTTATTTTTAAGAGATTGAATGATTATTTATTTATTTATTTATTTATGCAAGCACTGGGTCCAGTCAGATGCGCGGGAGGGTGAGAAAATTCACCAGAGCCAGAGGGGGGAACAGAACAGGCAGACTGACGAAATACACTGCTGAGGGGAGCAGCGGGCAAGGCAGGAGAGGCCTGCACACCATGTGGGACCCTCGCCAGTGGCCAGGGATTGAACCGGCATTGCAGAGGCTGCGAGCAGCGTCGCAGCCCAGCACTCAACCGCTGTGCCACCAGGAGAGGTCCACCTTTTGTGATTTAATATTTGTGACTAAGTTGCCCTTCTGTTGTGTGGTAACAATTGCTAATGAGATTGCCAATAGAAATACATGTTCCTACCACATACCTCATACCAATTACTTTGCAGTTTAATTGGAGTGGAATGTTAATCTTATTTAAAATCCTAAGAATGGTTGATGATGTCATATCTTAATGTATCTTTAATATAGCTGGAGGTATAAGGAAGTGCTACCTTTGATGAATACAAAGCTCCATACTATAAATGGGCCGAAATAATCCCTTCTTCCTGTTTGAGAGGGACCTGGTGCTCTGTGCCTCCACTGCACAGAAATTTTTTTAACAACATTCTATGCTGCCTCTTGTCTTTAGTTTGCATTTGTTGTTTCTTCTTCTGGAAGAACACTCTTGCCTCCCCACTTTTGATTGACTGCCTTTTATTCTTCAGATCCAGAAAGCCTTCCTTCATCCCAAAACAGATTAGATTCCCTCCTTACGTGTCTTAATAGCATTCTCTGCTTTTCTACTTTTAACATACTAAAGGGACTGTTTCACTTATATCCTCATATTAGATATACCATCAGTGAATTTAGAGAAGGCATATGTATAATTTCTGTAACCTTAGCACTCAGTAAGCACACAAAAGTGTATTGAATAAATTTTTGTCTGTAATGAAGTGAATTTCCAATCTCACTATAAAAAGTTCTAGGAAAAGAGAATTCAAGGGGCCTCCCCGGTGGCGCAGCGGTTGAGCGCTGGGTTGCGAAGCTGCCCGCAGCCTCTGCAGTGCTGGTTCGATTCTCGGCTGCTCCCCGGCCACTGGAGGAGGGTCCCACATGGCGTGCAGACCTCTCCTGCCGCCCGCTGCTCCCCTCAGCAGTGTACCTCAGTCTGCCTGTTCTGCTCCCCGCTCTGGCTCTGGTGAATTCTCTCACCCTCCCGCGCTTCTGACTGTACCCAGTTCTTGTATAAATAAATAAATACATCTAAAAAAATAAAAAATATAAACTATTAAAAAAAAGAGAATTCAAAATGAATTATGTTTCCCTTCATTTGAAATATTCTTAAAATGGGGATATACAAAGTGTATAGAAAATAATTGGTTTTATTTAGAGCTGTAATAGGGCCAATATATGATGAAAGTGACGTGTTACTTCCTCTACTCAACTATTTTATCTCCCTTGCTGCTGCTGCTGCTGCTACTGCTGCCTTTCTAATCCCTGCTAATTCATATTTTGAGAGTTCACATTGAAAGTGTTCTGTTCTTACAAAAAATTTTGACCCTGACGACAACTGGGTCTTATTTCCTTATGCTTCAGTGAGAATCATTTTCTTATTTTAATTCCTTTTTCATTTTTTCAGTTCTCAAAATATAGCAGAAATGCTGACTGCAGGCTTATTTCATGCTGTAAATTTAGCATAATGTGTTATCTTGGTGATTTGTTAAATCTTATAGTGTATTTCCATATGTTCTAATCCCAGGGTTCCTAGGTTAAGCCATTAGTTCGATCAAATATAGGAGCTATATTTGGTCATTGTCACTTTTCCCCACATATGTGAATTTTGAAGATTCATAGTATTTATGCATAATAAAAGGGACCATTTTTCTAAGCTACATACTGAGGAAATTATATTAAAAGTATTTTCCTCTTCCTTCTTCTCTTCTCCCCTCCTCTCCTCTCCTTCTAATACTCCCTGCCCATCCACATCTTAAACCTAAGCTCTTTAACCATAGGAAAATTTTAAATATAACTTGAAACATTCATGTTTCTAAAAAGATATCACTGTGCCAAAAGTATTTCTTTGAAACTAAAGGAGAGGGCATTGAATTGCAAGGCAATTGGTAAAAAGGAGAAAGACCATATAATTAAGATATTTGTCATGTGCTATTCTCCACTCTTGCCTTCCCCCCCTAATAAAATAAAGGAGAAGAAAAGGGATATTAGAGAAAGGAATGCTTTTGGACCAGAGGGGATGCAATTCAACTGTATGTATTTTGCCAACCCTCCAGAGCAAACTACACAGGAAATTTTGTAACTTTGTTGGGGTTAAAAAAAAACATGTTTTTTGTTTCTGTGTTTTAATGTTTCTTTACAAAACAGTAGTTAATTTTCAAAACTCATTGAGAAATGGTTTTTTAAAGTCATTATTAGATTACTTCATCTGGGTTTCTGCCATGTAAGATTGCAGTCACTCATTCTTTTTTACAACTCAATGGACTGTGGAAATTTTGAATTGTTAATCTGTTAATGATTATAAGAAATTAAAAACATATGAGGGTAGCCTCATCCACATTTGAGCAACATGCAAGATGTAGTTTACCTCTCTTTTATGCAAAGCCGTTGTTTTTTGATACCTGTGGTTTTAAGGTCCTCCAGTCGGGATCATTCAGAAGACCTGAAAGAAACGAGTATGTTGATTCTCTAAATGATAGATAATTCTCCTCTCTATGTTGGCTGCACTGCCCCCTTACTGTCATCAGATGATAGTAATAATTTCAAGTAAACTCCTACCCAGCTGCACTCCTTTTCTCTGCCATCTGGACTTAGCTAGATTTACAACCTGACAAGTTGCTTATCAGCCAAGTCACTCTGTATTTCAATATTGTCTATATCCATTGAGTGGAAAATTGCCTTACTTAGCATTTCTTGTTATTTGGCATTTGATTTTCTTTGGTCCTTCTTCCCATGGCCCTTTCTAGATCAAAGCCCTGTTTAAAGACCTGGAGAGGGCCCTCATCTCCCTCCCTCCCCCCACCCCATGGCTCAGTGGGTTGAAAGCAGTGCTATGAAGCTGTCCGAAGCTTCTGCAGCACGGGTTCAATTCCCAGCCGGCCAGGGAGATTCCCACAAGGCGCAATAGACCTCTCCTGTCGTGCCCGCTGCTCCCCTCAGCAGTCTATTTTGGTCATCTGCCTGTTCTGCTCCTCACTCTGTCTCTGGTGAATCCTCTCACCCTCCCGCGCCTCTGGCCTGTACTCCAGCTCTTGTATAAAAATAAATAAATCTTTAAAAAAAAAAAGGGGTGGGGGCCTCCCCAGTGGTGCACTGGGCTGCGAAGTTGCCCGCAGCCTCTGCAGCGCTGCTTCAATCCCCGGCCACCAGAGGAGGGTCCCACATGGCGCGTAGACCTCTCTGCCGCCTGCTGCTCCCCTCAGCAGTGTATTTTGGTCCATCTGCCTCTGTTCCCCGATCTGGCTCTGGTGAATTCTCTCACCCTCCGGCGCTTCTGACTGGACCCAGTGCTTGTACAAATAAATAAATTAATTAAAAAAAAAAAAAGACTTGGAGAGCGTTGCATCTTTTGCGTTAGCTAGTGATAAAGTTAATTTAATTAGTGACTGGTTTGTTTAAAATGACTCCATCTTGAACAGCTATTGTTGCCATCACAATACTTAAAACTATATCCTGCTCTAGGAAAAGAAATAAACCCTATTAAAATAATTTATCTTTCCCATCTGCTGCTATATCAGCAGATGAAAAGTCTGATTAGCTGATATTTTTATTAAGACATGTTCAGAATGTCTTTTTCATCTTAGTCTTTTGCAATTTCACCTTTTTTCATCTTTCATTTTTTGCTTATTCACCTTTTGCAGTTTCGGTAGATTTGGAGTAACCAGGGTATTAAAAGAATCTGATACACTTAATTAAATTTATGCTTCTAAAGTTGACAAACCCTAAAATTTCAGGCACTAACAGATTTAAAGCTGTTTCTAAAGCATCTTACCTGGGAAAACCATGACTACAGAATTATAATAATAAAATTTTAAAACTGGGCCTCCCCCGTGGCACAGCGGTTGAGCACTGGGTTGCGAAGCTGCCCGCGGCCTCTGCAGCGCGGGTTCGATCCCTGGCTGCTCCCCAGCCACCGGAGGAGGGTCCCACATGGCGCGCAGACCTCTCCTGCCGCCCGCTGCTCCCCTCAGCAGTGTACTTCGTTCCTTCTGCCTGCTCTGCTCCCCGCTCTGGCTCTGGTGAATTCTCTCACTCTCCCGTGCTTCTGAAGAGTGAACACTGTATGAAGACAGTGGAAAGTGGTGGTGGGGGGGGTTTGAAATCTGATAGGTGAAAAAAGCAAAATAAATACGAATGTATGGAGAACCACTGTATGAAATACCACATCAGTAAAAAGGTGTACAGGAAAAGTGTTGGCAGGAAATGTACCCATAATGCTAATTGAATTTAGATTGTTTTTCTTATCTCTAGTCTTCTTTCACTTACAATTTTTAAAAATGAGTATTCTTCACTTTATAATGGGGAAAAAAACTTACATCATTAATATCTACAAACCTTATTTAGATGATTTCAAACCATTTACCATAACGTAGTTATTTTTTTCCTCTATTCATTAACTCTTCACCTATATTAGTACTGCTAGGAACTTTGTTCTAGAACGGGACTGCGGTTTTAGCAGTGAACAAAATCATAAGCATGTGGAGTTTATATTTTTATAAATAGTAAGCATTAAGGTGCTTGGAAACATTCCTTTAACTGTTTGATTAAAGTCATGTTATATTAAACTCATGTCCTTATTGCCAACTTAGAGGACATTTCTTGATTAGTAATATTAAAATTTTTTTAAATTTCTACATATATTTTATAGTCAGCTTTTGACATAATGTATTTCTATGGTTATGTACTTTGTAGCTCCATACTAATTCTACAACAATTGAAATCATTCTGTGTACATTTTAATAATTCTCTTAGCATTTATATTTGTAGCCGTAAGAGTCCAAAATGTACTTTTATTATTCTATTTCTTTTCTTTTTTCTTTTTTTAAAGATTTATTTATTTATGTATACAAGAACTGGGGTACAGGCCAGAGGTGTAGAGGATGAGAGGATTCACCAGAAACAGAGTAGGGAACAGAACAGGCAGACTGACTGAAATACACTGCTGAGGGGAGCAGCGGGTGAATTGGGAGAGGTCTGCTGTGCCATGTGGGTATATCCCTGATTGAGCTTGTGCTGCAGTGGCTGCGGATCGCTTAATAGGTTGCATCTTAACCCTGTGTGCCACTAGGGAGACCCTCTATTTGTTTCTTATGCCTAAAGAGACCTTAATCCTTCCCTAATGTTTATTTTGTTAGCCTTGAATTATGTGACTTTCTAAATGAGAATTAGGTGACTTTCTAAATGGCTTTTTCTTTTGTAACATAACAAAAGAGATATGAATGGAACACACTTTATATAGTTCTCGCGTTACCTTTCCAAGCTGCTTCACCCTACGCACACTTGCCTTTTCTCCCTGCTTCTCTCCTCTAGCCACAGTGAACTTGGGAGCCAACTTAGTGGACCCACACCATGTATATTTTCTCTTTGGACCTTGAATAATTAGGGTTCTTCTTCACCTGGCTAACACCAATATTCCTGAAGTCTCACCTTGGATGTCATTCCTTTATAGGAATCTCCTCTAACTTCCCCTAGGGGATAAAGCTTTTCTTCTATGTGCATCCACAGAATGGAATAATTTTCTTTTTTCATCAGTAACATTTACATGATATTGGAATGTGTACATATTGAGATATGTAACCATGGTTGCCTGGTTTTACATTAAGCTATAAGGTCCACGAAGGAAGAGATATGTCTTTTGTTCACCATTATATAAATAATTGATATTTAATGATTAGATGCAAATAGACTAGATTAAATAGAATGTTTAATTATAAAAATGGAACATTAATTTTGAAACAAAGTGTAATTTAATTTTTTTTCTCTCCTGCTCTCATATTTTGGTCTGTATTAGGTGTCATCAATCTTACAGAAGAAGTGCAGTGGATCAAAGTCAATATACACATGAGTGGTTATTATATTGTACACTATGCAGATGATGACTGGGAAGCACTAATCAAACAGTTGAATGTAAATCCTCATGTCCTGAGTGACAAAGACCGAGCCAACCTCATCAACAACATCTTTGAACTTGCAGGGTAGAGTATGCTTGGTTTGGGTTTTGTTTTTTTTTTTTTTTTTTTTTTTTAAGATTTATTTATTTATACATACAAGAACTGGGTACAGTCAGAAGCGTGGGAGGGTGAATTCACCAGAGTCAGAGCAGGGAGCAGAGCAGGCAGAAGGACCGAAGTACACTGCTGAAGGGAGCAGCGGGCGGCAGGAGAGGTCTGCGGGCCATGTGGGACCCTCCGCCGGTGGCTGGGGAGCAGCCGGGGATCGAACCAGCGCTGCAGAGGCTGCAGGCAGCTTCGCAACCCAGAGCTCAACCGCTGCACCATGGGGGAGGCCCTTGGTTTGGGTTTAAAACACATTTTTTAAAAGTATGGTTAAGGAAAAGAACTTTTAAAAGAAGTTCAAAAGAATTACATATATTGCTTGCTAGGTACAGTTCATTTTGGAGGACTGGGAAAAGATAAAACATCTTCTTTGTCTTCAGGTACCTTATAGTCCTACAAACATACTGAGTAATTAATGACAAAATTTAGGTTCTCTCTCAAGACCAAATACCAACAAGCAGGAAATACATACTTTGATGAATAAATTGATGTAAGAGTTCAGGCTTTGTTTTATTTCATGAGAGAATTCTTTTCAAGTAGTGGTTTGAGCATTAAACTTAGTGATTATACAAGTCAGGTTTCAGGAACATCTCAAATAGTTGGAGCCCCCTTGTTTGTGTACTGCTGGCCTCCCTAATTACCCTGTGCATTACAGAACCCTAAAGCCAAGAATGGTAGTGACCATGAGAGCAGATATTCTCTGAATAGGAAGATTACCACTTTAGATTGTTAATGGGCCTAGATACACAAGGAACAGTCAAAAGTGTTTCTTCTGACTGCTCTTGGCCTTCCTATTTTGGTTCATTTTTTTATGAAATGACATTATATCATTATTATGACTTTTATAAAATGGTTACTTTTTAAAGTGGACTCACCTCAATGTCACAGTAGACCTTGCCTTAACAAGTTTAACACTTTCTAATATAAACCACAAATAAAATCTTTTCTGTTTCAAATCCTCTTTATGCCACCTGCTGTCACTTGGTAAATATAAGTAATAATAAATAAAATAGTACTCTATCATTACTCACCTAAGATTGTAATATGTGTCCTGAGTCAATAGCAATTTATATGTGACGTGGAATTAAAACTGAGCTATTATTTGTTTTTTTTTTCTGAAATGTGTCTGTAGCCTTGGGTTACACATATGAACTTGTTATGTCTAACTTTACAGAATGCCACTATGTAAGCTTAAATTTGAGATCTTGAATACTCGTCATCTAGCTATAAAGTTTGTTTCTCAGCATGCATAGAGTTTCTCTGTCTCAGCATACATATTTTCTCTGTTCTTTTACCCTCCAGCCTAGGCAAGGTACCTCTTCGGAGAGCCTTTGATTTGATTGATTATCTTGGAAAAGAGAACTGTACTGCACCCATCACTGAAGCCCTGTTCCAAACGGGCCTCATCTATAACCTCCTTGAAAAACTGGGACACATGGATCTGACTTCAAGATTGGTGGTAAGTCTATGTTTTTGCCAACTTACTTTTGTGCTTGTCTTTGAGAGTCACAGTTCCATTGGGTAGTAATAGACTGAAAAAGCAGCCAGTAAGTTCTATTTTCTTCACCTTCATAGTTGAGAAATTTTTACTTTGCCATTGCTTACCATAAAGAATTGATAAAGGCTAAGCATAACATGATCTTTTTGTATATCAAAATATAGACTCCATGATATACAAAAAGACAATTTCTCTATTCAAATCATGGCTTATTTTTATATAATAAATGCTTGAAATAGACTTTTTTCTAAAGTACTGCTCCCTATTAATGTTCTAGTGATCATTATAAAAATGACAGTTATATTTGTGTTGAGAATATTCTTTTTTAGGAGTGCCTTTTTTTTTTTATTAATGCCTGTTGTGTGCATGATGATACTAGTGAATGTTTGTTCACAGAGTACTTAACGAGAGTTAGTACTAGAGGTTGTTTTGCCTTTCATAAAACCAATAACCTGATCTTATTTAGACACATTCAGTCGTATTGAATTGATAACTGAGTCTGTAAGGCTTGGAGGAAGTAAGGAATTCCTTGTTTCATCTAAATCTCTGAATTAGTATATTCTGACATCAGAGTCTGCTTTATAAATTAGTTAGGTATTTCAGAGACCTAGTCAAAGGCAGCTAGGAAAAGGAAGAAAGTATTGAATCAGGAATTAGAATAAGTCATTTAGGGTTTTGGTGTGCTCCTTGATAAAAAGGAAGAGCTTAGATTACATTTTTTCCTTTTTTGATCAGGAGATACATTAATTTGGTAGATAGTGCACAAAATTTTTCTAAACTACATTTCTTCTGTTCTTTTGCTCCAGTCTTTTGAGTGTTTCAACCCACCAATGATTTATTTAGTTTATATTTTATTCAGGCAACATTGGTTTACAGTGCTGTATATGAATTACAGGTAAAGGGTCACACCCTTCAAGTGTATGTGTTTTTTTTTTTTTTTTTTTAAAGATTTATTTATTTATTTATGCCTATAAAAACTGGGGTAAAAGCCAGAAGTGCAGGGGGTGAGAGGATTCACGAGAGACAGAGTGGGGAACAGAACAGGCAAACTGACTGAAATACACTGCTGAAGGGAACAGTGGGCAAGACAGGAGAGGTCTGCTGTGCCATGCAGGTAGCCCCCCGGGCCAGGGATCCAACTCGTGCTGCAGAGACTGTGGATAGCTTCACATTGCAGTGCTTAACCCCTTTTGCCACCAGGGAGGCTGTCAAGTGTATGTTAACACATCACACCCACCACCAACATAACCACCATAATGATTGTTCCTCTCCCCCACTCTCCTCTTCCTTCTCCCCCTGTAGCCACAGTTCTACAGATTTCTGGGGCTTGTTGGTTTGGTTTTGTCTGTCCTTTGTTTTTATTCTTTATATTCCACATATAAGTGACACCATCTGGTATTTGTCTTTCTCCATCTGACTTATTTCACTTAGCATTATCCCCTCCAGTTTCATCCATATTAATGCTGATGGCAAATACTTGTCTTTTTTAATAGCTGAGTTATGTATATACACCACATTCCCTAACCCATTCATCTGTCTTTGGCACTTAGGTTGTTTCCATAACTTGGCTATTGTAAATAATGCTATAATGAACATAGGAGTGCATACACCTCCTTGAATTAGTGATTTTGCATTCTTTGAATTACTGGTTTATATGGTCTATTTATCTTTAATATTTTGAGAAATATTCATACTATTTTACATAGGGGCTAAACCAGTCTATATTCCCACCAACTGGGTATGAAGATTCCCTTTTCTCTAAATGCTCCCCCAAATTTGTTGTTTCTGGCCTTTTTCATCTGGACCATTCTTACAGGTGTGAGGTGGTATCTCTTTGTAATTTTTGATTTGCACTTCCTTAATGATTATTGTTGATAAGTATTTTTTCAGGTGCCTGTTTGCTGTTTGTCTTCTTTGACGAATTTCCTAGTTAGCTCTTCTGCCCATATTTTGATTAGTTTCTTTTGTTTCCTCTTGGTCGAATTGTATCAGTTCTTTTTACATCTTAGATATCAGCCTCTGGTCAGATGTATGGAGTGCAAACATTTTCTCCCATGCAGTGGGGTATCTTTTTGTGTTAGTGATAGATAGTTTATTTAGCTGTACAGAAACTTTCGAGTTTGATATAGTGTTTACGTGTCCTCTGTGGTTTCCAGTCTTTCAGCTGTGTCTTTTGAGTTAATTGTTATGTGTGGTGTGATCATGGTCTAGCTTCATTCTTTCCCATGTGGCTGTCCAGTTTTCCCAACACCATTTTTTCCATTTAAGTTTTTCTTCATGGCAATTTTGAATATTGTATCTGATAGGAAGAAAAGATCATTCATGTCTTTGTGATTGGATTTTGGAGATTTATTCTCTCTTTGAGTTAAAATATCCCCTTGAGAACTCAAGGTGCTATGTATTGTATTTTTCAGTCTCCCCATTTTGTAGCTTTCTGGGTTGCCAATTTCTTCAAGTTTCCTGAGGTTGCAGAGCTTCCACTTTTTCAGCAGGTGGCACTGTATGTCAGAAAAAAACTGATCTGCAGCTGCTGATTCCAGAATAGGGTAGGCCTTGAAGGAGTTCAGTCACTGTACTAGAGTGACTAGTATTTTTGGTACTGGTGGAAGACCTCCTCTCTGTGTTTCTAGACTTGTCTTTTTGAGGTATTGCTCTGTCATGCTTCGCAGGATCAGTTTGATTCCTAAATGGGTGGTGGAGGAAGACTGCCATTCTGTTCCCCGTCCTCTTCACTGGAGACCTGGCCCACCTGGAAATCCCAGCCCTGCTGCACATATCTGCTCAGTTAAGAAGGGTGTTTCTCCATACTGATCAGCATGCCCTGCCCCAGGGCCACTGGCCAAACATAGGATCACAACTCTGAGATATTCATGGCACATTCCCAGCTTGGCTACAGTCTCTAGGCACCTGTCTTCATCCACTCAGTTGTATGGAGTTGAATTTCTTTAGTGTCCTTTCTATCACAGTCAGTGTTAGTTTCCATTCAAGAGGTGCTTAGTTTTCATCCCAAGTCACAGGGCCCTCTGAGTCCAGTACCACTCTGAACTATTTTCAGATTGTCCTCATGGCAGCAAAGACAGATACCTTCTCTGGTGCCATCTTTCTCCTCTCATTTTTTTTAACAACCTCCTTTCTGCTTCTCTTACTGTCCTACTGCTCATCCCCTGTGATAAGTTTTCTCATCTTGCACTATTGTCAGTAGGGGGCACATGGTGCTTAAAAGTACCCTCCCCCACAAATTTCTCATCTGTTCTGAGGAGAGCTGCCCCCATCCCTACCAGCAGGTGAGATGGTTATGGTAAGTAGATGGTTTCTTAGGTTTCTTCTAATTGTTCAGATTTTTATAATTCTTCTATTTTATAAGACTTTCAACTACCATCCTTAACAGAAACAAGCACCTGAAATATACCTGGCTGGCCCATAGTGATACTCAGTAAAAGCTGAATGAATAAAGGTGTGAAACACACCAGAAACAAGTGGATTTTAGTGCTTATTTTATTCTACATCCAGTGCTTACTGCTTAATGTAAATCACTTTGATTAATCCCACAAAATGCCAAATAGCTATTTCTAGTCTCATTAGATAAATGAGGGTACTTAATAACTTTACCAAAGTCACTTACCTAGTAAACTCTAAAGCTGAGATTCAAGCCCAGATAAGTTTCACTGCAATGCTGTCCTACTCGTTGTGTTATGTTGCTGTATTTTAAATTAATTTGTGTTCTAGCATTGTCATCTTTCACAAGATACCTTTTTGGTGGAAAGATCAAAGCTATTTTTGTTATTTTTTAACTGGGATTTTATATTAAAACATTTCTTGTATGCGTAATTAAAAATAAAAATCTTTAAAAATAAAAAAGTTTGAAAGTATAAGCAATGTGTTTAAGATTTAAAATGACAGACCCCGGGCCTCCCCGGTGGCGCAGCGGTTGAGCGCTGGGTTGCGAAGCTGCCTGCAGCCTCTGCAGCCGGTTCGATCCCCGGTTGCTCCCCAGCCACTGGAGGAGGGTCCCACATGGCGAGCAGACCTCTCCTGCCGCCCGCTGCTCCCCTCAGCAGTGTCCTTCGGTCCTTCTGCCTGCTCTGCTCCCAGCTCTGGCTCTGGTGAATTCTCTCACCCTCCCGCGCTTCTGACTGTACCCAGTGCATGTATAAACCAAACAAACAAACAAATAATAAATAAATAAATAAGACATGCCTCTAGAAAATCAAAAAAAAAAAAATAAAAAAATAAAATAAAATGACAGACCCACCGCTAGTTGTTCTCTTCAAAATGCAGTTTTGAACTTACTATTTAATATTTCCTGTATATCCAAAATGTTAATAAACTGTGTTATTGTTGTTGTTGTTTTTAACATAGGTATGTGCATTTCCAACGAAGTAGGCAAATAACTTATCAGTCTCTTTAGGGCAAACTAACCTCACTTGCACATACTTCCAACTATTGGTATAGTAAAGAGATTGGCTGTTTGTTAGCAGTCAGCTACTGTAGATGGACATTTGGAATGTTTGCAGTTTGGAGCTATTACAAACAACATTGCTATGAATATTCTTACATGTGTCTATATGTCTGGTGAATATATTTTCTTTGTAACCTGTTTCTGGAAGTGAATTGCTGCATTATAACATACACATACTTAATGCTATACTAAACATTGTTTTTCAAAGTTGTACCAATTTCTACTCCATCCACAGTATATGACATCTGTAATTGTATTCTGGCTCTATATCCTTGCCAACATTATTAATTCTTGTTTATTCTTTTAGTCATTTGGATGAGTACATCATGGTATTACAATTTTTATTTTAATTTGCATTTCCCTAATGACTGATGAAAAGAAATTGCTTGGCATGTTTATTGACCATTGGATTTTTTTCTTTTGTGAATGTCCAAGTCTTTTACTTACTTTTCTGTTATATTGTCTGCCTTTTTCTTATGGATTTGTAAAGGTTTTTTTAAAAGTCTACATAGTAATACTTTGTTAATTATGTTAATTTGCAGATATCTTTTCCCAACTAGCTTGCATTTTCAGTCTCTTAATGATGTTAATTATTAGTGTAGATTCTTAATATTCATGCGTGAAATGCATCTAAGATATTCTCTTCTGAAAAGCTTATTATTTTACCATTACATTTAGATCTGTCCATATGGAATTGATTTTGTATATGGTATAAAGTAGATACAAAGATTCATTTTTTTTCAGTAAGGTTATTCAGTTGACCTGCCACCAGTACACTTCATTGCATATATATTTTTATTATAGAATTTCTGTAATTTTTGATAAATGATTTAGTGCCATATTAAATCAACACCATTTGGGATAGTATATTAGTTTCTTGGGGCTGCCATAATAAATTACCACAAACTTGGTGTCATATAGGAACAAAAATTTGTTTCCTCACAGTTCTGGAAGCTAGGTAATTAAAATCAAGGTGTTGGCAAGGCAGGATTGGTTGCTTCTGAGGGATAATCTATTTTACTTCTTTCCTAGCTTCAGGTAGTTGCTAGCAATCGTGGTGTTTCTTGGTTTGTTGATGTATCACTCCAGTCTCTGCCTCTCTCATCATGTAGCATCTTTTGTGTTTCCATGTTCAGTCATTGCAATAGGGCCCACTGTAATCCAGAATGACCTCATATTATTAACTTTCATCTGCAAAAATCCTATTCCCAAATAAGGTCACATTTACAGGTTCTAGGCAGACATGAACAGGGTGGGGAGGAACTATTCAACTCAGTAGAGATAGCAATAAATAACATCATTACATATCACTCACTTTTTTTTTTCCACTAGTAAATGATAGTATTGGTACTGAATATGCCCTAGGAGGAAGCAGAATACTTCAGTAATCTGCATCTGCCCAGCTAGTTAAATTTCATGATGGCAAAAACCATTCTTCCTCTGCCTTTCTCCATTAACTCTATTCAGGACTCAGCATCAGGAAGCACTAGATCTTTACTTCAGGGTGTCCCTATGTTGAAAACACACATGCTAAATAAATCAGTTCAAAGAGTTAGACTGTTTGAATATTTTCCCAGTGAGGCACTCAAGTAACTCTGCATCTTTATCCCAGGTGGTGATTCTCAGTTTGCTGGGCAGGTATGTGTTTATTAGGAACATACTTCAGGGTGGGATCCAGGGACTGACAGGACAAGGACAAAGAGGCTTAGTATGGTTGTAAGGCCAGGGCCCTTTTGCTGCTGTAGATCTTCCTACACTTGATTGTTAGTTAAAAGTAAGGCTAAGTTGCGCCTCCCCGGTGGCACAGCGGTTGAGCGCTGGGTTGCGAAGCTGCCCACAGCCTCTGCAGCGCCGGTTCGATCCCCGACTGCTCCCCGGCCACCGGAGGAGGGCCCGCTGCTCCCCTCAGCAGTGTGCTTCGGTCCTTCTGCCTCCTCTGCTCCCTGCTCTGGCTCTGGTGAATTCTCTCACCCTCCCGTGCTTCTGACTGTACCCAGTGCTTGTATAAATAAATAAATCTTTTAAAAAAAAAAAAAAGTAAGGCTAAGTTAAGTTAGAAATGTATCTTTAAATTTTTATTCTAATTTCAGGTCATTTGGTAGCATCAAAATTCTTAAAGTACGAAATCTGACACACTGTAGTCAGAGATTGGGGACATTTCAGAATCCTTGGATCCAATTTTGAAACAGACCTGGTATCTAATCAATTTTTATGTCATTGTGTACATTTATTGGTCATTTTGCTATACAGGCTGCACATAACTACGTAATACATATCTATATACCACATTTTGTCTTATGTGCTATGGTGTTGTGATAGGTAGGGTCTTAAGGTACATTTAATTCTGTCAAATTGTTCACAATCTGATGATAACACCTGATCCCAGCCATATTCCTGTTTTATCACTTACAAGTCTGTCATTCTTGTACATATGAGGGAGTGGTGGAAAAAGCCTTTTCAAGTGAAACCCCCCCCCCCAAAAAAAAAAAAAAAAAAAAAAACCTGGCTGGGTATATCAGTATAACAGTAAACCAGTAAATCAAAATGTAATATATAACATAAGTTCCAGCATCTTTCTCTGCTTTTTTAAATCATGTTGTTATTGTTGCATATCCAGTGTTAATAGCTTGTGTGCAACCCATGAATTTATTCCCTCTCCCTACTTGCCATTTTAACTTTATGAAAAGGAAGTATCAGATTCTGTTGTGAATGAGTTTAAATTTTGAAAATAAATTTAGAGCCATGGAAACAGAGATTTAATTTTATTGCTAAAAAGGAAAGGTAATGTGTTTATAATTTTAAAACTATAATTTGGATTACTTATAAAAATGATACTTTATAATAACAAGAATTTTCTAAAAGCAGAATTAGTATACTTTTTAAATAAAATATTTTACTCTGTTATTATTTGAAGTACATTTTCAAAACAACTATTTTGGGAATTTCCCTTGATTGTTTAGTACAAGGAATAATTAGTAAAATTGTGCTTTGTAATTCTGATGAGTAACTGCTCAGGAATTAGCCTTATCATCTTTTGGTATTATTCCCTCTCTTCACGTATTTTACTTAAAGTGCCATTTTTTTCCCCTACTATGTTCTTTATGTTGTAGTCTTTATGCTCCCAAGGAGCATTGCCGTTTTTCTCCACTGAGTTCTTTTAGTAATATTTCAAATACATAACTTTTTTCTTTGCACATTCTTCCTTTGTTTCTGTTTGATAGCCATGAATAGCTTTTAAGTTTGTTTTATTCTTCAGTTTTAGGATAGTTTGTTATCATGCCATTGAGAAGGTCAAGCCAATCAATGGGAAACAGCACATATCAGTGCAGTCATGTGTGTCCAGTTGGAGTCTCCACATTGCTTTTATGTACCTTACATTAGCAGTCATCATGGAAAGTATTTTTCTACTTCATGTCCTCTCAGTGATTGGTAGGCTTTGTTAATCACACGTTCCACAAGGTGTTTGTTGTCTATTTCACTGCTTTTGAAGCAAACAAAAAGTGAGTTAACATGTTATCACAACTTTGAGTTCTCCTCACACAACTTCATTTTTGCCATTCCCATCATTATCTCACAAGAGACTCAGAGAAAGGTTAGCTGAGAAAATGGTGTCAGTAGTTTAAAAATCTCTAAGTAGAATTCATTTTAAGTATTGACAGTGGTACACAGAAGAATACAATGCTCTACAAAGACTTGGAACTAATTGCTGGGGTTAAGAGTTTTGCATGTGGCCGTCTATGGTCCTTTCTTACTTGAGCTGAAACATGGTAGTGGTGGTGGCGTTAAAAAAGTGGGAAGGAGTACCCCGTGCTGATAACACATGCAGGGAAGGCATGCGTGTCTGTGAATTTTTCATTTTGATTCTCCTTATTTATTGCTGTGAGTTTTTTTTTTAAAAAAAAAACATGCCTATGAATATTTTTATATCAGAATTTTTTTTTCTTTTTAGGTACCATTCATTGATGTAAATTTCATGTGATTTTTTAAATCCCATGTCATCCTGTCCTGTATCACCACAGCTTGCAATATAGATATCTTTCCATGTACTATGAATATCTTCTATGCTTTTGTTATGGGGAGAGATTAAAAAAATGAGATTTTTGATTTCTTAACACCATAGTATACATTTAAGAATGACATCCCATTCAGAAGTAATGCTAACAGGGGCCTCCCTCGTGGTGCAGGGGTTAAAGACAGCGCTATCAAGCTACTGCCAGCCACTACAGCACAAGTTCAATTCCCGGCCGGCCAGGGAGCAACCCACATGATGCAGCAAACCTCTCCTGTCTCACCCACTGCTCCCCTCAGCAGTATATTTCAGTAGATCTGCCTGTTCTGCTCCCTACTCTCTCTGGTGAATCCTCTCACCCCTCCACACCTCTGGCCTGTACCACTGTATGGCCTGTACCATACAGTTCTTGTATGCATAAATAATAAATCTTTAAGGAAAAAAAAAGAGGTAACTAACAATGAACTGAAGAGTAGGTGATAATACTAAGTGATTGTTGATATTCTAAGTATGATAGGGTATTACGGTTGTTTAGGAGAATTTCTTTACTTACCTTATGGGGGTTGCAAAATGAGGTATTTATAAACTGCATATGATAGCTGTAACTTACTTTCAGACAAGATCAGGTGCTTTCAGGGTGCTATGGCATATACTGTAACTTTCATATGGTTCAGCTAAAACCAGAAAAACAAGCACGAGTGTGTATGTGTTATAGACGCATAGAAAAAATGCAAGTGTAAGGTGCTAAAAACCAGTAAATTTAGGTGAACAGCATATGGGTATTCATCGTACTATTCTTATAGCTTTTCTGTGGGTTAAAAAATTTTAATATAAAAAAATTGGGGGGAAAAACAACTATTCTTCCATATAGTCCTCATTTTCTTGCTAATTTGGTAAGATTAATTTGTTATTGCATCAAACTAGTTGTTTTAAAATATTCCTTTAATATTGGATTCAGAAATAGTTAAAGGTCTACCTAGCTATTGCTTTATGGATTTTTGGATTCTAATATCATGCGATCAGGAAGTCCTAACTTCTTCCCAATAGTAGTTATAGGTGATATTCTGGTAGGCAAGTAGCTGCTTTCTAGGTGAATATACACAAAAGAAAGGTTTCCTATTGCACAGAAATCATTAATTCTTTCTGTCGTATATTGTTAAGATAGCAACCTTATATGTAGCCTCTGCTATTGAATAGTTTCATCTGAACTATGTGTAGGCTTCATATGTTAGTTAATATTAATGAGTAATATCTAAGCTCTCCCCCAATCCCTTTTTTTTTTTCTTTTTCCAGGGTAAATGTTCAGAAAAAGAGATCTAGTTTTCCTGATTTTTTTGGTTGTCCTAATTATTTTTACTCTATTATCATCCATTTTGCCTTTCTAGAATAGAGTATTTAAATTGCTTCAAAACCAAATCCAGCAACAAACTTGGACTGATGAGGGCACCCCATCTGTTCGAGAGCTTCGATCAGCCTTGCTAGATTTTGCTTGTACTCACAGCATAGAAAACTGCAGCGCTGCTGCCACAGATCTGTTTGATAAATGGATGGCATCCAATGGAACTCAAAGGTGGGGTGTACTTCTACTCAAGTGTTTACCTTATGTCATACTAAAAACAGGACCTTGATATTCTGTGTCATGAAATGTTATAATACTGTGTTAATGGAGGTGAACTATGCAACTACATTCAAATACAATTTTTAATTGTGGTAAAATACATATAACTTAAAATTTACTTTCTTAATTTTTAAGTGTTCAGTAGTATAAGTACATTTGTGGTGGTGTACAATCCCCAGAACTTTTTCATCTTGCAAAACTGAAAGCTTATACCCATTAAACAACAACTCCTCATTTTCTGCTCCCCCAGTCCCTGGCAACCTCCAATCTACTTTATTTTTTATGCGTTTCATTATTCTAAATATCTCATAAAGATGAAATCAACCAGTATTTGTCTCTTTATGACTGGCTTATTTCACTTAACATAATGTCCTCAAGGGTTGTCCATGTTGTAGCAAGTGTCAAAATTTCCTCCCTTTTTGAAGGCTGAATAATCCATTGTATATTATCTATCATATTTTGTTTATCCTTTTATCCATTGATAGACATTTGGGTTGCTTCTACCTTTTTGCTGCTCTAAATAATGCTGCTATGAGCATGAGTACCCAGATACCTCTTTGAGACCCTGCTTTCAGTTCTTTCAGATATATACTAAGAAGTAGTATAACTGGATCATATGGTAGTTCTTTTTTTTTTTTTTAAAGAACTGCTATGCTTTTTTTCCATAGTGGCTACACCATTTTGTATTCCCACCATCATTGTACAGTGTTCCCTTTTCTCCACATGTTTGCCAATACCTATTTTTGGTAGCTGCCATGATGGTATCAAACATGTATCATTTATTTTAGGAACACATAGCATGCGGAGTTACCTGTTTTAGAAATATTTTTGATGATGATTGGTTCTCTCCAGGCTCCTTACTAGGCACATGGGAAAAGATTCAATGGAGAGTTGGGATGGGGAGTAACCTTTTGTGAGATCCTTTCCAACTCTGAGACCTTAATAAAGCCAGTAAACTGTACTTCTTTCCATCTTCTTACTCACCCCCACATTTATTGCTATGTTTCTACCATAGAACTTGCCACCCTGTATTATAACATATGTCCTTATTGCTCTGTACTTAGTGAAAGTCTCTGAGTTCCTAATGGGCAAAGACTGTGTCCCATTCCTCTTCCTCTCCCCAGCATCCAGCCAAGTGCCTGCCTGGTACTTTGTGGGTCCTCAATGAATAATTATTGTATTGAATTGAAATGGGGTTCTTTAAAGTCACCCCACTAGGAAAGTAGTAGCCTCTGAACTAATCTTTTTCTTGACTGTTCATGGTACAGTGAGGAGGCTTTTAATTATTGTCTGCTATGACCCCCAAAACACCAGGACTTCTTGTTCTCATGTTTGGCCACTTCTCTTACAGCCTACCTGCTGATGTTATGACTACCGTGTTCAAAGTGGGAGCAAAAACTGAGAGAGGCTGGACTTTCCTCTTAAGCAAGTATGTCTCTATAGGCTCAGAAGCAGAGAAGAATAAAATTCTTAAAGCTCTTGCCAGCTCAGAGGATGTACGGAAACTTTACTGGTATGAAACCTCCCAAGGGATATGATATATAGAAACCAAAGGCTTAAAAGCATTGCGCTCCTAGGGTGGGAGGAGACCTGACTTGAACACCATGGAGCAGCCTGGCGGTTTTGGATTTCACTTCAGGATGCACCTGGATAGATAAGCACAAAATAATAAAGCCAGTGAACTGTACTTCTTTCCATATTCTTACTCACCCCCATAGTTGTTGCTATGTTTCTACCATAGAACTTGCCACCCCATATTGTAATATATATTGCTCTGTATTTTGTGAACATCTGTGAAGGTCCTAGTGGCCAGAGACTGTGTCCTATTCCTCTTGGCCAGAAGACATCAGTAGATGCCAGAATCACAACTTCCTCCTACTTTCTGTTTAAAAACATCTTTATCCCCTTGGCAGGTTGTCTTTAAATCCACTTAGTGCTTCATTCTTTTTGGTCAACCACTGCTCTGTCCAAGCTATAATTTTGAAAATAAAGACACTTTAGAAAATGGTAACATGTCACAGTTTATACATTACCCCTTCTTATGAACTTGTCAGAATTTTACTTTGTAATACTCAACTGATAACAGACCTGGAAATGGTAGTTTCACATGGAGGAAAGAGAGGCAGTTTAAGTAGGGCTTCCTTAGGGGATGAATAGTCATTGACAGGGTAGATGAGCTCTGTATAGCTAAGAGAAGTATGAAGTCATCTTGAATGTCAACTTGAGAAAGAGGGAGGCACTTTGGTATCATTGCTTCTCTGGTATAGTTTTGCTCAGATAAACCCAAATAATTTTTCTGAGATGTCCTCAGCACCTATCTACATTCATGTTCCAGAGGATACACTGTATATAAGCAGTAGCCAGCCTCTAAGCTGTGTAAATGGAGAAAAAAAATTAGTTTTTATATTTGTAATAGTGTTATTTTAAACTAGTATACATTAATAAATTCCCATTATAAAGTATTCAAACAATATCTAAGAAAGTAGAATAAAATATGAAAGTATCTCTTGTCTTTCACTTCCATTATTTTCTCTTAACTGTTAATCTTGTGTATTTACATACATAAACATAGGTTTATACCTTGCCCTGACATTCTTTATTAATGAACAGTCACTCTGAGATTTGCCACATCAGTTCATAAAGCCAACTTCATTTGTTTTTAATCGCTGCATAGTATTCCATAGCATAACTATCATACTTTTTGTAACTCACCATGTTTCAGTGGACATGTGGGCTTTTCCCTCTAAAAATACCACATTCTTTTCTGGGTATGTGGGTCCTCACTATTAGCAAGTTTTATAGTATAGTAGATGAGACTGTTTACATTCAAATGCCAGGCTTTAGTATTTATGGTCAGTGTAACAGGGACAATTACATAACCTCAGTTTCCTAAGCTATAAAATGGGGATAATATTTTAAGTATTGTTGTGTCAGTAATATTGGACATTAATAATATGGAACAGCAATAAATGCTAACTATTAATATTAAGATTCTAAAATGTAGCTCCAGTTTTTTAGGAGTAATAAGAAACCTGCCTATTCAAATAAAATAAGGTTTCTAACAGAAAAAATACTACAGTTACAATAAATTCTACCCAAATGTTTTTCATAAATGTCCTTATTACATCAAGAAGTACTATTATGTGGCACAATATTTGAGTGTATATCTCATTAGTGAGTTAATTAAAAAAAAAAAAACAAATTTTCAATCTATTGATCAATCTTAGACTAACTACAAGCTTCTATTCTTTAAATTGCTACAGAGCTTTAATTAGAAAACCAAGACTAATTTAAATTCAGTCTTCACTTCATCATGAATAATTATTGTGGATGCTAAATCTGCTTTTTTTTCAGGTTAATGACAAGTAGCCTCAATGGAGATACCATCCGAACACAAAAGTTGTCATTCATCATTAGAACAGTGGGCCGACATTTTCCTGGACACTTATTGGCATGGGATTTTGTCAAAGAGAACTGGAATAAGCTTGTTCAGAAGTAAGTTTCTCAGAGGATTACTACTTTCTAGTATTCTCAGACTCTAAATTTGAAAAAAGTTCCCAAAGTTGTCGTTCACAGGAGTTATAATTTTCTATGAAGGAAAAATGCTTCAGTGACAGTTCACTTGAAACACCCTGAAATTTTCACATTTGCAGAAATAATCCTCTAACATGAGTCATTTAACTGTGGTATTCCATTTGAGTACTAATCAGAATACCAGGTCACTTAGCTATGCATGACCACAGACTATTTCAGAATCACTCTTTAGTTATGCATGTAGAAAAATACCTCTTCATTGCCAAGGAGCCAGTTAAGAACTCATACTCACGGATGTTTCTTTCTTTTAAAGTAATAATGACATTTCTGAGTGTATGAAGTAACTTTACAGTAGATTAAATGTATTAATAATTTATCTAGAGGCTCTCTTTCCTTTTTCTGCCCACCTTTCCTTCCCACTGACGTTAAGTGTGTGCAGGACTGCTTTGTATTGACTGAGCTGCAGTTCCCAGGAGCAGGACTCCACTCTGCCTTGGACATGTAGACCTTCCATTAAAGCATTTCCTTTGCACTCAGGAACTTTGTTCACCAACAACTGCCTCATTTCTTTGTTCTTTTATTTGTGTTTCTTCAGGTTCCATCTGGGGTCTTACACCATACAAAGTATTGTTGCTGGATCAACTCACCTGTTTTCAACAAAGGCACATTTGTCTGAGGTTGGTCAGTAGGGGCACAGGGTAGCCCTTTCCCTCAGGCTAGTCAGTTTAAGTGAGATGGTGACTTCTAGTGTTAATTCCTGTCTCTTCTCTCTGTCTGCCTTCATCCGTGGTAACAATTCTGCTTTGGGATAATTTCTGAAGAGTGAATATATGTCAGTGATGAAAAATTCTGATTTCATTTCAACAGCTGTCTTCCTGATACAATCTTCTGGGGTTTTTTTGTTTGTTTTTTTTTTTAAGAGTTTGTAATATTGTTATTATTCTTTATTATATTTATTAATTTTTTTTATTTTTTACATCATTGTTCCTTTTTATTTTTTTTTTTTTTTTTTTATTTTATAGAGGCATGTTTTATTTATTTATTTATTTTGTTTGTTTGTTTTGTTTATACATGCACTGGGTACAGTCAGAAGCGCGGGAGGGTGAGAGAATTCACCAGAGCCAGAGCGGGGAGCAGAGCAGGCAGAAGGACCGAAGTACACTGCTGAGGGGAGCAGCGGGCGGCAGGAGAGGTCTGCGCGCCATGTGGGACCCTCCTCCGGTGGCTGGGGAGCAGCCGGGGATCGAACCGGCGCCGCAGTGGCTGCGGGCAGCTTCGCAACCCAGCGCTCAACCGCTGTGCCACCGGGGAGGCCCCATTGTTCCTTTTTAAACAATATTTTCTTCCCCCCACCTGCTCAGGTGTAGTCCCCATAGAGTTTCCTTCACCAGTGCACGTGTGCACCATCACCTCAGTCCCCTGTGCTCCTCCCTCCCTCCCTCTGATCCCTCTCCCTCCTCCTCCCCTGCAGGATGTCTCTGATTTATAATTGTTTTTGCTTTGTTGTGTTTTGTACTGTTTTTTTTTTTTTACACTGATGTCTTATTTGGCTCCCCTAAATTCCTGCTATAAGTGAAACCATCCCATATTTTTCTTTTTCCTTCTGTCTTATTTCACTGAGCGTAATTCCTTCTAGTCCCATCCACGTTGCTGCAAATGGCATGAGTTTATCTTTTTTTGATTGCTGAGTAATATTCCATTGTGTGTATATGGCACATCTTCTTGATCCAGTCATCTGTTTTTGGGCATTTGAGTTGTTTCCAGGTTTTACCTATTGTAAATAGTGCTGCAATAAACATAGGTGTACAGGTGTTCTTTTGAATCAATGTTTACAAACAATCTTTTGAATTAAAATCATTATGCCAAATTTCTTTTTAAGTCCTAATAAAATTATTTTGAAGGGTAAAATTGGGCACAAAAACTAATTTTAAATTCTACTTCATTTACTTTTATTTGGACTGTTTTTTTCTGTTTTCAATTTGAAAACTTGATCCTTGTGGGAATAAGTGGAACTTGTTTTTTTTTTTTACTTACTTCAAATCTCTCCATACTTGATCAGGAATTTGATGTACTGAGTACCCCAGTTATTAAAGAACTCCTTGTTTCTGTTTCTTTTAAGACATTAGCACAGCCATCACTGAATTAAAGATTATTTGAAAAGTATATTTAACTAACAAATAAAACACAAGCATTTAAAAAATACATATGGAGTTATTGTTCTTTTCTTCTGTTGAAATACTTCTCTCTACGATTTATAGGTCCAGACATTCTTTGAAAATCAATCAGAGGCAACCTTTCGACTGCGCTGTGTCCAGGAGGCTTTGGAAGTCATCCAATTGAATATCCAGTGGATGGAGAAGAACCTTAAAACTCTGACAAAGTGGCTGTAGCATGCACAACTGCACCTCATTTTGTCACCCCTTCAGAGAGCTTGTTAACTTGGGCTGTGCTGCTTTTTGCAAAAAAGCCAACGTGAAGCCAGATTGCTGCCGAGTTGTTTGCACTCTTAGGAGTTCTAGTTAGCTCAGGGCTCGTCTGTATTTTTCATCTGTCTTTTCTGAATTGTCTTTGGGCAGTATATAGTTATTTATTACAAGATTATATTCACCTGTATGCCAACCATCTACAAAAACATTGAGTACTTTTTCTACTTTGAAGATACACAAATGGGGAAAAAACTGTTTTGAAATTCTGTGCTATTTCTCAGTATCTGGAAAGTACTAACACAATGAGAAGAGGAAAGACCTATCCAGGGAGCCACTATCTTTGCAGGTTGTGAGCTATCTGTTGCTTCTTGTTGCTTCTTGTTGGTAGTTACTGGTTGATTGTGGTATAAAATTAGCTTCAAAAAGTACAATAATGAAGTTGATGAAACATGCAACTGTTGAGAACTGATCTCAGGTGTGCAGATCTACTTTGATTTGGGGTTTTGATCAGTCCTTTATTTTCTGGAAAAATTTTGAATAAGATCTATAACTTTTCTTTTCTGCATAATAGCCAGGTGCTATAAAATTATTAATTTTTGTTGTATTGAGAAGCTAAATAACAAAGCCAAAAGATGAAAATTTTCAAATACTTAGCACTTTCTTTTTGATCTTTTATAGCATTAACATCTGCAAAAGCTCCAAACCAGGTTAACTTTAATTAATATTATTTTATTTGTGAATTCCAATGTTCTCCAAATCTGTACACCTTTATCACTTTCTGCCATAGATAATAAACCTTATGATAGTTATAGGTACCTATTTCTACACTCATGGCAAGCATTTTGTTAATACTAGTGTCTTTTATCGTGACTTTATCACAATTACAAAGAATGTAATTTATTTAAGTTGCCTCTTGGCATGATAGATCCTAGACACTTTCTCTGAATAATATCCATGGGTGGATCTTCAATTTATATGATAGGCTACATATTTTAAAATAGAGTCTTTGAGAAATTGACCATTTTTATTTGAAGTTCACCATAATACCTTAAAGGAATAAAGGGGAAGGAAATACGAGTAAGTTGATTCCAGTTTAGTATGGTGGGCTTTGAAATTTTTTTATCAAAAACAGTCCTTTTCTTTAATTGAAAAATCATAATTTTCCATTATCATGGCCACACTTTTTCTTTCAACTGATTAAAAAGAATGGCTAAGGAAAGAAAGAAAAATGAGGGAAGATATTCAAAACTGTATGGCATTTTTACTCCATTTAAGGGAGAAATATTGTACTTGAATTTATTGAGCTATGCAGAATTATAAGTAGATTGTTGTGTTTCTTTGATTCTTAGGAAAAAAAGTTTTCTTCTTATTAATTGTTGAGTACTTTATATTTTGTTTGTTAACATCTATGTACATAAAAGTGGTAGCTACCCATTTGCAAGCACTTAAAACTCTCCACAGAATCAGACAATGGGAAAGGTCACCCTTTTTTATGCAATAGGTGTAAAGTGAGAATATGTGGGTTTGTGTATAAAATTTTATTTTATGAAAATATTTTTATAAAGCAGAATTGTAAAGGATGGCATGCTAAAAAATAGCCTCCTTTAATCCTGATACAGTTCCCCAGCTTAGTCTTTTCTAAACATTTATCTCAGTTTGAGAATATGTAATATTATATCCTGAGAATCACGGAATCACCTAAAGATGTCTTAATTGAAACTGGGTGATTGTAGGTCTTTATTTTTCTTGTGCTTCAGTAAATGAAAATTTAGTTGATATTGAAAGTTAGTATGTTTTTATATTTTTAGAGTGGGGAAAAATACTAAACTTTTGACAAAGGGTTTTTTTTGTTGCTGGTTTTTTACCATGTTATATTACTAAATTCCACTTTGATACAGAGTTTAAATTTTGCTACTTCTTAAAATCAGTTAAGGTTCTTGTTTTACCTGTCCATATTTACATTGCTTCTGTAATATATGTTAGCTTTGCATATGGCAAATCTTGTCTTGAATTATATCATTGTTTTCCTGTCAGTGTGTGGGGGTGTTTTGGGGGTGTTTTACAAGTAAAACCTTACCAAAACATGGACTAAAAAAAGTTCACTCATAACCCATTGCAATCTTTGTACTCAAAAGCTGTTCATTCCATTGATACCAGATCCATGCTATTTGTAGTTGTATTTGTAGACCTCATTTCAGTTGTTTATAATTTTAGTAGGGCCTCACCTCATATTTTCCCACAGAATTCCATAATTTTTAATGTTATATTTATCTATATAGATGACTAAAAATATGTCAGAAATATAAGGTTAAGCAATATGTAGAACATGTAGTATAAATATAATTACAGCTTTTGAAGAATTTTCCCAAAAAAAATTTATCCTAACCACTATATTTCTGAGAAATCAAATAGATTGAAGCACAGCAGTCACCATGCTTTTTTTATATAAGCACATAGAACCAGGACACAATTAAGAACTTGTTTGACAAGTGTTGTATTCATTGCAGAGAGATAATCTATTTGATGTAATTAATATAGAGGACGCATCACACTAGAATTTTAAGAAAGATAAAATAGAAATATGGAATTATAGAAGAATAACTTATGCTTCGGAGACCTGAAAAGTTATGAAGTAGAAATCTAAGGAATCTGGTTTGTTCTATTACTGTCAAGTGACAAGATATTTTAAATTGCAATTGGCGACATTTCCACACAGCTTGTGCCTTCCTGCTTGTTGTTTTATGTTTCTTTAAGTGAAACTATATCGTTTGCCATTGTTAGGTTTCAAGAGCTTTCATTTTACCACAGGTTCTACTTAATGCTAATGTTCTATGCCATTCATGTTTTCATTTTTTCGTTTCGTGCATGTGTAATTTAGCTGCTACAGGAACAAAAGAGCTGTCAGAAGAGTGCTGGGTATGTAGAGAATACGGGACCCCACCTGTCTTAACTGGTACAGGACAGCCTTTTCTGAATATTAGAAAGTGAGAAATGAAAGTTAAGTGCTGAGTTTGCTGGGTTACTAATAGCCTGTTACTGAGTTGGGCTTTCAGAATCTGCTCAGACTGTAGCACTTGGAACCGTAATCTACAGTCAGATTGGTGAACACCACGTGATCTCCATTTTCATGGGACTCTGATAAGGTGTGTGTGTATCTAAGGAGATATGTCATCCCCAAGGACCCCTAGCTGGGTCTACTTGCAGAATGAGACCCAAATTTCTAGATATGAGGTAGCTCTTCTCCAGCCTTTGGAATTAACTCTCATTAAAGTGCTTGCTTATCCCCTGTACCTACAACATGCCTCCATTCATTTTTTAAAAACTAATATATATATTTTTGCATTCTTGTATTTTATGCTTCATTGCCAAGTAAATACCAAATAAGAAGTGGGGGTGCAAAAATCTGAAAAGTCTCCTTTCCCTTTCCCTTCTTGCCTGCTTGTGCAATAGCTACTAGAATAGTTGACTGGTTTCTTTGGGTGACTTTTGGGGGGTATATACTTTTAAAATACACAGATGTGTTTTTTATTCTTTCATTTTTATGTATTTTGTCCTGATGAAAAATGAAACATTATCCTATGAAGATCTTTTTTCCTTCCCATTTTGCCTGCAGCTAGAGAGTAGTCATCTGGTCTTCTTTGGAAAAAGATAGTGGTCTCAGAAAGTAGTGTAAGTTCTCTTAAAAATGTATACAGATGTTTTTTGCTGCTTTTTTGTGGGAATTGTTTCATTTTGTACATCATTTAACCTCCTTATGGATACATAAAGATCTTGTAAACCCTGGAAATCAGAAGAATGGCGCAAATGTCCCATTTACCTCTCTCCTTGTTGCCTGAGTAGTTGTAGTTACTGATATTTCACTTTATATGTGTCCTTTAGCATGGATGCATATCTACTTTATGAAAATTGCAGTTTAGAATATGACAAATCTCCTCTTTTCCCTTTTCCTGATTGCACCTCTGGGCAACAGCTAATAAAGTAATTACATTTTGTGGGTTGGGAGAGAGAGAGTGTGTGTGGGTGTGTACACACATATATAAATAAAGTTATTAATTCATTTCATACTCTGTCCTTAAAGGATATAAAGTACCTAATGAAACATGGAGGTCTGGATGTATAATAATCTCCTCTTCTTCCTTTCCCATATTGTCTGTGTGGGCAGTGGCCGGTAGAGTGGCTGTTGGAGGGGTAGGGGATCTGGGTCGGGCATAGGAACTTACTGTATATACCTGTTTTTATTACTATGTTGTGTTCTTTCGTTGGGTGCCCGCACTGGAAGGTACCTCATAAACATGGAGTTCCGGATGTATAACAATCTCCTCTTGTCCCCTTCCCTTGTTGCCTGTCTAGGCAATACTTTTAGAGTAGTTTGCACTTTTTGAAATTTTTTCTGCTCTGTGTGTGTGTGTGTGTGTGTGTGAGGTGTGTTTCACAGCAAGGATACTGCTTTAATACTGCATGTAAATGTTTTGCTACGTTTTTGTTACCTCATTTCTACCTTGTCCTTTACATGGGTATTTAGATATAGGAAGAAAGCTGAAATTCAGTCTGTGTGGGTAACAGCTAGCAGAGTCAGTAATTTCAGAAGATTTTTGTGGGTGTTGGGGTTAACTTGTTTTAGATAGACAGACAGATCTTTTTTGTTTCCCTATTGTAGTATTCCCTTGGGTATCCAGTCCTCTTGGACATGTAGGTTCCCAGTAAACCGTGGAGTGTGGCGTGTATCAGTCTCTCCTCCTGCTTTCCCCTTTTTACATTTGTAAGTAATAGTTTTAAAGTAGGTTGGGTTCTTTGACCTTTTTGGGGGTGGGCGGGCAAGGACTAAGGGCAGGACATATTCTTTTAAAAACTGTACATATAATGTTTGCTACTATATATACTATGTTACTTCATTTTGTACCCTGTCCCTTATTGGACGTAGAGGTACTTAATGAGACGTGGAGGGTCCGGATGTATGAAAATCTCCTCTTTTCCCCTTTCCTTATTGCCTCTGTGGGCAATAGTTTTAGAGTAGTCTAGATTATTATTTTTTGACTCTACTACTTCCTTTGCTGGGAGAGTAGGCATATGTACTTTTAAAGTGTATATAAATGTTTTTTGCAATTTTTTTCTATTACTTCATTTTGTATCTAGTCCTTTCCATGGATACTTAGGTACATGATGAAAATTAAGGTTCATTCTATGAAAAACTCTCCCCTCTCCCCTTCCCTTATTGCCTGACTGGGCAATGGCTGGTAGTGTAGTTGTGTAGTTTTGGGGGGCAGGGTGGTGGGGGATTTCTGGGTCTGCAGTCTTCTTAATGTATATAAATGCTTGCTGCTTTTTGTTGTTATTTTTGTTTGCATTTGTAGATCTCAAACGCAATGCAGAAGCCCAGATCCAGAAGTGTCGTAAATCTTTTCTCCCTTCACCTCTACCCTCTGTATATGGGCAGTAGTATGCAGGACTCAGAGCTTGGGTTTCACCGGAGTAAGCTTATTAGGCAATACATGTAATATTTTAAATGTACATAAATGTTTTTGCCTCTTTCTGGTGTACAATTCATTTTGAATCTAGTCTTTTGCATGACTCTAGGTACTTAATGAAAGTTGAGATTGAGTCTATGAAAAATCTCCCCTACTCCCCTTCCCTTATTGCCCGGTGGGCAATGGTAGAAGAATAGGTATTTGGTTTCTTTTTTTGGAGGGGGTATATGTGTATATAAAGATGAGGTGTATAAACATAAACTGTATTATGTGTATTTTTAATATATATAAATGTTTGCTACATTTTGTGTGTTCTTTGATTTAGTACCCAGTCCTTTGCTGGGACTTGTGGGTACTTAATGAAACTTGGAGGTCCAGACGTATGATAAATCTCCTGCTTCCCTTCCCTCGTTGCCTGCATGGGCAACAGTTTTATAATTTGGGTTCATTTTTTCTGGGGAGGGATTAAATGAGTGGGTAGTGATTAGAGGCAAAGGATAAGATTTGAATTTTTTTGAAGTGTATATAAATGTTTTCATGTTACTGATTTTGCACCTAGTCCTTTGCTTGGATGTATAGTTACTAAATGAAAATTGAGGATCAGTGTATGACCGATCTCCTCTCTCCTTCCCCTTATTGCCTGGGTAGGCAATTGTGAATAGAATAGTGCGTATTTTTCACTTGTTTGTTTTTGAGGGATTTCTATTTTTGGCAGAGGAATATTTTTAAATACATATAAATATGTTCCCATTTCTCTTATTTCATTTTGTATTTAGTCCTTTGAATGGCTTTTTGGGAATCCAATGAAAATTGAGTTTTGTTAATTGACAGATCATTTCTTCCTTCCCCACATATTTCCTCTTTAGTGTTAGAAGGTGTAGTTGTGGTGATTTCGTTTTATTCTCTAGGATAGATGCCTTTAAAGGTGTAAATATACACACAGAGATATAATTTGCTTCTCTTTTCCCCATTATTTTTCTTTAACACTTAGTCCCTTTGCAGGACTCTGACTATATCTGACAAAAATAAAGACCCAACAAATCCCTGCCATCTGACTTGAAGGTATACTATATGGTGGTGAAACTAATGCAAGAGGCATGTAACACAAAAGATGGGAGAAGATAATTGGATGTAGTTGAGCTGTGAAAACTAATCAGATGTAGAGTTTCTTGTGTTCATTCAACCTCAAGGAAAATGGTGAAAAGGAACCTGTATTTTGGAGATTTCAGAAAGGGGAGAGGACAAGACTAAGAGTGTGCTAAGATTCATTGTTGATTCATCTTTCGTAACCTATAAGCAAATATAAGTACTTCCTAGAATTCATTTGAAAACCCTTGAAAGTAGCCTTTTTTTTTTTTTTGAGGCCTGGAATTCTGATTCATCTTCAGAAGTTGGTTGTAGTTCCACCAATAGAATATTCTTGTTTACCAAGTAGATACTTTTCTGATTTTTTGGAATGAACCTTTTGAGTTGTTGCCACAGTTCTCATGAATGACAACATGGGCCCCCCAGAAAATTAATCCAAAAAGAATTTGAACAAGCACTTTCTGTATTTCAGCACCCACACGTGGTAGCGCAAGTTGGCCCTTTCCAACCTAGAGCTCTTCTGTAGACTGCCTCTCCTCAGTTCTCCACCAGCTGGACCATTGCTGTTCTGGTTTCCCTTTTGTCTTCTGTGTCTGCACTGTTAGATGTTATCTTCAAGTGCTGTCACGAATCTACGCCAATATTGTCTTATTGGCTGTGTGTTTTGGCATGCTTTCATGCATCTAGCCCTGTGTGTTCGTTTTCAGCATTCTTAAATGACACTTCACACTGACTCGTCATGCACTGCATGGTAAATGTTACAACTCCACATTTGCCTGTATCAAAGAAAATACATGTTAAAGTCCATCCATCTCCTTTCTTCCTTCAAGCTTCTTAGCATTATTTGTTTTGCCGTTTCTAATCTAATGCTGAAGATTTGCCATATTATTTTTAGAATCATTGAGTGATAGGTCTCTTAGAAAATTTTCAGAGATGTTATTTACCATATCAAACTCTCAGGTTCTAGTATCTAATAAAATAAATTGAAAAATTAGCCTATACTTTGCTGTTATGTATACCTGCTGCTGTAGAAAAAAATAGAAGTTTATTCATGACATATTTAGCTTTGATCATAAATAAAAGAAAAGGGAACACCTTTTTGGAATTAGTCATGGTAGTCATTAGTGATGTTTCTGAACAGTTCTTAATTTAAAATGCTTCAAAGCAAGTAAAGGTCATGGCTTAGCTGAAGGAAATGCTCCAAAAATTGAACTGTACTGCCATCAGTACAAATAATACACTCGTGTGTGTGTGTGTGTGTGTGTGTGTGTGTGTGTATAAAATGACAATTACAGCATAATTGGAGCATTTGCATTAATCAATAAACTCACATTGAGACAAAACTTAGTCTAGCAGCTGTCTTGAATAAAGCCAACTGTTCCATGTTGCTGTGAAAAATAGACTCTTTCAAATACTTTGAAAAGTAATTATTTGGGAACTTGTAAAGGTATTACATTTTATATTTAAACACGTATGGAGATCTCCAGTTCCTTTAGTCTGAGCTTGTGGGTGGAATTCCAAATTTGTTTCATAATCTGTCTTTTGTGGAAGATTTTGAAAATAATATGTGTGTGTGTGTGTATATATATATTATATATGCAAATTGTGTTGTTTGACTTGTAAAGGGAAAAGGCTTATTTTTCTTTATACTTCTGACAACTTGTTTTGCATATGACCAGCACTGACTGTAAAGCATGTGTAACTGCAAACACTGTTGCTTTTTTTTGTGAAATGAAAATAAAAGTATTTAAATATAAAAATTATGTGGACAATTTTGATTTAAAAAGTACATTTATTAAGTAGTATATCTTCTCAGATTATGAGACAGGGACCATGTTTGTTGTCTTTGATAGTGTTTTTCCTCCCTTACCAGTGGCTTTATTGCTTTTAATTCAAGGTTTTTGAAACTTAGAGCTGTTCTGTGTATAGTGTTTAGCAACATTCCTGACCTCCAATGCAAATAGCAACCAGACGCCAATAACAGCTTGCCCTCTCAGTGTGACCACCAAAATGTCTCCAGATGTCCCCAAGGATGGTAGTAGGTGTGGAGATTAAACTGTCAATGGACACATTTATCAGTGGTCTCAGTAACAGTTACATGAACTCCATCTAGGGCAATTACTCACTATTTGAAGTAATTCTTGTTAACTCTGAGGTCACCTGAGTAGCCTACTGATGCAGTGATAATTCAGTACTTCAGCTGTAAAACCTGTCACTACTTATGCCAGTGAAACCAAGGAACTGTCACTATTTTAATTTGAAGATGAAAGGACATTAGATGCATTGGTTCATATGTGAGCAGCATGTGAATGATCAACTTTTTTCATATGATAGATAGGGCCACAGTCATTCCCGGTCAGGTCTACAAAAGGAGCTTTTTTGCTCTATGCCCATAAGTAGTCTTGATGTAAAACTGAGACTGAGGCTTCCAGATGTGGCAATTAGAATCAGTATTCTTTTACAGTAGTTATTAGGGCTTAAAGTTGAGCATTTTAGGGCAAATAAAGTCTAATAAATCCCTTATCCCAAATCTTTCCAGGGCATAAAAAAATCCTTTTGTAATTTCTTGTGGTTATTATTAATAATATACTTGGGGAAAGCTCTTAGGAATTGCAAGGATTTTAATTGAAAGTTTCTGGTTAGATTTTTGATACTTTATTCACAAATATCTGCAGTATGCAATTGGGTAAAAACCATTATAAATATAGAATAGAATACTTTGATTCTTGGCCTCCCTGGTGGCGCAAGGGGTTCAGCTTCAGCACTATGAAGCAATCTGCAGCTACTGCAGCACAAGTTTGATCCCTAGCCAGATTGCTACCCACATGTTGCAGCAGACCTCTCCTGACTCACCTGCTGCTCCCTTCAGCAGTGAATTTCAGTCTGCCTGTTCTGTTCCCCACTCTGTCTCTGGTGAATCCTCTCACCCACTGCATCTCTGGCCTGTACCCCAGTTCTTTTTTAAAAGAGACTACTTTTGATTTGAATGGACTTTTTGAATGGAGAATACTCAAATCAGTTTTAGAATTCATGGAACAAAAGATTTTCTGATGCTGTTGTTTCTCCTGTGTGACTAGTTAAAGAGACCCTTGGGTGTGACATGCAAAATTGCAGCTTGATTGCCCTGTGGGTCTAGTGGCTACTTATATAAATACGTATTTATTTTGTCTGCCAGACGTTGATAGTTTTGAATTTGAGCAAAATTATTGGAATATTGCTATTACCAGATAATAAGTTATAATGTTTAGAAATCTATAGGGCTTGAAAGCCTTCCAAAAGGCTTTCAGAAAGTTCATCCCGGCATGAACCGGGATGGAATTGATGATTCCTGTGCAATCATTTTCTTCTCGCCACTTAAATTCCTATTAACCTCAGTTTTCTTCATTAATAAAACAAGAATAGTACCTCCCTTTTAGGGGTGTTATCATTGAATATAATGCCTATAAAATATCCAGTACTTTATGTAAGTGTTGCACTGTGTAAGTGCCTCGTACAGACAGTACCTATCAATATTTGTTGTTAAAACTGTCAGCTGCGCTCTGTGGTATATAGATGTTAATACCATCCATTACAAACGGAAGTGAATTTTTAAAATTGAATAGTGCTATATAATTTGCCAGTTAGGAATTAGAAAAATAATTTCACTCTAATTTTCTTTATAAATTTAAGTTTTAAATTTGCAAAGATTCTTGTTTCAAGGGCATTGTAGTATATTAGAAAAACATGAAGTTATGTGGTCTTTCACAACTGAAATAATATCCAGATTGTCGCTGAATTTGGTTCATTACAGGTATGAAATAAAATCCTGACTTAATCCGCATTGGGGGTGATATCTCCTATGCAGTAGTAACACGAGGCACAGCTATATGAGAAAATAGATCTGGTGCTTCATAAGTGCTCAAAAAATACACCTCTCCTTACCCTCAATTTCTTTGCCTAAAATATGCAGAAGAATCAGGCACATTCAAGTTTCACTTCCAGCAAGAAAGCATGATATACAATTTAGGGCATGACATAGAGAAATTGACCAAATGTTTTAGGATTTCTGTAAGTGCAGGAAGGAACCTAATCAAGCACCCTCATCTTACAGATAAGGAGGAGGTTATGCCTTAGCTGATACTTAGGGATGTAGGCGTGTTAAATTTTGTACATATGTTTGTATTAGAAGCGGTTTATCTGTATCAGCTTTGAGACAAATAATATGCACTTTCTGCAAATGATATGCCACTTCTCCTTGGAGAGAATATTAGTATTTGTTTTTGAAGAGAGGTTTCACTGTTTTCATGTGGAATGTAGAGCCCAATTAGACTATCCTAATATTTTAACTTTTCAGCTTGATGATATGGAGGATTCCCAGTAATGTGATCTTGAAAGAGTGGCCCATTTTTGCATATTTAAGCTAAGTGGGTTGCACTGAAGTAGTTCCCTCTCTAATCAGGGAGCTTCCAGAGTTCTGTCACCACCAAAGGAGACATGAGGGGGAAGAGAGGACTGGAAAATAATGATGAAGTGCTTTGTGCCATAATGGATGATGAGCTGGATGGAAGGAGCAAATATAAATGTTAGCTTCACCAACTATAGACAGAAAGGGAAAATGTACCGTTTTCATGAGTAGATTTTAGTCAGTCTAAGAAGGCCCTTCTATCCCCAGAGGGCTATAGAATGCTAAATGTGGGTGCAGAATGCTGCCCTTTCCTGCTTTTCAACAGACCTCTTTCTGTTGTTCACAAATATTTTTTTTAATGTTTTAAAAAGATTTATTTATGGGGCCTCCCCAGTGGCGCAGCAGTTGAGCGCTGGGTTGTGAAGCTGCCCGCAGCCTCTGCAGCACCGGCTTGATCCCCGGCTGCTCCCGGCCACCAGAGGAGGGTCCCACATGGCGCGCAGACCCCACCTGCAGCCCGCTGCTCCCCTCAGCAGTGTACTTCGGTCCTTCTGCCTGCTCTGCTCCCCGCTCTGGCTCTGGTGAATTCTCTCACCCTCCCGTGCTTCTGACTATACCCAGTGCTTGTATAAATCAATCAATCAATCAATCAATCTTGTATAAATAAATAAATCTTTAAAAAAAAAAGATTTATTTATGCATACAAGAACTGGGGTAGAGGCCAGGGGTGCAGGGGACGGGGTGTGACAGGATTCACCTGAGACAGAGTGGGGAGCAGAACAGGCAGACTGACTGAAATACACTGCTGAGGGGAGCAGCAGGCCAGACAGGAGAAAAGGTCTGCTTCGCCACGTGGGTAGCTCCCTGGCGGGTTGGGGTTTGACAGAGGATTGTACTGCTGTGACTGCGGATAGCTTCACAGTGCTGTGCTTAACCCCTTGCGCCATGAGGGAGGCCCCACAAATAATTTTAAGCCATATCACATATTTTTGTTCTTTTTTTGAGGGGCCATTACCTATTGATTCTCCTCTGCCCTGCACCAATACCTTTAGTCCTTTTCTGCCGTTAGCAAACCCGGACTCAGAACTTGGCATCTCTTCAAAATTCCTTCCCAAAACCCACAACAACGAAAGTGTTACTGGGCACTGTAGGTTTCCCCAGCACTACTTAGGGAAAAGGGAATTTCCTTTCATCTGCCGCAACAAATGCATCATCCTCAGGGCCTCTCCTGTACCATTTCTGGAGGATCTTTTCACCTACCCTTTTCACCCAAGTCCCATGTGCATGCACACACACACGACAAGCTTGCCGACTGCTCGCTCTTACTCCTAAACATCTCCTTCAACTTGAAATGTCTCTCTTGTGTCATTATGTCTTAACTTCTACACTCAGATGCTCATGAGCATCAGGAACTCATAAGAAACCAATAGGCTCCAGTTAGCAACTGGCCTATGACTTAGAGGACTGGACTGTGGCCTTTTGCTGTTTGGACATACTCCTTAGCATCTCACCCCTTATTCAAGCGTCTTATCAGCTTATTTCAAACAAACACATTTCTTCTTGTAAAATGAAACTCCAACCACCTCTTTAGATTGGCAACAGATACCTTCCTGACTCTTTTTTTCTAAGCTAATATGAAAATTGGCACAAAATAGCTGAGCACATCCTGACTTTTTATGAGACAAATCAGCCGTAAATTCAACTGGTAGACGAACGAAGCCAGGCCCTACTTTTAAAATGTTTGTCATGGGTCATCATTCAATAAATATTTGTAACCATCTACTATGCAGCCGGCCCTGAGCTCAGTGGGTACATGAGTTTCACTCTGTAATGTTAGCAGCTGGCTCCAGCTGGGAGAATGCCACCTGGGTTTTGTAAACACTGCCTGCATGGTGGGTGGTAGATAGTCGAGGGCATTTGGGTTCATGAGAAACAGAAGTGAAGGGTGTCACAGTGGGAGGTTTTACACTATGAAACTGGTAGTGCAAGCAGTCACTTCAATAACAGCAGCCACCTCGGCTTGTGTAGGGGTTGGGGACACTAATTCCTCATGTGGGTGTGCAGTGGCTCGTGAGACACGCAGGCCTCTCAACAGATGCTGCTTAAGTGCCCATATTTAAAGCCTGTGTCGGTGATTGGGAGCCAAAAGAGCTTTTGATCTGCTCCAAGTAACCACACCTCATTCCTAAGGGCGTTCCAAGCAAATGACAAGAGGCAGCAAGTTAATTGCTGGTTTCATATTCACTCTGGGTTTCCCCTAAATTCTAATTAGCAATAAATGAACTTAGCTCACCTCAACCTCAGCTGTAAGAGTGCGTTCTTGTTTAAGTTTCTCTGTGTGCTAAGCAAGAATAAGGAGAGTGTTTCAAGATGGACTTATAAAGCAGGGAGCTCAATAAGTGGGTAGAACGCCTGTAGTTGAAAACCCATAGGTAAAATGCTAGAGTATGATCCATAAAATGTGCCCTACAGGAAATGCACCATTTGTTCGACTTCGGTAACAGGCACCTCCTCAGTTATTTCAATTACTGCCTTCCAGCTTTAGTAATCAAAGTAGGGGTCCTGATCTTTGCTGCTTCCAAGGTCCTTGCTTTACGTGAAGAGCAGCCTATTGAAGCCTTTTGGAAATGTGCTTGGGATGCAGCTTCAAACAGACTGAGGAGCAGGAGAATTATGGTTTTTGTCCTTCTCCAGTGCTTAACAGAGAGATCAAGAACACCTGGGAAGAGTTGTCTGTACCAAAATGGCTGAGTCCACGTAGCCCTCACGGTAAGGATCTCCAATTCACCCAGCGACCACTGGAGATTTGGATGAAATTGAAGAATTTCAGGAAATGTGCTCCTTGTGAGGAAGACAAACACACAAAAAAATGTTTCATATGAAGTAGCAAAAATGGAAATATTTCCCTCTATATTTTATTTTATTTTTAAAAAAGATTTATTTATTTATGCATACAAGAACTGGGGTACAGGCCAGAGCTGTGGGGAGGGGAGTGTTGAGAGGATTCACCAGAGACAGAGTGGGGAGCAGAACAGAATGATCTACTGAAATACACTGCTGAGGGGAGCAGAGGGAGAGACAGGAGAGGTCTGCTACACCATGTGGGTCACCTCCCTGTCCAGAGATCAAACTCATGCAGGATTGAACTTGTGCTGCATTGAACTCGTGCTGCGGTAGTTGAGGATTGCTGACGCTTAACCCCTTGCGCCACCACCCTCCCTCTGTATTTTAAAAAGAATGATTGCCAATCCTAAAGGATATCCCATACTTTCCAATAAAGCAGTTGGTCTACAGCCTATGGAGCCTATGTCACAGCCTATGTCACAGCCTATGGAGCAAGCTTGGGAACAGTGACAGCCAAGGATCTTAATGACTGGAAACAGGAAGATTAAGCAAACATTCTAAGCATGTGCCTTGGATGAAGAAATCTCCCAGTGATTTAGGCATCCCAAAAATTGATGCCCAAGAATGGAGTTGCCGCTGTCCTCAGCAAGAATTTGCTCCTGTGGGAAGCCTGATGGTGGTGCTCTCCCAGGGCAGCCAGTATCCCTTCTAGGAGAAGGCAATGCCTGGGGTGGTTGGGAGCCATTTCAACTCAAGACTGGGGAAGCACTGCCAGGTCTTTGTGAGCAATGGATTGTCCTAGGATCTGTAGGACTAGTCCTTGTGGTGTAGGCAGGAAGAGTGCTGGTCCTCAAAGGTGATTGCCTTTGAGAAGGTTGCAGATGGTTGTGATATGGACCTGCTCAACCCACACTGAGACAGGAGACCTGGAGGAGGCACATGGAGCAAAGAGACATGTGAAGAAACTGTGCTTGCTTCTTGACCTTGGACTGGTGGAAACAGATGTGGGGGAGAGACCTGTGGGGAGGTTAAAAATGGCGGCTTTTATCTTGATTTTTTTTTTTTCACTTTTCTGCCTGTTTTGGCCCTTTTCTATGGGTCTCCGCTGGAACGTGCTTTAGACTTGTGGCAAGTTTTGGGGCCTCAGTGGTCTTGCTTTGGGCCAACCCTGTTTGGCTGGGCATTTACCCATGAGAGGATTACCCACTTCAGGTGCTGGATTTGGAGACTATTTTTTTCTGTCTTTTTGGTATTGCACACTAATTGTATTAAAGTTTCTTTCCATTAATGGTCTGTGCACTAGAATATGTTTTGTCTTGATGCAGTGGATGGCAGAACTATTTAGAACGGGCAGGTTTGGGGGCTTTGGGGCGTCCCCTCCCTGCCCTGTGACAGTTGGGCTTAAAAATTCTCACAGCTGTCATCTGAGCATAAAGGACTCTCCTGTTTATGGCATATGTAAGCCTGTGACAGCCTATGGAGCAAGCTTGGGAACAGTGACAGCCAAGGATCTTAATGACTGGAAACAGGAAGATTAAGCAAACATTCTAAGCATGTGCCTCGGATGAAGAAATCTCCCAGTGTTGTTCCAAGAATGCTCCAAAGAATCCTGGAGTACCCACTACATTAGTGGTTTTCAAGCATTTTTTACTTCTACTTGGACAAAGACTGAGAGTAAATGAATAGATGCCACCATGATTGCTGTGTAGCAATGCAGAAGAATGGACCACAGTATAGTGTCTTTTTGTTTAATTTTATATAAATCACAAACACACACACACATATGTATATGTTTAGTTGTAACAAATGTTTCACAAATCTTTATTTATCTTCACTATATTCAATATTCTCATTTTGTTGTATTTGATTTTGTTTTAATGCTGGTCACAACCCACTAAATTTCTTTAATATCTTCCTGGCAGGACAAGAGATTCTATTTGGAGAACTGTCCCACACCTCAGTGAAAACTGCAGAAGCTCAGAGGCAGAGCAGCAGCTCTAAATTTGTTTGACAAAGACTCCAAAAACTCAGAAGTTTTTGCAGAGTGGAAATAGTTGACTTTTTTTTTACTTTATAGATACATTTTGGATTTGTCTCTACTTCAGATTAAAGTTTAAAGCTACAGTGTGACAGGCAAAGTAAGCCCCACCCCCACCCCAATGTCTCCGCCCTGATCCCTAGAATCTGTGAATTTCTTACCTGACGTACAAAGGAGAGTTAAGTATGCAGATAGCATTAGGTTGTTAATTAGCTGACCTCAAAATTGGTGGTTATCCTGGATGGAATCACAAAGGTCCTTGAAAGTGGAACAAGGAGAGAGAAGAGGCCATCCAAGAGTGTGAGTTGGACTCCACTTGCCTTTCCCAGCTTTGAAGATGGAGGAAGGGGGTGGGTAACTTCTAGAAGTGGAAAAAGCAAAGAAGTAGGTCTCCCCAGGAGCCGGCAGAAAGGAATGCAGTCTTGCCAGTGCTTTGATGTAAGCCTGGTGAGACCCAGGTCAGACTTTTGACCTACAGCACTGAAGATAATCATTTCGTGCTTTCACACTATTGAAGTTTGTGATAATTTGTTATAACGGCAGATGCAAAAATAATCTATGAATGCAGTTAGAGAACTCTCATGTAATCACTTGCTTTGAAACTAACTACAAATCCCATAATTCTTACCTGTGAGGAAGGATCTCTAAGCTTCAGATAAATTATTACAAATGCAAGTAGAGTTACTTGGCAACAAGAAAAATAAACAGTTTCAGAAGCAGACAGCCGGAGCTAGGATCACCAGCATTTTCTTCCAGACTCTGTCTCTTGGTACAAACTTCTGCTTTATCCCTCTGTAACTATTTTACTTAAAAAAAAACCTCGGTAATTTAAAAGATAAGTATATTATCATCACTCAAGATAATTTTCTCAAATATGGAATTTGCCGGGTGGTAAAAAGTGAAGAAACAATGACTCCCAGAGAGTCCTTAGGTAAAGATAACATCTAAGTCAGCAGTTACTAACAAATTTGGGGGTGACTGATTCATTTGAAATTCTTTTTAAAAAATGTACACACGTGCTTTCACTCACAATTTTGCAGGTATTTTTGTGGGTTTTACAGCTTCCCTAGTGTTTATAAACCCAAGTTATAGCTGGTGATCTAGATAGATAGATAGGTTCATGATCTCATATTTGATCTTTTCAAGGGATAAATTTCTTAGGAAACATTCATCAGAAGGAGCACAACTTAGAAACATGGAAATAATGTTGTCTTTATTCTCGTTCATTGTGAAGGCACTACATTTTCTTCAAAGGACTCACACATTTTGTTTTTGTCATCAATAGATTTGCTGGTAAAGGATGTGGGCTCTTCAGCCCTATAGCTGTGAGCGCTGTGGGAGTGACTTTGTCAGTGACCGAGCTCTGAAGTATCACTTTCGACAGAAACATCTGGGAAAAGTTCACTGTGAAAAATGTGGCCAGGAAGTTCTGAGGGAGAAGCTCCAAGATCACAGTAAGGTACAAGGGGATGAAAAATTTGGGCATGCCCCCACGGTTTTGAACCGCCCCCATTCCCCTGCCATGATTTTTGGTTTTTGGTTTAGGTACTTTATTTTCTTCATAAATATTAACAGGAAAACTAAAAACTAAAGCAAGAACTTGTGGCCACAGGACAGGTGGGGGCGAGGGGTGCAAGATGCAGCTGGGAAAGGCCCATTTCACAGGACTCCTGGGAAGGGCTCAGCAGAATTCTCTGGAAGCAGTGTCATAACCAAGGCAGCTGAAGTTACTGAAATTATGACCCAACAGGGCATGGTAGAGTTATAGGGTTCTCAGAGTCCTCGAGTTTTCTTACCTTTAAAGTGACCATAGTGGTAAAATACTTCCCTGCTTCCTCCTCCGAATTCACAAATGTAGAAACTAAAGACCGAGTTAGATTTAAGGATTTGTCCATGGCCCTGCAAGTAGTGGATGTCAGAAAAACTCTAAAATATCTCTCTTCTGATTTTTAAACAAGACCTAGTTCAGTCTCTCTTTTTCAGGACTGTGGTTCTCATGATTTATTACTTTATTAATTGACAGCAGTTTTCCATCTGTTTCAAAAAAATTAATGGACTTTGCTGTTTCAAGAACACAGAATGAGAATTCTCTATGCCTATCAATGGGAGCTTTTAGCAAGAATGAACAACAAATAAAAAAAAACAACAGATCTTTCAGATCACTCTTATGATCCCTGTGAACTATCTTCTTGTTCTCAGTCTGTACATGACAGGTCAACCATGGGGACACATAAGCTAAATGGAGAAAATTTAGAAGAGAGGAATATGAAGGATATGACTACAAAAATATCAAAAACCTGCAGGATGTGTTCTAGGCACTTTGGCACCGTCCTTGGTCGGGAGAAGCATGAAATACAAGAGCATCACTTCACAGCCAGTAAAAGAGGTAAGGAGAAGCCAGCGCTTCCCTCTGAGGGGCTTCACAGAGCAGAGAAACCATATTTGAAAGGTTTTCTCAGTGCAGGCATTACAGCTTATTTCTGGAAACAGGAGATAGAGAAGGAAGAGAATGGAACCAGGATGTGACTTGAGATGGCACCTCTTGGGGTGGCAGGGGTGGAGGACAGGTCTTTAAAGCCACATGTGGAGGATGCCGGGAAACGGAGGCATCATCCAAAGAGATGACATTGCTGGAAATGTGATTCTAAGGGCCTCTAGCCCACAGTGGGTCAGTGTAGTCAGGAGCCCAAGCTGGAATCAGGTGATGGCTTGTGCCTATCAAAATTAACCAGAATTACGAATAATAATTTTAATATTAAAAATTAAAATAAATAAATAGTAATTTTAATTAATTAAAAAGCTGATAATCATAAAAATAGCTATGATGTTCTACCTAGTGCTCTCATCTTTATGGTGTATCCTCTAACTGATGGCTGATGCTTCATGAAAATTGTGATTTAATGAAAAAATTGCCCAGGAAAGAATAATTGACTCTAAATACAAAGTATGTCACTGAAAGGTGATCAATTTTTGATGATCCCTAGGGAGAGTAGTATATAAATCGACTGGTATGCTTCATGCAAAAAAATCAAAGTGTAAAAAAGATCCAACCAAAGCTCATTCTGTTCATTTAACATAATTGATAAAACTTGAATAGGGGACTGAGTGCCCCCTGAGTGCTGATACAAAGTTTCTTGCTCTGTTTAGTTCTGAATATGTTCTAATTTCTGTTCTGATTTTGTTCTGTGATAGATGAATTATTTAAAGTATATTTTTATTTTAATTTCTAAAAATATGGGTTATTTGGTTATTCTATTACTGATTTCTTATTTAACTGCTTGGTGGCCAGAGAATGCAATCTGTGTGATGTAAGTTCTCTGGCATTTGTTCAGTTTTATCTACAGCTAAGTCTATATTCCATTTTTGTGACTTTCCCATATGTACTTGAAGAGGAAAATCCAATAGAAATTTCATTCCCAGAGAAGATTAGTGATTTTTACTTCAGGGCACTGGGGCCCTCTGCTAGCTAAGGCCACTGTAAAATTAATTCTCAGTGATAATATGAATTTATTCTATTAACACCATTGAGGGTTACTTTGTGATGGCAGATTTGCAGGGATTTTTTTTTCCCTGACCCATCCAGTGCAAACATTAAGGAACTAATGGACTTTGCTGTTGAAGGGAATCAGTCAGTATATGCCACCCCCAAATATATATGGATAATTCTTTCTTTCTTTCTTTCTTTTTTTTGCATAGAAGAACTGTGGTATATGCCAGAGGTGTGGCAGGGGGTGGGGAAGAGGAGGGATTGAGAGAATTCACCAGAGACAGCGTGGGGAGCAGAACAGGCGGATCTATTGAAATGCACTGCTGAGAGCAGCAGTGGGTGAGACAGGAGAGGTCTGCTGCACCATATGTGGGTCAGCTCCCAGGCTGGGGAGGGGATTGAACTCAGGAGGTAGCACTGATAGTGCTGACACTTAACCCCTTGTGCCACCAGGGAGGCCTAGCACTCATCTCTTTCATTCACACGCCCCATGAATCTAAAAATTCAATCATTCAGTTCCTTCTGATGAAGGATAGTTCAGTCTTGTCTGCTCCCCTCACTTAAAACAGACAAGCACCTCTGAGGTCCCCGTTTAAAAAACATGTACTCTCTACTGATTTTTAGATGTTGGCTCAGTTTTTTCTTCTTTGAAAGCTCTGGGCAGACCAAACCAAAGATCCTGTAGGCTGAATGTGGTCTGGGCTGACAGTTTGAGACCTGGACCTTTAGAATAGATGACTCAGTTTGGAATTCTTTACCTGGGATCATTTTATTAAAACTTGTTATTATACATGCTTTTCATTTAGAAATTTAAAATAATTTAGTAAATTGGGGCAAGGTTTTTTTCTGACGTAGGAATGTCTGACTATCTCAGTTTTCTAAGAAAACTGCCATTTCTTCTTAGAGTCCTTAAGCTAAAATGTCTGCTGAGTCCAGAGGGTGTGGAATCCTATGACCCAGGGTGCTGAACCTGCAGAGAGAAGGAGCTCCCTGATACCACAATAAGGCTGTCCTGGTGATTAACTTGACAATTTGTACCCAAAATTGGATCCTTCCTAAGACACACACTATTTCTTGGCCATGAATATCAAGTCCTGACTGTTTCTCTATGCAGCCCAAATGTCCACAGGATTTTCACCTTATAATATGTTGGAGTGTAAAAGTTCCCAAGAGCTACAGAGGTTTGCAGATGAAAAAATCCGCCCTTCCTCTGGTCCTCTGAGTGCTGCTTGTGCAGCTGAAGTCATTGCTCTGCTCGAGCTGATCCAGGCTTGCTTTCCATTGCCAACCTCCCGAGTGATCCAGGTAATCTGAGCCCCCAGCCCTGTGGCCAACCCGGAACCCAAAGGAAGCCATTCCTCTTCCTTGTAGGTAATGCACATCATCAGGACAGGGCCACATGTTCAAAGGGCAGCTTTGCCTTCTGATTGAGGTGACACAGGCCTGCTCAGGCCCTTTGAAATTCCAGGCAGACTGCAGGCCAGCCGGCTGCACAGGCAGTCAGCCATGTAACCCATTAAGGAACCTGTGGAACCCATTAAGGTTGGCAATTTTTGCCCAAGGGACAAAAGTGCCTTTACAGTGTCAGGGCCAAGGACTTGGCTCACACTTGACCAGTATTTGTAAATGCTTAGGGGAATTTGAGGCAAAGGAGGCCAGCCTGCCCCTCCCCCTACCCTATTTTATGCCTGAGCAACCTGCCTTTGGAAGTAACTAGATGCCACACTTAAGAGTTCACTGTCAGCTTCAAGATAATCCCCGTGTTCAGGAATGATTGCCCATAGAGCACAGGGCCTCTTGGTGAAAATTTTCTTGAAGGAAACAAAACAAAACAGGATTCAGTTCTGGAAGCATTTTATTCTGAAAATTTATCTATTCCTCATGGTAAAACACACATCACTGTTATGAAACCATCTTCAAACCACAGTTCATTTAAAAGCAAAAATTATCTTTCAGTGTAATTCAATAGCAAATATTAATTATGAGTATGATCAATTCTAGCCAAGATAGCTATGGTAAAAAGCCCGGATATGAAACATGTTCTTCTATAGAGTGGGGGCCATGAACACAGAGCTAGGGATGGGAAGCCAGAAGCCTAGCTCCAGTCCTGCAAGAAGCTCACAAAAGCAAGAGCTAATGATGAATCAGCTTCCAGAATTGCTGTGCCCTATATTCATTCTTGAAGATTGACGGTACTCATTAGCGTATCATGAAGTCTCAGGTTACGGAAGCTGCAAACTACATTTCACCAATGGGATTTAGGTTTTGCCAATTAGTTTTACCAGTTTTGACTGAGTTCAGAACTGTTAAGTGGAGGAATGAGACAGTAAGGCATGAGGCACCCGTTTTAGTTAGTCCAGATGAAGAAGATGCAGAATGACTTTGGAGTCAAGAGTTCTAACGATGACTTGTAGCCTCTGGATTTAAAATAGAACAGGGAGTTTCTGGGATGGACAGTTGCAGAGGCAGCTTCTTGATTCCTAGGTCTGAGCACAGGTAGTCTGGCCTTAGGACCAGCCGTTAGAGCATTTAGATTCCAGGCTCTCTGTAGCTGGGCAATAGGTCCCTCTGCAGGCCAATTCTGCAGTGTTACTCTGAAAGTCATTTTTGAAAACCTAGTCTAGAGCTTATTCTTCTAGCTATTCCAATGATTCCCTGAAATAAATCCCCTCCTGCTTATTAAAGTACCTGGAATGGGCCTCCCCAGTGGTGCAGCGGTTGAGCACTGGGTTGCGAAGCTGCCCGCAGCCTCTGAGGCGCCGGTTCGATCCTCGGCTGCTCCCCAGCCACCGGGTGAGGGTCCCACATGGTGCGCAGACCTCTCCTCCGCCCGCTGCTCCCCTCAGCAGTGTACTTCGGTCCTTCTGCCTGCTCTGCTCCCTGCTCTGGCTCTGGTGATTCTCTTACCCTCCCGCGATTCTGACTGTACCCAGTGCTTGTATAAATAAATAAATCTTTTTAAAAAAATTAAAATTGAAAAAAAAAATAAAGTACCTGGAATGTTTTCACTTATATGCAACTCAACTGTGGCTCTGCCATTTGGAAATGTTGCTCTTAAGTATCCTTCATGATCCTCTGCGGTGGGAGATACGTACATGCCTTCTCCTTTCACCTCCCCAGCTCTTGTTGGTAGGTGGTATTTGCTCTCCTGTTCCCTTTAGCGGTAGAAACTTCTCACAATCCATGTACTGTTCCCTCTGACCAAGCTACAGCGTTTTTTTTTTGTGATGAGCTCAGGCTCCTCCCCCCAGGGTAGGTGAGTTGAGGGCACATTCTTGCTCCTTTCAGCATCCACACAGAGCCTGGCTGAGCAGACTGCTGGAAATCCTGAGATTAACATACAATGTGTGGTAGAGAATTCAGAGTTTTGGAATGATTTCTGACTTCATGTGAAATTGCCTATGTTCTTTGTGCCACATTCTGCTGAAGAACCTTCCTTGTGAACTTGCAACCTAAGGTTTTTGTGGGGCAAAGAAGAAGACAAAGACGTGTTGCTAATTACTTAAAGTTTTGACTTTTATAAAGTCTTATTTAGTCAGAGACTTGAAGTGAATGCTCATGAATTACCATTACAGAATGCTTTATTAAAATCATTCATGATCTGTTGGCACAAGGGGTTAAGTCGCAGCACTATCAAGCTAGTAGCAGCCACTGCAGCATGAGTTCAATCTCCGGCCAGGGAGTAGACCCACATGGTGCAGCAGACCTCTCCTATCTCACCCGCTGATCCCCTCAGCAGTGCATTTCAGTCAGTCTGCCTGTTCCATTCCCCCTTCTGTCTCTGGCAAATCCTCTCACCCACTGCATCTCTGGCCTGCAACCCAGCTCTTGTATGCATAAAGAAATAAAACTTAAAAAGTATCATACATGATCTGTTTAGGAACATCATAAACTAGCATTTGCCAGAAACATCAGTCAAAGTTCTAATTCTCACAGGTGTGGGCTGTGTGGACACCTTGCCTGCCCAGGTGTCCACTGAGGGCAGCCACGGTGAGTCCCAGGCTGGGTTTTGGGTGTCTGGTCACCTTAACCCTTGTCCTGGTGGATTTTTCACAACCCAGCATCTTTCAAACAGAAAGAGCCTGAGAACTTCTGAGTCTATTTATTCATAAGGATTCTCAGGCCTTTTCTGCATATGGCGAGTTCTTTTCTACAACTGAATCTAAATTCTCAGTAGAACATGATAGATGTTCTTTCTTCTTTTATGTGTGTTAAGGATGGGTTAAGGGTAAAACAAACACATATTTAAGCATATCACTAATATTACTTGTCTCTAAAATGCTACAACCTGAAATTTGTTCTTCACTCCATGTTTTCTCCACACCATGCATGTCCTTTTTCTCTACAGGGTGGTTCCTTTATAAAGGGAACTGACACCCAAGAATGCTCTGAGATTGACGTAGTGTTGTTCAGTGACGTGTTTGCCAATGTGAAACTTTGCAAGAAACAACTGAAAGAAAGTCTGGATGCTTTGAGAAAAAACTTGAAGCAAACTTCACATGGAAACAGGTCTGGGTGAATACATTTCTTTGAATTATTTTATTCCACAGGTGGAAGAGTCTGCTAAAGAAAACTGAACTAAGCACAAAAGAGCATTATTGAGTAATAATTACTTGTGTCTGCTACCATTAAATTCTTGGGAGAAAACTTTGGAGAGATTGCCCCAGAGGCGTTTTCTTTAAGACTAGCTAAACTTTCTATGAAATTTCATGAATTTGAGATCCGATGATTTAAAGACTAATTATGTCTTTTCCAATGCACCTTTATTTAATTTCCATCCCCTTAGCTGAAATCTGACTCTGAAGAATGCAAACAGGAAGGGGTGGGAAAGGTGCCTCCAAGTACCAAGAATCTTTGAGACACGTTTGTCTGATAAACATTCCCTTCAGCGATATCCTGGGGTCTCTGGCTGATGTGGCTTTGCTGACATTACACACAAGGTCTCTTTGCCCCAAATGTTGAACTAATCAGGTCTGTGTTTTTGGTGAATTCTAACCAAAAAAAAAAAAAAAGAAGAAGAAGAAGAAAAAAAGAAAGGAAGGAAAAAATCCTGACATGTTGTTATTTATTTTTCTATTTCATTTTTACATCCCTCGACCTTTTTTTCAGTCTACCGAGTGATGGATGAAAAAAATGCAAATAACTCTGTTGTAAAGTGAATAAAACATTTTCTTGAGAAAAATATACCAGGCTGTGTGCCATTTGGATTCTAAAATAAGATCAATGTTTTAAAACAATGTCTCAGAACTGTTTATTAATTTACATAATAGATTCATTACCAAGCCCTTGCTTCAGTTGTGTATAGAGACTAGCTTGACTTGCCTTTTAATGAAAAACACTACCTTTAGGAATACCAAACACCTACTAAATTGTGGTAGTTAGCAAAAGATGTCAGATGAATAGCATGGTGGGAACTATAATGAAGCACGTTGGGGTTGGAAAGGCAAAAAGGGAAATGATGGAGTTTCACATACAATCACACTTTGGACAGGCAAAGACCACCTTTTAGAAAAAAGAAAAAAAAAGAAACAGGAGAACATGTTTTTCATTTTCACCCATTGCCTCTTCCAAGTTTTCCCCATTAGATCTGTAAATGATAGGGTACGTTATACCATTGTTATTATTATTTATCAAAACAGGACAGTTAATGTACTCAAGGGCACATTAAAAATAAAGGTTAAGGTATAGGCTTCCCATGATGACCTTATTTGGAAACAAAATCTTATTTGTCATTGTTTTGTCCTTCTTCTGTACCCCCCGACCACCCAATTTCAAACACCCTGATAGTCACTGTCTCCATTCCTCTTTCTTGCCTCCTCTGTGTCTTGGGGATCCTGCTCCTGGACAAAACAGTGCTTGAAGTTTTGATATTTTTAGACTTACAGAACAAATTTTGAAGTAACAGCCCCGAAACACTTGGTTCATTTATTCTAATTGACTGCAAACAAACAAACTCATTTTCAGATCTAAGTTCCTACTATTCTGTCAACCCATTACATAATCTAATTTGAAAAGCTTTTGAAGTTGAACTAAATCCCCAGGTAACCACCATCCTTTCCTTTGTGCCTGTTAAATGCCTGTCCCTTCTTCCAGGTACTCTTCAGGGGCTGATAAAATATTCAGAAAATATTCTATTGCATATTTTGTTGTGCTGAATGAATCCTGTGGCAAATTAGGAACGTAACTGCAGAGGAAGATTTCAGGCTGACTGAGGAGAAAAATTGGAATCAGGAAAGCAGGCAGTTTGTCTAAGGGTTTTCTTGTGCTGGGGTCTCTGCGACAGCTTTTTCTGACTTTCTTCTCTGCCACTCAGAGCAACAACGAACATACCATGATTCATTTGAAGGGAAAATTGAATTAAAAATGGAAAAGAAGCAGATATGTGAGTCTGACAGTTGGTTTGACTCCCACCCACTAAGAGAGTAAAGACGTTTATTGTTTCAGTTGATACCTGGTTTTTGGTGATATATTGTTTGTTGCTGTTATTTTTAAAGCTATTCAGTTACATTATTTTGAAAGATAGGTGTGAGAAAAGTCTTTTTCTTTAGAACTAGTCCGCGCCTTAACCTACTAGTAATAGCAACTGTTCTGTGTCAGTCATTTTTGGGGCCCTGCTTGTGAATGAAATCTCAGGAGACTTGCTGAATAAGCCCAAGGTGCTGGAACTCATTTACACGCCAGGGGCACTACGCGCCTCTCCTTACATGCCAGCGTGTTTATTATTGAAAACCACAGTGGGGAGGCATATTCTGAAGTTTTAAGGAGAGAGTGGTGTAAAATATGTGCCGTGTCTATGTTGGTGTTGGTTGTAATGGATTTATGCCCACGATCTCTTGTTTCTTACTGCTTTGATTTAGTGATCCTGAAATAAGAATGTATCTGTTATAGTTTCAGGTCAGAGTATCTTAAGGCTGTCCTCTGAAAAAATAGCCCTTTCAAGCCACATTGCAGAACACAGAGTTGCTCTTAACTGCGCTGACAGAAATAAGAAGTGGCGAGTAGTGTCACCTGAGGTCTCTTGAACAAGCACTCCTAGGACCATGCTCCAATTTCACGTGTAATAATAGCTGAAATCTTTTGGGGTACTTATTGGGCACTAAGTTTCGTGTAAGTTAGCCAAGGGTCGTGGTGACATTCTCATTAACCTTGACCCATTTTAGAACTGACCTGAACTCCCTAATTGATTCAAGATCCCGTTTGGGCCCTCTGGTATCCACAAGAGTAAACAGTAAACTTCACCCATCTAGGAGCATGTCTCCCAAACATATGGTTACCAGGTTGGGCATAGCAAGAGCTCTCTCTAAGCTGTGGCAGGAAATATGGACTACTGATTTATATTAACTTCACACTCTGCCTGACTAAGAGAGAAGGATATACTCATGAGGAAATTAAGGTGAGGGAATTTAATAATGATTTAATGAATTCCTTTTGTGGTAGATGGAACCAATTAGAACTTCAGTCATGACATTTAAAATGTATTCAGTATTTATAAATTTTTAGAAATATATATTCCAAAATAATATTTAGATTCAGAAATATATATTCCAAAATAATATTTTAAATGAAAAATTATATAATAATTTCATTATATAATATGATTTCATTTTAGGTAAAAATACATATATATATGTATATAGTTTTTTCATTTTGGATGTCTCTTGACCTGAGTTACAGTTCACTAATTCTCTCTTGTGTTACATTTAATCTTTTGCTAAATTTATAAAGATCCAAATTTCAATTATTATATTTTTCAATTCTAGAATCTTTATTCAATTTTTATGTGCATAAAATCCAGCTCTAGTTTTTCCTTTCTCCCCTACTTTTACCATCTATCCCATTTTTTTTTAAAAAATTTAAGATGTGTTTATTTATGCATACAAGACCTGGGGACTGGGGTATACATCAGAGCTGTGGGGGGTGAGGGGATTCATCAGAGACAGAGCGGGGAGCAGAATAGGCAGATCTACTGAAATACACTGCGCAGGGGAGCAGCGGGTGAGACAGGAGACAGGTGCCATGTGGGTCACCTCCCTGGCTGAGGATTAAACTCATGCAGTATGGCTGGCAATAGCTTGATAGCACTGTCTTTAACCCCTGCGCCGCCAGGAAGCTCCCTCTATCCCGCTTTTTGATTAAATATATTAATCATTAAAATCCTTATCTTTTTATGCCAATATTTGGATCACTTATGAGATCTACTCTGAAGTTTTTTTTTCTCTTAGTTTTATATCTTTGCAGTCCTATCTCTTAGAATTTTATGTGATTTCTCAGTGAGCATTGGTGTGCTATCAACCCACAAGTAGAAATGTGATCATAGTTTTTAAAATATTTTACTTAATCACATTCATGATTAATAGCATCTTGTGCCCTAATCCTTACTTAGTTAATAATTATAATTACTTGAAAGTTATTTATTAATCACCTACTATGTATTAGGTCTTGTAGACAGAATAGTGAACAAAACAAAGTTACTGCCCTTGTGCACATAATACCTCAGTGTGAGGGATATTAGATAAATAATATATTGCTAATTGGGATTTTTTTTTAAAGACTTATTTATTTTTGCATACAAGAGCTGGGGTACAGGCCAGAGATGCGGCGGGTGAGAGGATTCACCAGAGACAGAGTAGGGGACAGAACAGGCAGATCTACTGAAATACACTGCTGAGGGGAATAACAGGCGAGACAGGAGAGGTCTGCTGTCCATGTGGGTTGCTCCCTGGCCGGCCGGGGATCAAACTCACGCTGCAGAGGCTGTGGATTGCTTCACAGTGCGGTGCTTAACCCCTCACGCCACGAGGGAGGCCCCCAATTGGGATTTAAAGAAGTATAAATCAGGGTAAAAAGACAGAAAATAGGGAGGTAACTTTTGTATAAAGAATGGTCAGAAAAATCAAAATGGTATATTGAGATCTGAATGCTGCCAAGGATCAAACCATATGAAGGACTTAAACATATTTGACGCACAGGAACAACAGGTCCTGAAAAAGGAATCCTTCTTCGTGGGAAGTTTGAAAAAATAGCCAAGAGAGTGGCAAGCTAGATAGAGGAAGGAGAAAGCTGGTTGAAAATCAATCTAGTGGTTTTTCTTTTTTAAATTTTCTTTTTCTCTCTCATAACATATTACATTGCTTTCTAAAGGATCCTGATGGGAAAAAGAGCATCACTGTCTTTAAGATTCAATTTTTTATGCAGTGGAAACCTTCACAGTCATTCTTTTGAGGTAATGACCTACTATGATATCCTGGGCCCTACACCCTCGACAGGTAAGATATATTTGTTTTATAACACGGGAAAGCTGTAGATGGCTGCTCATTCAACACATAGTTATCAAGGATGGACCACGTCAGACACAGTGTTGAGTCAAGCATACGTAGTCAAGCTGCTTGCAGTAGAACTGAAGTACTTTGTGGTTTTAAGGAGTCACTTATGCATGCTTATGCCACCAGTTTTTAAGTTAAGAAGTGTGATCAAGTTTTACTCTTTTTCCAGTATGATAGAATGGAGAAGGAGCACACAACAAGTATGAACTTGGCCTGCAAAGAGCTTCTTCATGTAGTAGGAATCCCAGCATAGCCAAGTTGAGTTTGTACCAAGATCTGTTCACAATCTGACTAACTCAAGGGGGTTAATGAGTATCCTCTAATGGAAAAGACAGATCAAGGACAAAGCTATCAGCTGAAGTAACAGATCATGTTGAAGAGGATAGTGTTTAATACTCAGTCTTTGGGAGAAAGACTTCCCCCAAAACGAGTAAAAACCAGAATTGTTTCCTAGATGTCTATAAAGGCATTCTGAGCTCAAGTCCACACAGCTTTGCAGTCTATGAGCAAAGAGCAGCTCTGAGGTTACTGTACCAGCATGAAAGGGCCCTACCAGCCAAGGGGACCACCCTCACTCTCAATTGAGATGTAAGAGTAGACCTCTCTCTTGATGATCTCTACGTTCCTTGCTCCTGGCAGGAGCAATAGCACCTTTTGCAGGTGTGGCCATCACTGGTGACAATACTATCTTTGGTGGGGCCATCAGTGATTTTAGCAGCAGCAGCCACAGAAGAGGTTGAACACAGCACAAAAGAGCAGGAGAGGAAGATAATGGCAGGTGCCATGTGGCACAGGGAGATTTGCCTGCAGACTTGCATATGCTAGTCCCTGGGGGTATCTTAAACAGGGGAGGGTTTGAGGGAGTTGGAACTCCTGAAAGAAAATGAGAAGTGATATGAACAGAGTCATAGAATAACATTGTTCACTGTGATATTTTTTCCTTAAGATGTTGTGTTATCTGGGGTCAGATCTGAAATAAAAAATCTAATCATACTTTTAAGAAAAGGAGGATCATGTGTCTTCATTTTAGAAAAGATTAAGGTCCTGTTATGAGCCGAACGTATGTTTTCTCATCCCAAATTCATATATTAAGCCCTATCACCCCTGACCCCTTGTGATGGTATTAGGAGGTGAGGGCTTTGAGAGGCACTTTTTAAGATAATGTTCTGGGTATGGGGCCCCCATGATAGAATTCATGCCCTTATAAGAGGAGGAAGAGATGCCAGAGCATCCTCTCTTGGTCATGTGTTAAGTCGAACAAAAGCCTAAACTCAACCCTCAATTTCTCTGGAGAATATATTTAAATGTAAATAAATGAATAGACCAATGAAATTATTTGATATCTACTGTTAACCTGGAATAGCAATGCTGATTTTATATTGGGTCACAATTGAAAATGTCACAGCAGCTATTTATTTTATTATTTCAACCATTTTCTGGAATACCTCCCTTGTGCCATTAAGTTTTTACAGTGGATTAGGTAGGAGATCAAGATTTTTGTTCATTTGAGACTGACATTTGGTAATGGAGGAATTTATGGGCCACCAACCCTGAAATATTTATTATCTCGTAAAGCTCTATGTTCTCTCTTAACTCCATGTCTTTGCACAGTGTTTCTGCTGAGATGCTTTTTCTTAACGTGTCCACCCTATACTCTTGAAACTTTCTGTCTACCTTTCAAGACTCAATTCAGCTATCAGTTCCTTCTCTGATCTTTCCTAGACAAACCTCTTGTAATTTCCCATAGTCTTTTTTTTTTTTTTTTATAGAGGCATGTTATTTATTTATTTATTTGTTTGTTTGTTTGTTTTGTTTATACAAGCACTGGGTACAGTCAGAAGCATGGGAGGGTGAGAGAATTCACCAGAGCCAGAGCAGGGAGCAGAGCAGGCAGAAGGACCCAAGCACACTGCTGAGGGGAGCAGCGGACGGCAGGAGAGGTCTGCGCGCCATGTGGGACCCTCCTCTGGTGGCCGGGGAGCAGCCGGGGATTGAACCGGCGCTGCAGAGGCTGCGGGCAGCTTCGCAACCCAGCGCTCAACCGCTGCGCCACCGGGGAGGCCCTAGTCTTTTATCTGTATCATCGTGGCAGTGTGAGGCTCTTGGATTGTCCCTGTGCACAAGTTTGGCTTCCAATGTGTTTTGACTCCTTGAGGATGGAAATTTATTTTATGGCTAGCACTGGATAATTTGATAATATTCATTGATAATATTTATTGAATAAAGGGAGTGAATGAATATAACAATTGTTCTACCCACTCTCAGCTAGACTCCAGAGAAACATGTTGAGATTTTTTGAGCTGTTTTGTTTTTTTTTTTTAAAACTTATCAACATTATTGAAAAATGTGCTGCTCATATGAAGATTCTCTGTTGTACTACCCCTTGTACTGCATGTCCTAAGTTCTAGGAACAGTGTTAGGATTAGGGGTACAAAGATGAATATGATCTTTTATGGCATGATTTATCCAGCACCTATTATGCACATTGTGCAATTCTTGTTGCCTTAGAAGTACCCGCATTTATTCTGTACGACAAACTGAAGGGAAGATATTATCTTTGGGTTGAAGTGTTGAATATTAGAAAAGAGAACCTTAGAAAATTTAAGCCCACAGGTAAGTATCTACTAAGTGCAAGAGCTGGGATACAAATCCAGGTCTCTCTGACTATGCAGATCCTGTGTAGACTGACCATATAGACTGAGATAAGAGCAAAGCTACATAGTGGAGGCAACATACTGACTGGGCTTGTAGTCAAATCTCAGATCTATTTCACATTATCTACATTCCTAAATCATGGAAAACCTCAAATCTTAGTTTTTATTAAATCTTTAAAACAGGGATAAGAAAGTTACCTCCCCAAACAGTTGAAAGAATTAAAAATATGAGATTTAATTTGAAATCATGTTGCAAATACTTAGATCAACAAATGTATAAGAAAAGATTTTTTTTGTAGCTAAGGCTTTGTTTTTTTTGTTTTTTTTTTTTTTTTTTTGGTTTTTTTTGCATAGAAGAACTGGGGTTTAGGCCAGAAGTGTGGGAAATCAGAGTATTCACCAGAGCAGGGTGGGGAGCAGAACAATTAGATTTACTTAAATACACTGTTAATGGGGAGCAGCGGGTGAGACAGGAGAGGTCTGCTGCACCATGCGGGTTAGCTCCCTGGCTGGGGATCCAACTCAGGCTGTAGTGGTGATAGCACTGAGACTTAACCCCTAGGCCACCAGGGAGGCCCAAGAGAAGATATTTTAGACTCTGCCGTCTTATCCTTAGGACTATGAAGCTCTGTGTTTGTACAAAATGCTTTCTATTTCTGTGTGTAGAGTTCAAAAGCACAGTTGTTAGACAACAGCAGCTCCTTGATAATTATCTTGAGGATTTGAGGTTGTATCAGTAGCTTTTGAGCTAAAGTGTCTCCCAGAGGAACAGAAGCATATTTTTACATTGGCATCTAGGCTCCCTAAGTTCTTGAGCTCAGCTGTATTAAATGAATTGAAAAAGACTGAAGTTATTATGTAACCTGCTTCTCTCCACTGATGCTGGGAAATGGATTTTACAGAAGATGAGCAACTCAGACAAGTCCTAGGAGTCCAAGGAATTTTAATGGTTATCTAAATGTTGCTAATAATTGTCTGAGCGGACTTAGATGATCACATCAAATCTTTACAGGGATCTCAATGTTATTTCCTGCACTACTTACATATGTACTAGGCAATTAATGGTGGGGGCTGTTGACAACGATATAGTCAAAAGACATGAGACTGGGCAAGGATAGGACTGACAACATTCCTGACCCAAATAGGATTTCAGATCAGCAATATCAGCCTCACTTGGTAACTTGTTTGGAATATAGACTCTTCCCAGGACCTACTAAATCAGAAAATCCATTGCAAAAAATCCCCCAGTGATTCTTGCACTCAATAAAGTCTGAGAAGACCTGAATTAGCCACTGGTTTGGAAACACATGGGCTCAGATGGGACTTGTAATGAGGGCAGTAGGGGGGCAATAGATATTTGAACTTCCTAGCTGTGTGATTTGGGGGAACCTATTGCATCTCTCTGACTTTACAGGCTTGTTGAAGAATTGTTGTTTTAATAAATATAAAGCACTTAGAATAGCAGTTGATTCATAACAAGAGAGCTAACTATCCTTATTTTACAAATAATGATGATGATCAGTTTAAATAACTCAATTAAGTTGCACATAGTCAAAACAGAAAATTGTAAGCCTAAAAAATAGTTTAAGGTAGAGGCTACCAGCTTGGGCTCCTATTAATAAAGAACTTTGAAGGAGGGGAAATGTTGGATTAGTAGTGACTTTGAGAAGGGAATCTCTGGCCTGACCATTACACCTTGCCAGATAGGTAGAAATAGGTTATCCAAAATCTGCCATGCCTATTGTATACCAACATTTAAATTAAATTAGATGATAATCTTTTTGTGATCATAAGCCATAGGTTTGTTTCAGTCTGTTTGCTAGGAAAGGCATAGGGCCCCAGCAAAATTGAAAGGGCTATTTTAGTACTTCTAATGACTCTTGCCTTTTAAGTGTGGGGCTGGAATATATATATTTTTAAATAATAGCATTTATGAGAATATTTGTTCATAAATAATTCTGTTTGGCTACGTGTATTTGCCATAGGAATTTGATTTTACTCCTTAACCTTTTGATAATCAACTGATTATTATCTCTCCGATTTGACCCTAAACTGGACTAGTAACAAAGGACTATGCAGATACTCTTAAAATTGGGAGTCCAGATAAAAGCATCTATGTATTATTTTGTAAAATGTATTTTATCAGTGAAACAAAGTAACTAGTCAATTAACTTTAATATACATATCATAGAATCTGAATTTGCCACAATCAATAAGTGATAGAGACCTTGTGTGGCAATTGAGTTGGGCAATATCAGTAAATTATGATAAAAGATAGTAAATGTTTATCATCCAATTAGAATGAGCACAATTTGAGTTAATGGTTTATGAAATTGTAGGATTTAGCTATAGATGATTATTTGATCACTCTTGCTATTTAATCTGACTTTTCTGCCTTATTAATCTATCAATAACTTAAGCAGATTACTTGTTCTCAAATTGATCCATGTCTTTTAAAATCACCATCTTTATAGTACAATTAGTTTCTTGAAGTGTCCAGGTGATAGAATCTCTTCTGCAGGTATGTATACATGTAGAAATACCAGTTTAGATATTAAACAGGAGGGATAATAGAGGTTTTTGTATGGCGAGCATAATGACATGTGACTATATGTTAGATGATAATTTGCACAGGCAATGAAATCTGCTTCTGAGAAATAAACTTCCTCTACCAATAGAGAATCTCTGACAGATTTTCCCGTACCAGAGTTTGCTCAATTTGAACTGCTCAGGCTTTGCAGTGTTGAAGCTTTCTCGTTTAATGACTTGGATAAAAGGAAATAACTCTCCTAAATACAAAAAACTGTTTTGTTTTAGGTCTAAATAATCAGTTACACAGTTTATTTGTACCAGGAGAATGCTGGAGAGGAGAGGGGGAGGAAATGCTCACAGTTGTCTTTGTTTCTTGGTGTTAACAGATTTAAAACTTCACCTTTACCGCAAACTGTACCTCTGTGACGACAGTGACGAGGCACAGCTGTGCGCCCTGGCCCTCCTGCCTTACCAAGTGGACTTTGTCAAGGCATCCGTCATGAGGGTGAAAGAGCTCATTCGGTTAATGATCCATTGGTTCAGGACGTCATTTGCCAAAACCACGGAGGAAAATAAGTATGTAACCAGCACATGGACACCATGTGAGCCCTTCTTTTTTCATGTCCCTTTTCTTTTTTTTTAAAGATTTATTTATTTATGCATACAAGAGCTGGGGTACAGGACAGAGGTGTGGGTGGTGAAAGGATTCACCAGAGTGGGGAGCAAAACAGACAGACTGAAATACACTGCTGAAGGGAGCAGCAGGCAAGTCAGTAGAGGTCTGCTGCGCCATGTGGGTTGCCCCCTGGCTGGCCAGGGGATCGAACTCATGCTGCAGTGGCTGCAGATAGCTTCATAGGTTGTGTCTTAACCTCTTGTGCCACCAGGGAGGCCCCTCATGTCCCTTTTCTTTATACTTTCTTTGGAAGGAAGAGGGAGAGAGAGAGAAAGAGAGAGAGAGAGAGAGAGAGAGAGAGAGAGAGAGAGAGAGTGTGTGTGTGTGTGTGGGGGGGAGAGAGAGAGAGAGAGAGAGAGAGTGATTTAGTGGCATAATCAGATCATAATCAAATGCATTGTGCCAGGAAGAAAAGCACAGAAATAGAAGGGAAAGGGAGTTTAGTCTGATTTGAGTAGGACATTCATTTAATATTTGAGTTTCATGTGTTCCTTCTGCTGTAGTGAGTTCTAACAGATGCAGAGGTGACTTCAGAGGGTGGACCCCCCCCAACCTTGATACATACATGTTTTCGTCTCTCCTTCTCATTGGTAGCGGCAAGCTCTAATGTATAGTGAAGGGATGTGAGGGACACTCAGTTACTGGTTTGGATATTTTAAGATAAATTTTTGATAAAAAGAGAGCTAGTATATATTTGTATGAATTCTCCACTTGGAAGAAAAACAGATGTAGCTTTACTATCGCATAATTACACATGACTATTTTGTATATGCCTTCTATGAGTAAAGTTGCTAATAATCTTGATGTCCTCATCTGAATCACTTATTTTTATTTTTTAAAAAAGATCTATTTATTTATGCATACAAGAACTGGGGTGCAGGCCAGAGGTGCAGTGGGATGGTGAGAGGATTCACCAGAGACAGAGTGGGGCGCAGAACAGGTGGATCTACTGAAATATACTGCTGAGGGGAGCAGCAGGAGACAGGAGGGGTCTGCTGTGCCATGTGGGTCAGCTCCCTGGCTGGGGATCAAACTCAAGCCATTGCAGTGATAGAGCTGAGACTTAACCCTTAGGCCACCAGGGAGGCCCTCACTCTGTTTATTCTGTGTATGATTTTATGATGAACACTAATGACAACATCAATCACTTTGTAAAAACATACATTACTTCTATGTAATTGGCTCCTACTTCTAAATACCTCTAAACATTCTGTATTTTTTTCCCTCATTTGGTTGAGTAAAAATTTATTAGTGAAATAGAAAAACAGAAGGACAAAGAAATAAAGCTTCTTGCCTTAGTAGATACTTGCTTAGATCACAGGCTGGTTTTGAAATCTAACACTTTTTTTTGGTAGTGGTGAACGTTTGTGGGTCTGCAAGAAGAAACTTGTCTATTAGTGATACAGAATATTACTCTAAATCTTAAAAAGGTGGCATTGTGTGGAAATCAGACCATTTGAGTTACAAAATGGTGATTGGTCTCCTATTTTTGGAGAGTAATCTGGTAATGTGTACTAAGAATTTATTATGTGTTAAGGATATTAAAATACTCACACCATTTGTCAGCTTAATTCCCCACTAAGTAAAAACAGGTTAAAAAAGTAAAAAAAAAAAAAAAAAGTTTACTTATTATTTGGCTTAAAAAAAAACCTGAGTTTATTTACATTAAAAACACGCCATAAAAAGAGTACTCAGAGACTTAAAAAGGGAGTTCAGCAATAATTATAGGAACTGCCCTTGGAGAAAATAATCACATAAAAAGTAATTTGTATAAGTATATTCAGAATAGTATTACTGAAGATAATGAAACTAGCAAATAACTTGTCATAACATGAAGTACATTTCAAGACAAATTTGGGAAACATGGTGTAGGACATGGAAATATTTATGTGAAACTATGAATAGAATGACTAAGATAATGTATAAAAAGATAATGAAGGTCCTCCCCGGTGGCGCAGCAGTTGAGCACTGGGTTGCGAAGCTGCCCGCAGCCTCTGCAGCGCCAGTTCAATCCCCGGCCACCAAAGGAGGGTCCCACATGGCGCGCAGACCTCTCCTGCTGCCCGCTGCTCCCCTCAGCAGTGTACTTCGTCAGTCTGCCTGTTCTACTCTCAGCTCTGTCTCTGGTGAATTCTCTCACCCTCCCGACTTCTGACTGTACCCAGTGCTTGTATAAATAAATAAATAAATCTTTAAAAAAAAAAAGATAATGAACACATATCAGAGCTATGTAAATATATATATATATGTAAACATGTTACAGAATGTGAGGTAAAAAACTTAATGTTTGTTAAGTCTTTTCCTCCCCCTCTAAAGTTACATTCCTAAAATGTGAGGAAAATCCTCTGTTTAAGCAATTTTCAGTCATGACTTCCTTTTGGCTTTTGGGAGCATCAGATGGCTCCAGTGGAGACAGATTTTTGAGTCTTGTGTCCATTGAGAGAACACTGTGAGAACTGAGTTACTGATCACCTGATATCTGGTTTGCTACTCACTACTAAGACAAGAAATTTGATCTACTTTTAGTTTTTTTCTGTTTCCTTTATTGAGGAAAATGATGACTAATAGTAATAATAAGAAATGGTACCATTCCATTAGGGAAATAAATTGAATTTTTTTGTAATCTATCACCAAAAGAGATTTCAATGGCTCACGAATACCAAAGCAGCAGAAACACATATTTGAGTAACATCAACCAACATGAAATGTTGAAACTGACATTTTTTCTGTCCCTTTGGTTTGTTTTTAATCTTCAGTTTTAATTTCTATTTCCCCTCTAAAGTGCATAAACTGTAATATAAAAGATTTAATGTAAAAAAAAATTTCTTTATCTCCAGCCCCTACCTCCCAACAATATTCAGGGCATATTCATCAAATTTTGCTTTGTACCCATGTTTAATTTCTTTCAAACAAAAACCAAATGGATTTGCAGTTTATGATTGCCTTTAAATTTGTTTTAAGTTAATCTTTATCTTTTTATATTTATGTACAGAGATATACCTTATTTTTTTAATGACTACAGAGTACAGGTCACTCCTTTGTAATGTCTGTAATTTGAGATTCAAATATGAGCCACCCATGCAATGTCATATATGCTAATAGCCACATTATTATTTCAACATGCAATTCAATGTAAAAATTATTAATGAGATATGTCACTTTACGTGTGTATGTGTTTGTCTTCGAAATCCAGTGTGTACTCATGTCTCTAGTCACCTGTCAATAGCCCCATGTAGCTAGTGTTTACCATGCTGGACAGCAGGGTAAGAGATACATCATGAAAATAACTAGTTTCCTATTGATGAACATTTCAATTTTCTCTATTAAAAACAATAGCATATTTGAGCACTTGCAGAAATTTATTTTTTTTTTTTTGCATGGAGGAGCAGAGGGTGAGAGGATTCACCAGAGACAGAGTGGGGAGCAGAACAGGTGAATCTAATGAAATACACTGCTGAAGGGAGCAGCAGGCAAGGCAGGAGAGGTCTGCCACACCATAAGTGGGTCACCTCCCTGGCTGGTGATCAAATTCAGGCAGTAGTGGTGATGGCACTGAAACTTAAACCTACACTACCACGAAGGCCCCTGTAGAACTGTTTCCACAGAGTGAATTCAGGGATGTGAAAAATGTTGGATCAAAGGGATGGGGCAAATCAAACTTTAATATAATTGACTTCAGAAAATGGTATTAATTTATATTTTCATCCATAGAGTATGGATGTCAATTTCCTCACCAACTTGCCATTGTTAAATATCGTAGTTATTTTTTACCAGTTTAATTGGTGGAAATACTATTATTGCTTGGTAAGTAATGAGATTGAAAATAGAACTTTTGTAAGTTTCATGTTGAGCTTGACTTTTTCTTATCACAGAATAAAGCTTCATTTTTTAAAAAAATATTTACTTTATTCATGTATACAACAACCTGGGGATAGGCTGGAGGTTTGGGGGGCGAGAGGATTCACCAGAGACAAAGTGGGGAGCAGAACATGCAGATCTACTGAAATACACTGCTGAGGGGAGCAGCAGGTGAAACAGGAGAGGTCTGCTGTGCCATGTGGGTTAGCTCTCTGGCAGACAATTGAACTCATGCTGCAGTGGCTGGCAATAGCTTGAAAGCACTGTGATTTTAACCCCCGTACTACCAGGGAAGCCCTCTTTCTTCTTTGTCTGGGTGAATGGAAATAGATATAACCCTCCTTCTCTGTGTCTAGGTACCGGAGACTTCCCCCACTTATACAGTGGAGCTCCTCTCAATTCACGTCTGGGAGCTGGCAGGAAAGCCTCTGTTCTTCAGCCTGGTCCAGGGAATGAGGGCGATTCTCAAACTTCTGGTTCAATATGCAGAAATTGATGTTGTTTGGCACAGACACTATCATCCCAAATTCCCCATTTTTGTCAAAGTTAACCGGAAACACACAAGGTATCTTTCCTGTGTCCTTGTGATATAAGGAACATTGTCGCCTTGGGCAAAACAAGTGAGGGAAGAACACAAGGGAGTATTGAGTTGGATCACCGGTGCTGTGGTGGTGGGAGAACTAGGGGACTACATCTGAGGGTAGAAGTCAAATACTGTCCAAAAATTAATAACAGTGTAAGAAAATAAATAAATTAATTAATTAAAAAAAGAGGAAGTGTGGAGCAGAGTAGCTTTACTGGGATTCGATGTAAATAAGAAGGCAGACTTGATTGCCACAAAGTCAATTCCCTTCAATTACTTCTCACAAAATTTTAATTCTAAAGTGTGAATTTAAAGTACTTTGAATAAAATAGATGGAATGTGGATATTGCCAAGAACATGAGGAGCAAATTGAAGATTGGATGTTGGGAGAAAATGTCTTCTTAGGTGAAGAGGAAAACGAGAAGTAGAGTTAGTCGGGAGAGGCAAGTTGCTATTTTCTTATAGGTGTGATTAGTCTCCTGGGGACTTGCTCCCTCCTTTCCCAGAGTCCTTCTGTTAACCAAATCTCTTCTTTAACTCTGACACTCCCCTCTTCTAAACCCAGCAAATTGCAACTAGGTTAAGAAATGGAGAGTTTTGGATTTTTTGTTTGTTTGTTTTAGACCATTCATCTTAGACCCTGTAAATCCTACTGCCAACATGTGTGACAGCTGCAATGCCTGGGACGAAGTTGCCCACGTGGCAAGATGCAGCTTGGAGAAGCCTCTTTTCAGCAGAGTGAGAGTGATGGCCCCCTGGCTCTTCACAGACAACTGGTAAACTAGGCTAGATGATATTGTCCTTTGATACCTTTGGAGAAGATAAAAGAATGCAAAGTAGATTGCCAACAAGAACACTTCTGATGAAGGACAGAATGTGGGAAACTTGTCTCAATTTAATACACTACTTTAGGACCCCAATCTTTGATACATATTTATGTAAGTCATCATTTAAGATATAAGGATCTGTGTTTCTGCCTTTAAGAGAACTGTAACCCTGTGCCTGTTTTTTGAATCCATTTCTTTTCATGGCCAAAAAAATTTTGAAAAAACCCAAGTAGCTGCAATAAAGAAATAAAAAACTAAGTTTCCAGATCCACTGAGAGTAACTGATTGCCACAACTGTTTTCAATTGTTGGGATCAACTGTTTTCTTTCCTATCAGGGAACAATAGCAGCCACAGGTAATGGAAGCCAGGGGCTACCAGAAATAGACCAGAGGAAATTTCCTGACTCATTTGCATGGTAACAACTCATCAGCATTAAAGATATATGAAGTGTGACTGCAGAGTAACTTGCCTGATTAGGCTTCTCCACATGACAAAGTACACATAAATGAGTGCCATCCCCTGCAGGCAAGTCCTCAGAAAACCTGTGTGCTTATTCCAGCCGTGTGATTGGAAACACTTTCAGATTTCCCTTCAGGGGAGAATGTTCTTTTGGACATCCTGCATGGTGACAAAATTTGTCCTGTGAGGGTGGATTTAAATTTTAGAAATGGTACAATGTATTCTTAGTAGTCATCTGTTGATTTTTGTCTACCCAGAATCCTTTTTTCCTAACTCACAAGAAAGAGACCACATTCTTCTTTTGTTCATTCTGTCACTGAAGGCTCTCAAGGAGAAATAATTTCAAATCTGTCTTGGAAAGTGGCCACATTTTCCCCATATTGGTAATAGAACCCATATTTACATCAGGTGACTACTTCCTAACTAATCCTAAGTCATTTAAGTGACCATATCAGAGCAAAGGCTTGTGACCCAGGCCTGGCACAGTGATAGTGTCAACTATAACTCTACCGGGGAACTCACTTCTGGAATTTAGATTTGAACTGTTGGGAACTGTTGAGAATTTCTCATTCTAATACTGTATAAGCATGAAACCATTGGCCACCATCTTGCTGCTCGAAAGGGGAAGTCTACTTAAAAATGGAGGCAACCCCAAAGGAAGCAGATCAAAACCATGAGCAATGATACATGTGTGTGTGTGCAGTCATGTGTAAGTTATATAATGAGAGATTTGATTTGTGTTTCTGCCTTACAAGTGAGTCCTGAGGAATGCTAAAGAGAGAACAGGTCTACTGGCTGAATTATTTCATTGAGCAAGGAGCAAGGAAGTCATCAAGACATTGATGACATGTTTCTAATGAAGAAATATTCATTTTTTTAAAGATTTATTTATTTAATGTATACAAGAACTGGGGTACAGGCCAGAGGTACGGGAGAGTAAGAGGATTCACCAGACGCAGAGTGGGGAACAGAACAGGCAGATTGACTGAAATACACTGCTGAGAGGAGCAGCGGGTGAGACAGGAGAGGTCTGCTGCGCCATGTGGATATCTCCCTAGCCAGGGATTGAACTCGTGCTGCAGTGGCTGCAAACAGCTTCATACGTTGCTTCTTAACCCCTTGCACCACCAGGGAGGCCCTGTAGAAATAGTCATTGAGCCCCATGTACTAAGTATTTGGCCCAGTGGTGGGATACTGAAATTACCTTGACAGTTCAGGATGGCAAAATGCTTTCAGCCAACAAAAGAGACTGTTTTTCTTCTTTACTCCCAGGAACTCAGGGTCATTCGCAAGGGGGAATTAGTGACAGAAATGTCTGGCAAAGATGTCACTCTTGAACACTGTCAGATCATGTTATAAGTTTGCTAAGGTAACTAATATTTTAAGAGGACTACAATCTTTTGAGGTTAGGAATTCCATCTTTTAAAAATATAGTTCTGGGATTCCCTAGTGGTGCAGGGGGTTGAGCGCAGCGTTGTGAGGCTGTCTGCGGCCTCTGTGGCGCCATTTCGATCCCAGCTGGCTGGGGAGCAACCCGCATGGCACAGCTGACCTCTCCTGTCTCGCCTGCTGCTCCCCTTAGCAGTGTATTTCGGTACATCTGCCTTTTCTGCTCCCTGCATTCTCTGGTGAATCTTCTCACACACACACACCCCCACTCCACGACTCTGGCCTGTACCCCCTTCTTAAAAAAAGTAAATAAAAATAGAGTTCTATTTTCCCTCTGTGGCCATAACTCCCATAGGAGAAGAGAACAGGAGGGGAACAAAAAAAAGGACAGTTAGTTCACGACACGGAAATTTATTTCCAAGTTGGGAAGGACACCTTGCTGGCATGAAGACTTACACTGAAGTAGGTGGGACAGTGAGTGGAAACTTAACTGTCTTCAGGCCTAAGAAAAGTCCAGAATAATCTAGTGTGATTTTGTTCTGAAATGAATAAGGTGAGATTTCTATGATTGTAAGGTGTGTGATCCAATCAGAGAAAGAATAATTGAGCTTACTGCCTGGTGTTCGGGTCAGTGCCTCTCATATACCCTGGTGGCCTCATGCTCACTGTTCCTTGCATCTGCCTGGAGAGACTACATCCCTCCTACACCAGCCAACAGCTCTCTTTTTGATAGGGGGAAAGGATGTCCTGAGCAAACTCCATACAGGCTTTGTGGACTCCACCCCCATGACACTGGAAACTACAAATCCCAGGATCACCAAAGGGAAAGTTGCGAGGACCTGAGGGTGGAGTTAAGCAACTTGGCTCTCAGTTTGGGTATTTAACTGGCCATGTGGCAGCAGTGGGTGGGGGGAGGGGGTGGTTTGGCGGTGGTGTTGCCGGCTTGGCCAGGAGGTTTGCTAGGTTTTTCGCCAGCTTGGCGGGTCATTGGGATTCCAGGTCAGCGGAACAGGTAGGATGCGTTTACAAACTTATCTCCCTCTTTTTCTCTCTGAGTTATTCATTTCCCATTTCCCCTTCCCTTGTAAATAAACCTTTTATCAACTTTTTGTGTATGTCTGCAGTTGAGCATTAATAAGTCCCCTTTAAGCATGCGGGTGAGGACCCACAGTCAGGCAACCCCATTTTATATTGGGGTTTGCCCTGTAACATTTTCTTTACACAGAGCAGCTTCCTCTGTTGAATTCTGGATCCTGAACATAACTCTTCCAACTTCAAATCTCAGCTGAAAACTGAAAATTCCTTCCATGTTTCTTAGCTTACCTTCCTGAGGGGAACAGACTGAGCAATCTGGTTTGGGGTTTTGGGCCAGATTACCCAGCTATGGGGCAAGTGTGCTGGCGATGGGAAATGTCACGTAGCGCTCAATGAGAACGCCACAGAATAGGGAGCTTTAGGGACATGGATGAATGGGACAGGGCCCATGGCCAGCGGCGCTAATGCTGTCCCACTTCGAGCTGCAGGTGTCTCCCTCAAAGACCCTGGTGAAAACAGACTCTGCAGAGAGGATTAGTAACTGCCATCTTTAGGTTTTGTGAATGTTCCTGTTTCTGGTGATACCAAGTCTTAGAATAGTCAAAGGGTTTGTTGGACAGGCAGGAAAATTTCCCTCTTCTTCAGTAAGTCACCAAGTAGAAGAAAACGTGATCCTAAGAAGCAATAAGGGATGCAGTGGGTAGGTCCTGGCAAGTGAAATCTATGGGGAGACAAAGAGAAAATAAAGGGGCTGTCTGGAGGTCCAATTTGGAACTGAGAAATAAGCCCCAGGAGGGCTTTCAACACCATGTCCTGGACCCACAACCGTCCCTTGTTCTGCTCTCCCCTCCCTACTCACAACCTAGAGCCATGTTAGGTCCCAGAGATCAACACTGTAGTATCGTGTTGCTTATGGCAAGTCTGGGAAACTTGCCATTGTTTGACTCTGCTCTTGGGGAAAAAAAAAAAAAAGCATTTTCGGGTTTGAAAGAATTCTCAGGTTTGAATTGCTAACTGACTTACAAATGGACTTGTGGACCACAATTGTTGCTAAATTTGGAGCTGCCTTATAAATTGGTGGCAATCTGGGACTTTCAGTTGGAAACCAACAACCACTAGCTCAACAAACAACAGCTCTCAGAAGAAGCTTCTGCTTGCCTATTCCACAAACAACTGCTCCCAGGAAGAAAGTGCCATGAGGCTTAAGTCACTTTAAAGGAGTGACTTTAACTATTAGCCAATTGAGATTTTCAGAGTTTCTGGCCAAGGGGTTAAAAGTAATTCTAAACAAAGGTTTAGGAAAAAGAAAAAATTTACAAGCTGAACATAGATCTGAGGCATACAGCAGGGGAGGCAAACCGGGCAGGGAAGAGCATAAAAGACTATGGTGATGGATCAGAGATGATGTGGTGGTAGGAGAACTACCAGACTATAGCTGAGGGGATGTAGGGTAAGGTAAAAAGTATCAGGCTTTTCTGCCCTCCTGCCATTAGGATAGATGACGGAACCCTGCGGTCCTGAATGCATGCCTGATGGCGGGCACCTGGAGTAGGGTGTGGGCATAGGTAGATGGGATTTGACTGGGCTTTTAAGGGCGGCATCACGGGGATGCCAGCAGAAGCTGAGAGAGAAGCAAGAGAAGCAGAAGCTGAGAGAAGGCCGGAGAGCCCAGAGTGAAGACCTGCTGGGGGCTGGGAGGCCTGCCAGCCTACAGGCCCCCCAGTGCCCCTGCCTGCTGTGTACCTGGTAATCCCAATAAAAACCTGCAAAACCACTGAGGACTCTGACTCCTCCTTCACCAGGTCTGCTGGATCATAGAAAACCTGCACTGTGGTCTTCTTGACCCTACAGGGTAGAAATCAAATACCATCCAAAAATGAACAGCGATGTAAGAAAATTAATTAATTAAAAACCAAAACTGTGAGAAATAATGATTCGTCATTTAAGCCAAAATTGAAAAATAAAATTCCAAACGCTAGGACCAAAGTGATAACAGAGGGGGATCTGCCCTTAGGGGAGAAAAACCGCAGTTATATTTCTTTGCCCTTTTTGCTTCTCTGTAGCTTTCAGGGGGGTTATGGCAACCCTCCCCTCTCTGCTTTATTCCTTTCTTGCCTCCCCTAAGAGGCTTGTTATGTCAATAGGCCCAGGGCTGTGCTGCTTAGTAAAGAATGTGTTAAGTAGCATTAGGCCAAAAGAACTCAAATGTAAGTGTGATCAGAAACACCTGGTGAAATTCCAGACCCTTTTCCAGAATTTGGTCAGCAGATCTGAGGTGTGGTCCAGGAACTTGTATTTTTAAACAAGTACCCAAGGAGATTCTGGTGCAGATAGTTCATCCATCATATACAAGAAAGATGGGGAAGTATTTGGCTGTGCTACTAAGAGAAGGAAAGTGAATGAGTGCTCTCGCCAGCTTGTACTACTTCTGGGCTCCAAGAGAGCCTCTTACCCCTCTTAAGCAAAAGGATTTGCTCCTCCCTACTTCAGAAGAGTTTGAATCTGGGGCGTGACAATTTCCACTAATTCGGTCTTTGCATCTCAGTCAGAACTTCCTGGGACAGCAGTGGTTTCTTGACCTTATTATACAATGGAACTACTTGGGGAATTTCCAAAAATACTGATGCTTGGGCCCCACTTCTAGAAAATCTAATTTCATTGGTCTGGGTGCAGTTTATACATTTAGGATTTTATAAAGCTCCTTGGGCATTTTCTAACATGCAGCCAAATCATTGTGGAAAGGAAAATAATTTTCCTGGAGTGCTGGTTAAAAAGAATCTTAATATTTGCTATTTGATAGGGTGGACACCATAGAAAAATCTTGATATTTGCATTTCTGTAAGGTAAAACAAAAATACAATGCATAAGCGATAATACCTTTAATAGCATTTATCTGTGAACATAGTCAGTGATAGTGCATCACATAATGCAGAATTCTCTAAAGCGTTTCAGAGATAAAGGCTACCACAATGTTTCCAGCTTCAGAGAAAAAAGAATTCTTAAATCTATCTTTTCTTTCTATTTTCTGATACTTGGCTGATCAGATTCTTAGTTAATGTAGGTACACTTAGAGAATATATATGGCTTGATTCTTTTCCTTACTAGAATTAGGTGAATGAATTTAACAGTAAACATATCAGAGGCCTATAGCTTTTTAACAAATGGACAACTGAATTCTGATCATTACAGGAACAATGACTATATCAAATCTGTAATTTTCTGATACGTTCATACAAGCTTGGTGACTAATTGCATTAAGCTTTTTTCTTTGTTTTTAAATAACAATCTGGTATATTTGGTTTTGTGAAAATAAAGCAGCTATCTCTTGTCAAAATACAGTGCAAGTCTACATGGAAGGGTGATGACACATCCTGAAAATAGGATGTGTAGGGCCATGTCTGGGCTAGGCTGGATCCCTGCTGAAAATTTAAGAGAATATAAACATGTGCTCAAAATTAAGACTTACAAACTGGGTCCTTGGATAAAGCAATCCATGGGCTTTGGGGAGGTCCCACCCTCTCTGAAACTGTCATCTTAAATGTATATGCTCAGCTCTATATTCCTGGGAAAGGCCCATAGCTGTTACCCGATTCTCAGAGGTCCAAAGGTTAGGACCCACGGGTCCATGTATCTATTTAAGTAGAGAATTGTCCACTCTAGTCCCTTTCAACACAATGTGTTATTGAGAACATGATATAGAAAAGGAAAAATAAGACTAGACTTTACTCTTCAACTCTGCGCTTCTTGGGTTAGTAATGCAGGCATTTACTTGATGCATAGCTATAATGCCATAACAACAGTCATTCTGTCTTAGGTAAAAGTGATTTGCTAAAATGAGCGTCAAATGGACAAGGAGTGGCAAAAATACTGTATTTTGTATCTTTGCTATAGCTTCCAAACCAGTTTAGGAAGAGTGGGCAGTTTTGACCAGCCGGGAAAAACGGATTGTGACCAAAGGGGAATCTCTAATATCAGAATGGGTGCAATTTTATAATTATAGGGAGTAAATTTGACATTTGCTCAGGTTATTCCTTGACAAGGTGTCAAAGTCATGTCAAAGGCTACAAATGCAGTAAAAGTGAATGTACCTTTATTTATCATACCCATCATGCGAAAATGTGGCTTTTTCAAAATGATATTGTAAAGAATAATGACTATGAAAAAATTACTTCAAATAGAAAGTTTCCTTAATTTTGACATTTATTCAACTTACAATATTAATTCTAATTCTTTGGGGGGGGAAATATAAGATAATAAAGATGTTTTTAAGTGAGTTTTAGCTTCATTATGGGGAGGAATATGATTTTTGTTTAAACAATGTTTTTAAAAAAATTTATCTAATAGTATAGGGTGTTACCTTTCAAATCATTAGAGTGGAATAAGTGCATAGTTGAATTTTCTCCTGGTGGGAGAAATATGAAGTGAAATTTCTATTAATAAGTTTAATTCCAAGATATACCAGAATACAGTTATTTTCATGGGGACTTAAGAAGTGACAATTATCTTTATACATACTTAGATGTGAGGCTAAAACTGTCATGTTTAAAAACTTTAATGTAATTATAAATGTTTTAGCTTTCAGGAAAGTTAGCCTGAGTTGGTCTAAAATGAAATCTCATTTAAAATTGAGAGAAACTGTTTAATTTTAATTATTGGGCTACATGCAGTATAATCCTTTTCATATTATAGATATGGAAACTATGAGTATTTAAAATGAACACTGCTGCCATTGTTAAAATTTAAGTGAACAGTAACAAGCTGACATTCAGTTTTTATTTTTGGTTTTCTAAACAATTGATTGACCCAAGTCATTTTCAAAAAGAGATGGATATTTTAGTCCTTTTTAAGTAGACTCAGTAATTTAATCTTAACAATGACACTACACTTAAGCTACTAGTTGCTTATGTTCTTCAACATCATCAAAGACAGCTAAAGATTTCTTCTCACCAATGCATGAGAAACTAGTCAAATGCAAGCACTAATACATGCTAATGATTTCAAAATGTTTTAACCTTTAAAAATGCCAATAACTTTCTCCATTATAGAAAGATGACTGTGGTGGCAAACATAAACACACATCGGTTCAAGTTATCCATTTGTAAATTAAAAGTGAACATGATTGCAGGACTCAAAAAATTAATTCTTCTTGTGGACCTTAATTCTTCTTGTGGAGTAAGATTAAAGGTACTTTTCTAAGTGCCATTTTTCCTCATGTGAGAGAGTGTAGATTTTTTAAAATTCTTATTACAATGGCCATTTTAAGCCACATTAAATTTATTAGCATCTCATACTGTATCACTTCAAGATCTTTGATAGTGGGGTATCCAAATAAAATCCCCAATACAATCTGGGATTACACCTAGTGATGTAAGTTATCTCTCAGCTTATAAAGTTTAGGAAGGAACCCTAACCCTTGGATAGTTTTTAGAACCATCCATATTGTTTTTATTTAATCCCAAGTATCTTGTTTTTTAATGCCATCATGCTACTCGGGCCCTTTCTTTGAAGCAACAGCTATCATCTAGAAGGCACGCGTCAACCAGTCTTTAGGTAGGAGCCAGGTCTGAGAAATATCTTTGAAACCATCCTCTTTCCATTCTTTCAGAGTGAAGTGGAATTACTGACAGTAAGACGGATAAATTGCATTAAGTAGACATTGGGTCCCGTAAGGGTCCTACTACTTTCTATAAATGGAATGGGTGGGGAGAGTTAGTTCAGCCCTCAGGTAGTAGCTACAGGTGCTAAAGCTCCAATGACCTCTTTCAATGAGCTTCCTAGTGATAGAGTCTGGCCTCCGCTGCCCTCTGGGGCGGCTGGGTCCTGTCTTCCTAGTGGTAGCCACTGAGGGCCGTGAGGCTCAGCTGATCATCACTGGGGGAGGAAGTGTCAGCATCGCTATAGATCTGAGTCAGGGCCAAGCTCAGGATTTCTTTCTTTTCTTTGTAGAACCGCAGTTCTTGTCCTGCTTTCCGAGCCTCCTCCAACTCCCTAAGGGCCATTCGTAGCTCTTGAGAGAGAATTCCTGGTGACTCCCGCTCTTTCATGATCCAGTCCAGGGCCATGTGGCTGCGCATCTTTTCATCCAAGGAATACTGGGAATAGTAGGAGATGACTTCCTGGAGTCAAGAAACAAGGGCTGATTGTCAGTCAAGGCACTTATGTGTGTCAACAAAGCACCCATACTTGCGGCATCTACCCTTCCTCTCCTCTGCTGCTGCTCCCTCCCCTTCATCTGGGTTTACTGGCACCCAAACCTCTCAGAGGCCCCAAAACTGAAACCAAATCCTCTGACATTCTTCTCAAAAGAAATGAAGGGCTTAGCTGGTACAGCAAAGCAGGTCCCTCCAGGTTGAGTCAAAACACAGCCACCAGAAATGATTCAATAATGTTCACAAAGCAGAGCTGGGGCCTGCTAGGAAATGCGTCCTCCTTTGAAATGACATTTCTATACTAATGAGAATAAACACTTTTTCACTGGCACACTGAGCTCTCTGCCCCAGCATCTTCTTTGGCAAGAGAGGGAAACAACTCTAAGGAGAGATTTGGGCAGAGTTGGAGTTGGCTATGCCCCAAGCAAAAAGCAAGCAGCTTTGAGTCAAAACAACCTCAGCGGGCCTCCCTGGTGGCTCGAAGGGTTAAGCTTAGCACTATGAAGCAATCCACAGTCTCTGCAGCATGAGTTTGATCCCCAGCTGGCCAGGGAGATACCCACGTGGCACAATAAACCTCTCCTGCCTCCCCCACTGCTCCCCTCAGCAGTGTATTTCGGTCAATCTGCCTGTTCTGTTTCCCACTCTGTCTCGGTGAATGCTCTCACCCCCCACACCTCTGGCCTGTATCCCAGTTCTTGTATGCATAAATAAATAAATCTTTAAAAACAAAAAAACAAAAGAACCTCAGCACTAGAAGCCAGGAGAGTCCACTTCCTAACTGCTCTTGTGTTAGCATGAGGGAGAGCACTATTCAAAAGACTCACAGGAACTACAGGAAGACTTTCAAAGTGTACTATATTTTCAAAGAATAGAATGTAAGCATCATTGTTATTGATGGCATTCACGCCACCTTCATTTTACCCTGTCTCCTATTTTTGCAAGAAACTGAAAATTAGTCACTACCTATCAATTCTCAGGTGAGAAAATTGCCAATACATTATAGAGTCATACATATGTTTGATGGATACATTTTAAGAAGATCATACAGAGTGGATGTATTGCTTACTTTTATTTTCGAGAACATATGGTATTTATTTATGACCTTAGCAAATTAAAAACAATCATGGAAAAGTGTTTATAACCAACCCGGCATATTTCAAAGTCCTTTTATAAAATCAAAGGAAAAGAAAAAAATTAGCCAAAGCCATTGTCAGATACTCATTCCTTTTCCATCTTTGACATTCTGAAAGTCAGGCTTTCTAAGCAAAGGAAAACTGAAATCTCCTGGGGCTTCGTTGCTTGGAAGCTCTTACATATACCCTCATGTCACTGACTGCAGAAACCTTATTTCTCATGTAAATACCTGTTTGCAAATTCCCAAAATGAACTACCATCATTCAAAGTCTCACTGTGAGTAAATTTAGGATAAATCTCTGAGGATAGTAGGTGAAAACTGCAAAATATACAAGAGAGGGGTTGAATGGTCATTAAAAAGGAAAGAACAAAGACATGGTGAGAAAAATAAAGTAGAAACCTAAAACCAAAACTCTGGGGTGTTTGAATGCCAGCTTGTCCACTTTTATAGTCACTTCTGCTATCCATTGGGGATTTTGGTGAAAGTGAGAAAAACTATCCCACTACAGCCAACACCACCTCTCTTCAAGTGACAAGGTTGAGAAGCAGTATAGTCTCAGGTTTTTGCATTGGAGAGTGGAAGAGGGAGCAAACTCCAAGCAGGCTTGGCAGGTAAATAGAGTTGATTCAGCATTTGACTTAGAAACTATTGGGTTGTCAGAAAAGTCATGACACATTTTTGCTTGAAAAACAGAAAAGATATATCATGATTTATCCGACAATCCAATCCATCTGTCCTGGTGAAGGCTCCCTTGTGGCACCCAGCACAGTATCCAACTCAATCCTATGCCCAGCCAACAATCTTTTTGGTGTACTTATCTGTTCAGCTCTGGACTCAAATGGATTGCTACATATATATATATATTTTTTTTTTTCTCATCTTTCACTCAAGAAATAAGTTACCAAATTTAAACAGCAAAGAATTAACATAAAGGAATCTAGAAAGACCATCTTGATGGAAAATTTACCTGTCGGGAACACTTGGTTTCACGAAGGGCTTTTAGACTTCCATTCCAGTGCAATAGTTGGAAAATGGTCATCAGTTCCTGCAAAACCCAAGCACCTGTCATTAGTCTCATAGCAGAAATGTGTGAGGAAGTATGTCTGTGAGAGCTGAGCAGGGCATAACTCTGATCCATCAATCTCAGGGAAGAGAATATGCAATGTTGTCACACTGAAATTTCAAAAGCCAGTGTCCTTTGGCTTCTGGAGTATTCTTCCTTCCCTGCTATGTCCATATTTGCACAATAAGATGACTAAATATCTGACAAGAAACTTTCAACATTAAAAAAACACACACTCTAACAATTCTACAGCCAAGAAGTTATCTGTGTATTCCAGCATCCTTGAGAATAATATAATGTCTAAGCAAGGTTATTCATCATGCTGCTTTTTTTTTTAAGATTTATTTTTATTTATTTATGCATACAAAACTGGGGTATAGGCCAGAGGTGCGGAGTTTGAGAGGATTCACCAGAGACAAAGTGGGGAGCAGAACAGACAAATACACTGAAAAAGACTGCTGAGGGGAGCAACAGGCAAGACAGGAGAGGTCTGCAGCACCATGTGGGTTAACTCCCTGGCCAGGGATCCAACTCACTGCTGCAGTGGCTGGTGATAGCTGGATAACACTGAGACTTAACCCCTGTGCCACCAGGGAGGCCTATCATGTTGCTTTTTGTAATTGTCTGAGACAGGAAATATTTTCAGGGTTCATTGGCAAAGGAATGATTAATAAATACACTGTGGTAGTGAGGGCAGCAAAATATGTCACCCCAAAGTATAAGTTCAGGATATGCCTCTTCAAGTTAGGCCACTTTGGTATATCGATTATTTTGAGCTATAAATACATTAAGACAGCAAATGCAAGGAGAGGCTTTCACTGAACTCCCCTTATCTGCCTAAAGACAGAGTCTCCAAAAGGAATTTAATCAACATGGGAAGATTGACTTATCATGGGGAGTAAACTAGAAATCCATGTTACACCCAGACTAACTTTGTGGCAAACTATAGGACCTCTATCTATTATTCCGAGACCCATTCATCTTTCTTCTTTTTTTTTTTCAGATTTATTTTATTTATTTATTTGTGCATACAAGAACTGGGGTACAGGCCAGAGGTGCCGGCAGGAGAGAGGATTCACCAGAGACAGAGTGGGGAGCAGAACAGGCAGATCTACTGAAATACACTGCTGAGGGGAGCAGTGGGCGAGACAGGAGAGGTCTGCTGTGCCATGTGGGCAGTTCCCTGGTGGGAGGATCGAATTCATGCTGTAGTGGCTGGCAATAGCTGGCAATAGCTTGAGAGGGCTGAGACTTTGACCTCTGTGCCACCAGGGAGGCCCGCATTCATCTTTCTTAAAAGTAATTTACTCTCCCCTACAAGACCTCCACCCCCCCCCCTTTTCCCTATTAATTGGTATTTAATCCTAATCCTAAACCACCTTGGGGAGTTACTGTTTTGCCCTGGGTATCTCTCAACTGTACATGAAGTACATACACATCATCCTCACTCTTTCCAGTTTGTCTGAATTTCTATCCTATCACCAAGCAGTTTTTTCTTCTGCACTAACACAACTTCCTCTTGCTCTGTGTTGCTTTCAGGTATTTTGTTCCTAAAAATCCCAAGGGAAGATGACCTCCTTCTGACCTTCTTGTATTATGTCCTGATCTAGTTCTTGCCTTCCTCTGTCAATGCTCATCTAACCACCATTACGTAAAGTATACTGAAATATTTCTATATATTTCCTGTCCCATTCCTTTATTTCCCTTCATAAGACCAAATCCACTACCTTCAGATCTTCCCACAGCTGCCTGAGCCCTGGGATCAGTCTGAGGAAATCCTAGTGTGCCTCTCACCAGTTCCAGGAAAAATCTTTGCCTCATTGCAGACTGACAAGGAGAGGCCTGCAGTCACACCCGGGACAGAGCTTGGTTTAATGCTCCACTGTCTTGAAATTCTTAAGTGAGTTTTTTTTTTTTTTTTTTTTTTTTAAAGATTTATTTTTATTTTTATTTTTTATTTATTTATACAAGCACTGGGTACAGTCAGAAGCGCGGGAGGGTGAGAGAATTCACCAGAGCCAGAGCGGGGAGCAGAGCAGGCAGAAGGACCGAAGTACACTGCTGAGGGGAGCAGCGGGCGGCAGGAGAGGTCTGCGCGCCATGTGGGACCCTCCTCCCGTGGCCGGGGAGCAGCCGGGGATCGAACTGGCGCTGCAGAGGCTGCTGGCAGCTTCGCAACCCAGCGCTCAACCGCCGCGCCACCAGGGAGGCCCTCTTAAGTGAGTTTTGAACAAAAGCCCTTGTAGGGTAAATGGTTTTCAGGCTTTTCTGCCCTCCCACCCTTAGGATTGCCCTGCTTGATGGGGCACCTGCAGTTTATACATGGTTGCTTACTGTCTTATTTACTTCTGTGGGCCATGGGAGGAGTATTGAGATAGTCACCAAGAGGAGCAGAAGCAGGAGAGAGGCAGGAGAGAGAGAACGGGAGGAAGAGGCCAGAGAAGCCCAGAGTGAAGACTTGCCCGGGGCTGGAGTCCTGGCGGCCGTGTACCTGGTTGCTGCTCTATAATGTAACAGCTCAATAAAAGCCTGAGAAACCCTCTGAGGGCTCCAGGAGTCCTCCTTTACTGGTCTGCTGGATCAGAAAATCTGCACTGTGCCCTTCCTGCTCCTACAGCCCTGCATTTTCATTTTTCAATGGGTCCTGCAAATTATATGTAGGAAAAACTTCATTGTTCCCTGATTAGCAAAGAGCATTTAAAATTGAAGAGAAAAATCAGGTCTGTGTTTACTTTCTCTTCAGGGAAAACTGCAGTTGCAGCTTTCACTGTACAGCTTCCCTGGATCTCTATCATTCATTCCATTTAGACCAACAACATGCTCTGTCCTCCTGCTTCCTGGTGTGGCTTCTTATTAGAAACAATGTTTGGATTTTCAGCTACTTTGTGGGGGGAAAATGCACACTGCCTTCTCTCTGGAACTATGTCTGGAGACTGGCTTGGTTCTGTGATTCATCAGAAATAAGAAAAACAAACACTGTAAATGGAGAACTTGAAAAACAGGTGGGCACCATCTCCCCACCCAAGAGAATGGATTTCAGGGGAAATTTGTTTATGGGATGAGGTTTTAAAAGACAACCTGGAGAATTTAGCAAAGATGTAAATAAACAACTTTTCCTGGGATTGCATTAGGCTTCAGAATAAATATATTAACCAGCTCCAGTCAAAGTCTGCCTTCAATCTGACCTTGACAAGACCCAGTGGCTGTCGCCATCCCTTCCCCCCAAACATCAGGCAGCTTTCTCTATGGCAGGGCTACCTCAAAACAGGCTTCCCAGCTTCCCTCCCACAAAGTGAAGGTAAGCAGAGGCCAATCACGCTGCCTCCTTGGCAGCCCCCTGGAAAGTCAGAGGGTAGCCAGGAGACACCAGCCTTTGTTTTTAATGGCATAGTCATCTATAGCTACATACAAACACACATCTATTACCCACCAGGGGCACTGACTTGCTGTGTTGGCTGCACACAGCCCAGGTCTGTGGTCAGTTCCCATTCTGTGCAGGCACAAGCTGATGCATTTAACCAGGCCCATCAAGGAATGTGCCGGGACCCAGCAGGTGACCTAGAGCTGGCAGAAGGGAAAAGGAAGTGCTTCATGGCCCCCCTCCTGGGTTGCAGCATCCCTACTGGGAGCTGGAGTTTGGATTCTCCCCCAACCCTCACATCTTCTTCCTTTGTCCCCAGCCTGCACCCAGCCCCCTTTATGAAAACGTATGAAGTATTTCCACAGTATGATTCAAATTATTATTTCATGTATTTAAATGCCTTACTACATAGACCACACAGAAAACATGTAACCCATAGCAAGGCAATTAAAGTATTACTAAAAGGTGGTTGAGTGGAGCCTTTCATAGTACTTGGAAGGAATTTTAAGAATTTTTTTTTTTTCAATCTTGCTTTCCCCATCTTTGGCAGACTAACCCAATCACATTCAAATATCACTGAAAATAGCTACTAAATCACATACAAGCTACTTTGTACTGGGGCACGCCACATTCATTGTATAATTTTAAAAAGTACAATTTTTTTCCCTGGGGTTTAAAAGTGGAGGAATAAATAAGATTTTTTCCCTGGGGGAAATCACTATACTAGAGGAGTTATAAATGTTCTATTATGTAAATCCCACAAAAATCCTAAACAATGGTCATTATGACTCTTATTTGGAAGATGGGGAAACAGTCTCAGAATGTTGAAGTTCACAAGTGCCAAGAGCAGACTTCCAACGTGGGTCTATTTGATTTTTTAAAGTTGGTGTTCTCTGTGCTATACTCCTCCCTTTTATTTATTTATTTTCTCTGTTTGACTTTAGATTGTTATGGGGGCCAGGAGATGAAGGACTTTCATAGTTCCACCCTTTTATTATACACTAGGGGCCTTGAAAGTTTCAGTGCTGGAGGGTACCCTTCAGCTCATCTGAAGCCTTTGGGTTACATAAAGTTGTCAAGGGAATTCATCAGTAGCCTTTGGCATTTCAAGTAAAGCAGTCCTCCTTCAGAAATATATACAACAGTAGTTAACCGACATTGAGCATTAACCATATGGTAGGAAATGTTCTGGACTCTTTCTCTATTGTGCCATTTAATCCTCACCATGAAACTCTGAGATGGCACACAACCATTATTCTCCCTGTTTTACATACAAAGAAACAGATTAAGAGGTGAGGAATAGACCTAGGCTAAAACCCCAGAGGGTATGCTTTTAGATTATCTGGTCTCTTCCAAAGCCACACCTCAAACTAAGATCAATGAGGCCAGGGCCACTTAGGAAAACCCTAGATGGCAGAGATCTTCCCCAACAGAAGATTGCTTCAATCAACTGATATACAAAAAATGCTGATTTATTAAAATGGGCAGGAGAGACAGATTATGCCATTGTAAGAAAAGAATTTGAAATGCACCAAGAAGGTATTTGAAAGTTTGTGGCTTCAGGGCTCAGCTGCATCACTATTGAAAATTACACTGTGATGAACAATTTTGTCCTTAAAACTTTGTACCTCTGATTGCTTCTGGGAATGGAAACTAAAAAATATTAATATGGGAGTAAAATCTATTTTTTATAACATTGCATAGTGATTCCTATTTGCATTGCATGTATATGGACGTTCAATTCCATTTAAGTTTAGTTCTTTAAAGTGGCACACATTTCATGCCCACACACTATTGAATTTTCATTTCCCAGGTCAATCTAGAATAATCGGCACATGAGCTGTCAGCCTGCCTGAACACTGTTCTACTGTTTGCTGAGCTACATGTCACACTTCCTTCGATGATGACATGGGGATAATAAATACCAACATGCTTTTTGTGAGGGTTAAACTTGTTAACTGCTTAATCCAATGCCAGACAAAGTAAGCATCCAACAAGTGCCAACTCTGTTATTTGTACTGTTATTAATTAATTCTTTAACTTGCAAATAATAGGTAATTTAGTTCCTAAACTCAATTATTGCTTGTCAGCACCAAATGAAAATTGGTTACAAGTTGCTAAAATTTTTTATATAGTTAGTGACAGGAGGTGGCAGATCTTGTTTAATAAAATTGCCAGAACTGATGGGGGCATTGTTTAAAATATTTAGCAGCAAACTTCATTTGTGATTTCTGAAAATTGAGACTCAAATGGTTATAGTCAACACTTCAAACTATTTGATTTGCTTTCAGTAAACTCTGTACTGAAAAGCTCATGAAATGTTACAGGGTCCTAAGATGGTGATGCCCCTCACCAGTCTAAGATTCCTAATTTTTTTTTAAAGTCTTTTAAAAAAAATTGTTTTATTTGTTTATTTGTTTTTATTATTTTAATTGCCTGAACTGGGGTGCAGGCCAGAACTGGGTGATGAGACGATTCACCAGCCAGTATCTCATTTCCTTAACAAAAGGCAAAGAATGTACCTTGTTTGTGTTAAACTGCTGTAGAGAAGTTGAAATAGAGCAGGCTGCTGCAGTCCAACAGGGTTAATTAGAATGACCAAAACAAACCAATAAAAGTAGGTAGGTTATCTGGTAAAAAATGTGAGTGATCGGGCCTCCCCGGTGGCGCAGCAGTTGAGTGCTGGGTTGCGAAACTGCCCGCGGCCTCTGCGGCGCAGGTTCGATCCCCGGCTGCTCCCTGACCACCAGAGGAGGGTCCCACATGGCGTGCAGACCTCTCCTGCCACCCGCTGCTCCCCTCAGCAGTGTACTTCGGTCCTTCTGCCTGCTCTGCTCCCCGCTCTGGCTCTGGTGAATTCTCTCACCCTCCCGTGCTTCTGACTGTACCCAGTGCTTTATAAATAAATAAATAAATCTTTAAAAAAAAAAAAAAAAAAAAAAATGTGAGTGATCAGTGTGGCTTCTCTCAGGCTTCTGGGCTGTGTGAGCCAATGACCCCGTGGCAGGAAGTCTGATACCTGGAATTCCAGCATAGTCTTCCCCATATTGGACTCCAACATGTAGTGATAGGCTCCGATGCTTGTGCTGGGGTCGTCTGCATCATCTAAAGTGCCCTGGGAAGGAGAGCAGAGAAGGAAAGTGTTTCAAATGTTTCCTCCTCTTCTTTGGGAGATCACACATTAATCCTGTGGCCCCACAGCCAGCCTCCTATTACGGCCCTAAGTTTTCCAGTGCACATTCTATAGTCAAATCCCCAGTCGATGTAGGATAAAATCCTTTTAATCTCAAGAAGATGCAGAGGAAAGAGGAATTTGTAATCAACTGGAATCTAGCTTTTGATTAAAATGGGAACTGATTGATTATTCGCTGAAAGGATAATTTTTCCAAAGCTGAAACTCCAGTATCTTTGTACAGGGTTTTTATTGGTGGCATTGATGCTTAAGTGGTTGTTCAGTGAGAACATTTTCACCCACAACTGAAATTTTGAAACACCGATGTTGCTGCATTGGATTCTGATGGTAACCAGGCAAGATGCTATAACTGACAGGAAAAGTAATAGGCACCATTTATGTTACACTGCCATGATTCTTAATGGAAGCTTTTCATAATACGCTGGTGTTGGCCTGGAGACAGGGATCTTGGCTTGTATATATTTTTCATTTCTGGACCTTTCAATCTTTAGGAAACAAGGTGGCTGGGTGTGAGTAGAAATGAAATGCCCCTTCAATTTGGTTAGGGGCGAGTGGTGGTGTAAGTGCTAACACAAGCTTTGGAATGGGCTTGGGGCCTGCCCTTCAAAATCCCACGGTCCTGGATTCCTGGGAAGGTGGGCAGTGGCTTTGTGAGACTGAACTAACAACTGCCAGCATCAGATAGCAGCAAATTTATAACTTTTGAATGCAATAACATTAACACACTGTTGCTGAAATATTTATGTTGGCTTTTAAAATATCCCACAGGAAATCCATCCAGAAGCCTGCAAACCATATATATTCTCTTTCCTTAGAAATTTCTATGAAAAAATGATAAATTACATTTACACTGAAGGCCCCTCCCTGCTGTTGAGTAAATTCCACACATATAAATCAGGCATCATTTTCTTAACTTCTCTTCCTCAAAGGCCCTTCAAACATGCATGCTCAAAAATAAAGGCTTCCTTTCATCCTCAGAGCAGATAGAGAACAGAGCTCCCTGCTGCTGCCCTGCCAGTCCACCATTTTCTATCCTCGCCCCTTCCCTCATTTCTGTATGACAAGAGGCTTTATGAGAGGAAAAGGAGCGAAAGGGCCACTGCTATTGTGATGTTGTCTCCTTCATGATCTGGAGCTTTGCCGGAATGACAAAGCCTTTTCAATCAGTTTAAAAGAATCAGAGAAGGAAAATCTCAGAGGGGGATTCTCTGTGCTAAAGGGGAGGCCAGGAGATGGCTAATCCTTTTGGTGATGCCAAATTATTGCCCTCGGAGGACCTGCAGGGAGATACCTGTCACAGGTGGGGACACAAGGATTCCTCCATGGTTTAGAGTTTGGAGGTAACAATGGTCAGGAATGCCAAATAATTCAGGGGGTGAATCATCCACTCTGGATTGCTGAGTGAAGGCCCCAGCTAACTTTCCAAGACATACATTTTTGATCTTCACATTTGGCATTTAATTAAGTCCATTACAGAAATTTCCAAAGGTCTCTGAAAGAAATGATTGATATTAATTAAGCATGATAATTCTAAAAGCTAACAAATAATGGGCATGTGGCTTTTCCCATATCTCAGCGGTGAGAATTTCCTTGAAAATACAGATTGCAGGACCCCAAGATGACTCAGAATAGAAGCTTTTAACAAGCACTTCAGATTATTTTATGACTAGTCAAGCTGCCAGTGATAAACTAAACTAGTTTATCATTCGACTAAAGTAATATCACTCGTTCTTAAGGCCTGAAAGAATCAAAACTTCTGAAACATCAAACATGCAAATAAACAAATCAAGGTGGAACAAATTATCTATCTTGATCCAATGCTTGATTAGTTGTGATCCAGGGAGGCTAACAAATATTCCTTAGTTGTGGAATAGGGAACCAGTTCTGATTTCATGATTTCCAAAGTAAGTACTCTTTTTGCGGGAAATTAACAACTTAATGGGTAATAATTAAAGCTGCACACCTCTTAAAGAATTTGCTCACTTCAGCATCTCCCAAGATTCAAACACCTCAGTACTTTCAGAACAGCCAGCTCTCCCCTCCCTGGTGGGCACTTACGCTGGTGGAGGCAACCGCTTCCTGTACACTCTCCATAATGAATTCCTTGGTGATCCTGCGGGAGGGCAGCTCATTGAAGAGGGAGTTGATTAGGGCCACTTTAGCTGCATCGCGTCTGGCCTCAGCTCTACTTAAGCAGCACTTGAGAAGGGAAGGAGAAAGGAGTCATTAAAAGATTCGGCCTCTCACCACTTCATCCCTGATTCAATGGGTCTCTAGACGTTCTATTCACACATTTGTTGTCTGCACCTTTTCTTTCATACCCATTGCTAATCCCCTGAAGATCATGAAGATTTTCTTTCAGCCCTAGAGCCCATGCAAAGATCTTGGTTTTCAAATGCTTTTTGTCTCATCTCACGGTCCCTGAATGTCTACTACGCACCAGAGGTTTTGCATATTTGGTTAATACGTAATAATAAAGTAATGCCCATTGTTGTGTGCTAGGTGACTGTTCTCATTATCAGAGCCTTCCTCAAATCCTTATTTCAGAGGAAAAAAATGTAAGTTGAGAAGGAGAATGGAGAGTCTTTTAATATAGTAATTAAGTATACAGTTTCTTTTTTTTTTTTAAAGATTTATTTATTTATTTATTTATTTATACAAGCACTGGGTACAGTCAGAAGCGCGGGGAGGGTGAGAGAATTCACCAGAGCCAGAGTGGGGAGCAGAGCAGGCAGAAGGACCGAAGTACACTGCTGAGGGGAGCAGCGGGCGGCAGGAGAGGTCTGCGTGCCATGTGGGACCCTCCTCTGGTGGCCGGGGAGCAGCCGGGGATCGAACCGGCACTTCAAAGGCTGTGGGCAGCTTCCCAACCCAGCGCTCAACTGCTGCGCCACCGGGGAGGCCCTAAGTGTACAGTTTCTGAAGTCACTGCTTGGATTCAAATTTCAGCTCTGGCAAGTAGGGTAGAGCCTGGGGTGCAGATAAAAGGCTGAAATCCAATGAGAAATGCGCTGTTCCTGCACCCGACCCTACTGGAAGACATCAGAGCATGATGGCCTCTCCTGCATATGTCCAGTGAAACACCTTGGGTCCTAGACTCTGCTGCGGTACTTCCAGTTGGAAACAAGGCCCAGGCAGATAAGCCCTGGTCTGGGTCCTGGTTAACAAGGTAGCCAGATACTCCTGGCTCTGCCCCTCAGTGACATGAGACCTGGGTTTCCTGAATTTTGGGGACTGTTTCCCTCACTGGACGAGTGGGCAAATCTCCAGAGCGCCTCCAACCTAAAATGCACGGTTCTCAGATTGAGCATTACTTGCCTACTGACGTGAAAGAAAGGGAAGTACCTAACATCCTGCTTTGCAGCCTCTAGGGCTCAGTGCCACCCACAAGAACAAAACAAACCCTTCCACTGTGCTTTTGAACGCATGCCTGCTCCACTTCATCTGTTCCACATTGACATCGCTGCATCCTCCCAGGAAGACTCCAAACTCATGGTCTTGTGGCCTCCAGGGGCCAGCCTCTCCTCTCCAGCTTCACAATTCCAGCATCAGTCCCCTGGGGTCAGGCTCTGGACCCTGTGATCTTACCCCTCCCTCTTTCAGCAGTTGTAACTACTAGCATGACAATCCTGTTAGGGGAAGGGGGATATTCCCCACCCTTTTGGGTTCTTCTGGGATTGGAGGAGTATCAACACAGCCTCAGATGAGTTTGCACGAAAACTCAATAGCATATTTATAGAGAACTTAACTATAAATTCTAAAGTAAACTGGGGCAAACCAGGCCTATACATCATGTGCAAGGGACTGAGGCTGTCAAGCAGAGAGGCGGGGAAGGCGTCACATGATAAGGAGGGGATGACCTCCTCTTTTACTCAGAGAGTTAAGATTTTCACAGAGAGGACATGTTCACTGATAAACCTAAACCTGGGTGATAATCCCCTGTGAGGTCATAAAAAAGGGGGATCAGTGACTGATTTTTTGATTAGAGAAAAAGCCAAAGTTTATGGAAGGTGGCTGGGACCTGAGGGTGGGGTTAAGCAGCCAGGTTGATATAAAAGGCAGACATGTGGGCTTTGGGGGGTCCCCCATTTTGGCTCTCCGCCAGCTCACAGCGTCTGGCCAGCTCTGAGAGTGACTTTGGGTTTCCAGGTCGGCGGATCGGGTAGGACGCATTAAAGACTTTATTTCCCTATTTTCTCCCTGAGTTGTACATTTTCCTTATTTCCTTTTCCCTTGTAAATAAACCTTTTATTAACCTTTTGTGTGTGCCTGTAGTGGAGTATTCATAAGTCCCTTTTAAGCGCGCGGGTGAGGACCCACAGCCAGGAACCCATTCAATATGGGGGCTGCTCTATAACACCACCATTAGGATTGCCCTGTCTGAGGGGGCACCTGCAGTTGTTACATTGTTATAAGCTGTCTTGTTTGCTTCAGTGGGCCATGAGAGGAGTATTGAGATAGTCACAAAAAGAAGCAGAAGCAGGAGAGGCAGGAGAGAGAAGGGGAGAAAGCCAGAAAAGAGAAAGAAGCCCAGAGTGAAGACTTGTCTGGGTCTTGGAGGCCTCTCTGCCTCCTGGCCCCCCAGCACTCCTGCCTGCGGTGTACCTGGTTGCTGCACTACATGTAAAAGCTCAATAAAAGCCTGAGAAAACCTGGAAGGGATCATGCTCAGCAAAATAAGCCAGGAAGAAAAAGAAAAATACCGGATTGTCTCACTCATAACAGGAATCTAGAAAACCTAAATAAGGGACCAGGAAAAAGAATAACTATAATAAAGAAAAAAATCAAAATCAACAAACAACTATGAACCAGAGACACACTTGGGGGGGGGGGTGCGGGGAAAGGAGGAAATGGGGTCCAAAATCAGGGGGTTGCAATTGTATGGGGAATATAAAAAAAAATTAAAAAACAATAAAAAATAAACTACTCTCTTGAAGTACTAGGAAAAAAAAAAAGTAATGCTATCATGGGCCTCCCTGGTGGTACAACCATTGCAGCATGAGTTCAATCCCTGGCCAAGATGCTAACCCACATGGCACAGCAGGTCTCGCCTGCTGCTCTCCTCAGCAGTGTATTTCAGTCAATCTGCCTGTTCTGCTCCCCACTCTGTCTCTGGTGAAGCCTCTCACTGACCGCCTCCACACAGTTGGCCTGTATTCCATTTCTTGTATGCATAAATAAATAAAAATAAATCTTTAGAAAAGCTTATCTAACCCTTTTGGGGAGATGATCCCACAATCCTGGACTTAACTGCAAAATACTTCTTCCTTGCCCTTCTCCCAAATTCCAGGCCTGGAAGGGCCCTTTTCCCACTTCTTAAGTGGGAGCAGGAGAATAGGCTCCAGAGAGCCTATTCCAAAGATTAGCACTTGAATGTGCTTGAACATGGTCATGGTAGCATGTGAACGAACCAAGGAGGGTGAAAAACATGTCAAGAGCCTAACAAAGCGGAACAATTCAAGGCAGTAATTTTAACTTTCAGTGTAGGGAGACTGCCAGTATCTTCTTTAAGAGAAGAATAGAGCTAAAGTTCAACATGTATGTGAAAAGTAGTTTAGACTTCTCCTTGACTGAAAAGCAAGAAGGCCTTAGTGAAGCTTTAGGCAACAAAGTCGTAAAAGATTTAGACCTCTCCCAAAGTTTAGGCCACTTGTATTAAACCAGGGACTAGGGAGTGAGGTTCTACACAAATAGGTTGACTTTAATTTTTATTTTATTTTTTTTAAAGAGTAATTTTTTTTTTTAGAGGCATGTTTTTTATTTATTTGTTTGTTTGTTTGTTTGTTTTGTTTATACAAGCACTGGGTACAGTCAGAAGCGCGGGAGGGTGAGAAAATTCACCAGAGCCAGAGCGGGGAGCAGAACAGGCAGAAGAACCGAAGTACACTGCTGAAGGGAGCAGCGGGTGGCAGGAGAGGTCTGCGCGCCATGTGGGACCCTCCTCTGGTGGCCGGGGAGCAGCCGGGGATGGAACCAGCGCCGCAGAGGCCGCGGGCAGCCTCACAACCCAGCGCTCAACCGCTGTGCCACCAGGGAGGCCCTAGGTTGACTTTATACTATGGATTTGACTGGGAATTCATGGGATGTCAAGTTCTGAATCAGCAACCTTACACTGAGACTCAGGTACCTCCTCTTCCAGGAGGTTCTCCCTGATCACTTCCAAGGCTAGACAGGGAGACCATTGTCCATGAAAGGCACTACCATATTGCCATGTAGTTGTCTGCTCGTCCTCTGCACCCTCCTCCTGCTCCCAGACTGAGCTCCCTAAGAGTAGAAAGGTGACTTAGTAACCTTTATATCTTGGTACCTGCAACAAAATTTGTTGAATGAATAATTGAATGCAGCCTAGGAAACGTAAACACAAATCTCTGCACCACCTAACAAAATGCTCAAGAATCCCTCTTAAAGAGAATTAAAGATATATACTTCTCGTTACTAGTGAAAATCTCATTTCAATATACCCAGTATAGTATGCATAACCCAGCAATATAAAAACGTTAATATGTGAATTTCAGAGGTACATTAGCCAGTAGGTTCAGGTGCTCTGAAAGTACTATTTTTGTGTGAATATAGACTGTGTTTATTGTTCTTGAAAAATCAGTTTTCCATTAAAAAGCAAAGTTTTGCAAATATTATCTGACATCTGTAGGAACAGTTCATTTGAGTAGAAATTTGGCTTTACAAAATCTATAATAGAGACACTGGAGTTTTAGAATTGAGAGAATTAGATTCAGATCAGCACTCTGAAGCAACTATGTAAATTTCTAGCTAAATAATAGCAATTTAAACCATCTTTCATAGAGACCTAGTAAACACTGCTTAGATAAAAGAAGCTATCTATTTTAAATAAGACCAGCTAAGTACTAGATCAAAGGCACCACATATATTTACAACAACCAAATGGCACTGCTTCTGAGATCAAAGTACTGCCCGGCTGAGAGAACAGAGCGCCTTTACCCAGAAAGCATGAAAAAGGACTACAGAGACTAAACCAATATCAAGATTTTAGAGGAGACACATGTCTTTACTTATTTTATTGTTTCAATGCACAGAATCTTTGGTTAAAATGGAGGAGAAAGTGTACCAATTAATAAGTACATAAAATAAAATAAATTCTGAGCCATCAAAGGACTTTTCTTGTTATTATTCTTTGCATTTCTGAAAGACAAGTACTTCAAAATGTCTATAATGTTAACCAG